GACAGGACCACAAGACACCGCCCCTGTTGGTCATGAACAACTTCACCACACCAGACGCAACCGAAGATTCTAAAGTGCCGAAGCGCCTCGAGACCCTCACAACTACCATCTTCCAGTCCCTCTTCCCTCCCATCAACCCTCAAAGCCAGCCTTTGTCTTCCATCCGCCGTGTCATGCTTCTCAACCGAGAGCCTGCTGAAAAAGATAACGACTCATATATCTTGACACTCCGTCACTATGCCATTGCCACGAAGAAGACCGGTGTGTCCAAACGAATCCGTCGCCTGGATCCCAAAGAGATTCGGAACCGAGACAAGAAGAAGACCGCCGTCCCCAACCTTGGAAAGCTAGAAGATGCCGCCGATTACCTGCTCGACCCCTCTGCTGCAGGCTACACATCAGCAAGTGAGACCGAGCTAGATACCGATGCCGAAGTCGAAGTTACGGAGAGCACAACTCGCCGAGTCCTGAACAAGCGGGAAATGCAGCGTCAAAAGGCTGCAGAGAAGGGTCAGGATAAGCCAGCCTATACCCCCGGTGTTGAGAAGCGCGCTGTCAAGCTCGTAGAGCTGGGTCCTCGCATGCGACTACGCTTGATGAAGGTTGAGGATGGAGTCTGCGACGGCAAGATTATGTGGCACGACTTCATTACGAAATCCGAGAAGGAGATGCGGAAACTGGACCAGAGCTGGGACGTTCGGAGGAAGGAGAAGGAGCAGAGAAAGAAGCTGCAGAAGGCGAACATTGAGCGGAAGAAGCAGGAGAAAGCCAAGGCTAGGGGTAATGGCCAACAGGTGGCCGAGGATGATGAGGATGAGGAAATGGATGATGAAGATTGGCTCAGCGACGATGACTTTGACAAGGACGCTGAGGGTGAGGGTGAAGCGGTTGATGACGACTCTGACGCCGATTCGGACGAGTCTATGGAGGAGTAAGCTGTTTGAAGTGATCACAACACACTTCCTCGAAAGCTTTTACTTGATCGGTTGATGGACGAGCTGGCTCTTGCGATTGAACTCAAGAATCCAACTCTTGCCAACCTGTCTATCACACTGGATTGTATCAAAAATGACCGTCTTCACGTCTTATATCCATGTCATGGACCAAAATTTCTGTCACTGTCACATACCCGATAGGCATCTAGGCGTTTTTTCCCAGGTTTTGTCTTTATATAATGCAGTCTTGCAAATTTATCCTTCACCCTACATAGATTGAACTTAGTCTCACTACAAGCATCTCCAAAGATGTACATCCTAACTGCTGTAGATGACCTCTGATCATGGGCCTGGGCATGTCTGCCAGCTTCCAGTCATTTTTGATACAGTTCAATCCGTCATATCAATACACACCAATTTGTGTATATACACTTGTGCCAACTCACGCGGCAACACAATGGCACCGCAACGACCAAGGAGGTCTGTTTTCGATGTGCAGCTTTCAATAGTTTGGGACCAATCGCACCTCTAGCTGAATATCTTCGCTATAATCGAGAGATTCCTTTCTCAAATGTACCGATTAGTTCATTTTTATACATAGAAAGCCAAAGATGGTACATTTCTCCTTGTCTTCACTGAATATCGCAATGGCTTGGAGTGGCGGAGATTCGTTATTCATAAATCTGATCTATTTCTTGAGCCTTTCATCGACAATCCTGTTCACCATCTTCTCCAAGATAGCAAAATCACCACCTGATGTACCGGCAAAGTATCCCTGCACGCTCTTCTCGACATACTTGCCCACGATATCGATCTCAACGTTGACAAAGTCACCAGGCTTTTTCGCAGCAGTGACCACCTTCTCTTGTGTGTAGGCAATGAGCATAACCTCCCAGTATCCATCCTGGCCATCGACGACCTTGGTAACAGTCAAGCTAGCACCATCGAGGGTCACATAGCCCTTTTCCACAACATAGCGCAGAATATCTCTATCGCGCGGCTGCAGCCGGAACACCAACGAATTTCCATCGGGTGTGACGGATAGAATCTCTGCAACGGTATCGACATGACCCTGCACAAAGTGTCCTCCCATCCGGGTATCGGCCGAAACAGCGCGCTCGAGGTTCACGTGGGAATTCGCCTGCAAGGAACCCAGATTTGTGCGTCGCAACGTCTCCGGCGCACAGCCAACCTTGAACCAGGTCTTATCGAATGCAGTGACCGTAAGACATGTTCCTTAAGCACACTTTTAGACAATATCCCATATATTTATTATAGAAGAGTAAAATACCATTCACAGCAATACTATCGCCCAGGTGCGCGTCGGTAAGGATCTCCTCACAGTCGGAGATGGTGAGCGAGGTTCCCCCGCCCCCGCTCGACGAGGTATCGATGGGCTCCAAGGCCGTGACAGCTAGTAAGACAACATTAATTATTGACTTCATAAAAAAGTAAGATATACCCACTCCCAATCGTCTCGACAAGACCTGTGAACATAGCTGCGGTTGATGACAAGGAAGATGTCCCCGCGATGTGGCCTCGGCATTGGCTCCTCCGAGCGGTGTCGGCGTCGGCGTTTTGGCGGAGATTCGCCGGTTTCCCCAGATCCCATTTAACGGGGGAATCCTTCTATTTGGGCTTTTGTTTGAGCTGCTTTTTTTGATTTTGTTGCGCTCGTATATATTGTCATGACTGTCGCGCTCAGATTCCAGGTTGTTGCTCGTCGATCGGGCCTGTCCTGGTGTAGCAATGCGTTGCGGCGCACGGTACCAGGACGGAACTACTCCAGTGCAGCTTCAGTCGATGGGTCGCTGCCTTTGGCTGGTATTCGGGTGCTTGATATGACACGCGTTTTGGCTGGAGTGAGTACATCTCTCAAGGCGCTTCTGGGTGTCTGCAGTCCAAACTAACTTGCTGTAGCCTTATTGTACTCAAATTCTGGGTGATTTAGGGTATGTGCTGAGCTTTGGAGCTATGAAACAGCTCCAGCCGGTAGTTTCTATTATACTAACAGGACTGAATATAGAGCGGATGTTATCAAGGTCGAGCACCCTGTGCGTGGCGACGATACTCGTGCTTGGGGTCCGCCATATGCGAAATATGAAGATGCTTCCAGGAAAGGTCCTGGCGAGAGCGCATATTACCTAGCTGTACGAACCTTTTCTTGAAGTGTGAAACAACTTATCAGAGTACTAACCATGGATATAGGTTAACCGAAATAAGAAATCCCTCGGTCTATCCTTCCAACACAAATCAGGTGTCGAGATTCTACACAAGCTTGCAAAGGAATGCGATGTCTTGGTTGAGAACTATCTTCCCGGCGCTCTCAAAAAATACGGCATGGACTATGAAACGCTGCGGGAAATCAACCCTAAGTTGATCTATGCCAGTATCACCGGGTATGGCCAGACAGGCCCATATAGCAACCGTGCAGGCTACGACGTCATGGTGGAAGCCGAGATGGGATTGATGCACATCACTGGTGCTCGGGATGGTGCGCCAGTAAAGGTTGGTGTTGCCGTTACCGATCTGACTACCGGATTATACACATCAAACGCCATCATGGCGGCTTTGATTGCCCGAGGTCGGACTGGTAGAGGCCAACATATCGATGCCTGCTTGAGTGATTGCCAGGTTGCTACGCTATCGAACCTGGCTAGCTCTGCACTTATCAGTGGGAAGAAGGATTCGGGCCGTTGGGGCACAGCACACCGTAAGCAGCAACACTCTTCTATCGAGTATAATAACAAGCAACTGACAGATTCCAGCATCCATTGTACCTTACCGGAGCTACAAGACCAGCGACGGAGATATTCTCTTCGGCGGTGGCAATGATAGGCTTTTTGGTGTGTTGTGTGATCGACTGGGCTTCTCTGAGTGGAAAACAGACGCCCGCTTCGTCACTAACAGTGACCGAGTGCAGCACCGGGCAGAGATTGACAGTATGATTGAAAGCACTACTATGCAAAAAACCACGCAGGAGTGGTTGGATATCTTTGAGGGCAGCGGTATGCCCTATGCGGCTGTCAACGACATCCAGGGAACCCTGAATCACAAGCATGGTAAGTCTGCCTTATCTTCTTTATAGTAAAGACGGTATTGACCCTATCAACAGTTCTGGCACGAGGCATGGTGACGGAAGTTGACCACCCTGCGTGTGGTCCCATCAAGATGGTCAATACCCCTATCAAGTACTCCGAAGCGACACCGGGTGTGCGCACACCTCCTCCTACTTTGGGTCAGCATACGGATGAGATCTTGGGCAGAGTTCTCGATTATGGGGAGGCGGATATCGCTCGCTTGAAGGACGAGGGAGTCGTGTCCTGATAGCTTGAATTATTTATGAGAAACATGAACGACGTCTTCGGAGGTCTGTATATAAGCAAACTAAAATTACTCCGTGCATTTCAGACGGCCACTCGGTTCTTCTGTCATCTTTCGGTTCTTTTTGAAGAATTTACTACGTTCCATAAGCTCTTGGGCTTTCCTTTCGCATACTATCAAGCATAATACATAACTAGGAACTCCATAATATAAGTACCGTCCTTAAAGGGATAAAATCGTACATGTTGATATAATACCGCGATAGAAGTAAAGGTGACCCAATCATGGACAACACAAATGTGCACCAACCACATAAGAAATAAACAAATTCTTAATATTAGATGAAATTATCAAAATTTAATCGAAATTCTAAAGATCGTCAATCAGGCGAATACCTCAGTCAACGACTGAAGAAAGCCATTTAAGGTTGCATAAGGGATATCACGTGACTGGTATACAAAGGTCTTCCATTCAACGACTTGACTCCAACCCGACTTCTAATTGAAGAATTGAAAGGAGCCAACTATGTTTGACTGCCCGCTCAGCAAACAGTTTAGTGTCCATTGTGGTTTGTATAAGGCTGGAGGACTCGCACTGCCCTAGAAGCACAAAGAGTCCCTTTTTCCCTCGCCATCACCCGTTGCTTTGTTCTCTACTTTCATGCAAAAGCTCAACTAGTTCTCCAAAAGAAGCTTCTCAAGTCCTCTTTTTTTAGAACACCTGTTCACAACGATATTCACCATGAGGGTCTCATCGGCATTCATGGACCTCCCCGCCCCCGATATCAATCCGGGGCACCCACAGAACGTTCATGAGGGCAACATATTTGACCACGACGGTGTTCCCGAGGGAATTCAGCCACTACCATCACATCTGGAGCTTGTTGCTGACAGTATGCCCTGGGAAAATTGGGAATCACCTGCACTGCCCCAGGAAGAGACAGTTTGGACAACAGCCGGGGATACAGAAATGCACCAAAATGCCAGCGCCGCCCTGGCTTCAAATAGAACTCGATCTGGCCGTATAACCCAGCCGGTTATTCGAGAACCCGAGACTGTGGCAACAAAAGGGCCCCCTGCCAAAGCAGCCAAAAAGCGGAAACGTCTGAACCGCCAGGTGAATATAGTTTGCACCGGCTGCTACCGAGGACACAGCCCTTCGAATAATTTGATTGTTCTATGTGACTCGTGTGATGCTCCGTGGCATCAGAAATGTCACAATCCGAACATTGATAATGAGGTTATTGAAATCCCGGATATGGATTGGTTTTGCATCAAGTGTAAACCTGAGCAAGTCCAGACCAAACCTCGAAAGAAGGCTGCGAAAAATGGGAAAAGAGTTGGACGTCTAAAGAAGCAGCCTGTGCCTGAATCTCAAGGTGGAAATAATTATTCAGAAGAAGAACGGCGGGCTTATCTATCATCTCTTTCGCATGATTCGCTAGTCCAGCTTGTAGTGAAAGTGTCAAACGAGTGGCCATCGGTTCCGTTCTTTCCTCCTGACATGCAACCCGTGACTGATTTCACTCCATCACCTTCTGTGACACCACACAATCATCGGGCTTCCAACCCTACACCAAAGAAAAACGCTGGTTCTGCATTACTCGATTGGGGAAACTTGGAAACTCCGTCTGAGAACGCCATCACCATGGATCCAAACCAGCCGATCGACAAGGCTTCCGATACCATAGCTCCCCAAGCTACTACCCTGGATGCCGATAAACTCTTTGCGGCAATAGCCTCTGATGCTGCTCCCGAGCCTGATCCCCCAGCGGCTCTTGGTGGCATCACTGCAGACAAGATTTTCGCCGAAATTCCTCACGCACATGCTTCCACAACTGCTCCCCAGCCTTCTATCGCCACAGCTTCACAGCCCCCTTCCAGGCCCACGCGCACACGTGCTCGTAAGACCTCTTCCATTTCCTCAAACTCCGACCTACTCACTGACGAAGAATCCTCGTACTCCCAATCACGACTGCAATCTCCTACCCCATCCGTCTCTCAGTCTTCCCACGTCGGATCCCAGCATGAATCGGATGATGATCCTGAAGATTACCGGGCTTACCCTGAAGCCGGTCAGGGCTTCCAGGTGCCATCGACACCGAGCGATCTCGACATCATGGATGAGGATAAGAATTGCCCTACCTTCAGCCACTCCATCCGCGGTTCGGCTAAGAAGGCTTAGAGTAAGAAGCCTCGTTCACCACTGGGTCAGCGCAAGCAGTGGTGATTGATCCGCGATGTTTTTCTTTTTTTCTTTTTATCATGGAGGAATGCACTGTCTGACACGTTTATGGGGAGTTCGCGGATTTACGCTGGTATTTTTTCAGCAATGGATGGGAAGAGAGATGCTTGGTATGATCAAATGGGTCTCGTGGATTTGAATTTCTTTCTCGATATTTTATGTCTTTTCTCATGTCTTCAGAGCTACAACGATTTCGTCCTTATGATGTGGAGTTCTTTAGGTTCTACGTGGTTTCTTTCTTCATATTTTCGCATCCAAATGAGATAGATACTTGATAACTCAATCGACCAGTATTTCTCTAACGGTTTCTATTATAATCTTTCATTTCTTCCATATCATGTTGCCGTACCTTGTCTCGCCTTAACTAACAGGGGGCAGCAATATACCTAAGTGCCTTAGTCTTCAGGTAAGAAAATCAGTCATAGTATTTGCGGTACGTACCTTCCCAACCAGATGTTTTCCATTCTCGGTCATTTGTCACTGTTCCTCCATCGCCCTAAGCCACTGTGGTAAAGTACCTGTCTCCCCCCAATTCTCTCTCTCTTTTTCCTTCAACGAGTTGCTGCGGATCCTATAGATCGTCTTATCTCTTATCAGCCCCGCAAAACCAAATGCGCCTCGGACCTCCCGTCGTGCTTACTGCACATCTCTTGACATCTAATCTCCAGGAGAATCGAAGCCCATACAGACATTTCAATGTCCTCCTCAAACCCCCAGTTGTTAAAAACAACAGCTAAACCCCACCCCACTCCCGGTCCAACCAATCCACGCACCAACCTCGTGACAATCGACACCCTAATAAATATCCTCTCCAAATCCCTCCTCCACCCTTTCATAGCCTGGGTACTCGTCCTCTGCCTGCGTGCCCAGGTAACACCATCGACAGATCCAGCCTGGATCCTCACCGTGAGCTATGCAACGGTCTTGACAGTTCTCTTCATCGCGCGGGTTATCAATCAGCGCGCCGCCCACGGCGCCCCGCGTACAGTTAATTTCGAGAATGAGGTTGTGGTCATCACTGGCGGAGCGAGTGGGTTGGGTCTGTTGATTGCACAAATGTATAGTATGCGCGGGGCGAGCGTCGCTGTGCTGGATATTAAGGTTGTTCCGGAATATAGCCGAGAAGAGGTCTTTGGGGAGGGTGTTTTGTATATTACATGTGATGTCGCGGAGAGAGGCGCATTGGAGGTTGCGAAGGGGACGATTTTGAAAGAGGTAGGTTTGTTTCTGCTTTTGGTTTCGCTGTGTGAGCTTCAACCCAATACCGTCCTACAATTACTACGGTTCTGGGGATATAATTGGACAAGTTGTTTTATAGCGCGCTATGGCTTGCTTCAATTGGGGTCTGATTCGCTAAATATTTTGCAGCTAGGAACACCAACGATCGTTATCAACTGTGCCGCGGCCAGGATCAACGGCCTTCCGTTCCTTGATCTGCCAGCGGGCGCATTCGAAAAAACCATCCGCACTAATCTCCTGGCGGCTTTCCATCTATACCAAGTCTTCTTGCCTGGGATCATGGCGGCAGATAACGGAGGAACCCTTGTCACAATCAGCTCCGTGCTAGGCCAACTGAGTGCCGCAGGACTGTCAGACTACGCAGCAAGCAAAGCTGGACTTAGCGCGCTGCATCGGACGATAGAAGCGGAAACCCGGGGGAACCCGTTGATCAAGACGTTGCTGGTGGAAATTGGGCAGATGTCGACGCCGTTGTTCGACTGGGTGCGAGCGCCGAACCATTTCTTTGCGCCAGTTTTGGAACCGGTCGAGGTTGCCCGGGAGATGGTAGCAGCGATTGATAGCGGTCGAGGTGGTGTGATCAGATTGCCTTTTTATGCAAAGCTCGTGAATTGGTATGCCGTGCTACCCGCTACGGTGCAGCGGGTTGCGAGATATCTGAGTGGAATAGATGCTGCTGTGACTAAAAGCCGGCAGGTATCTGGGAAGACAGATTTTTGATAGGTGGCTCGAATGGAGCTGAGCGGTGTATATTGGCGTGAATCATGAGAAAAGGGCCCTTGTATGAGTCCATTTTGAGATGTATTATAAAGCGGAGCGATCTGCTTCATTGAACATATTCCCCATTCGACCATAGTTTCGATTGCAAGTCTTGCGCCCGAGCCTGGTCGATGAAAAGTGACAAATCAAGCGGGCTGGTTTATTGCTCGCTGGCCAGAATCATCTTCTCGCGCTCATGGGTTCTCGGTGCCAGGTTGCTCTTCTTAGTATGCTTGCGCACATTCTCCTCACGCCTCTTAATAGCATTGAGCTCCTCGCGCTTGATTTCGCCAGCCTTCTTGATAGGCTTGGGCACATGACGCTGGCGCTTGATGCGGCGAATCTGGGGCATGTGCGAGTACCGCTTGATAAGAGCTTGATCGTACTCCAGCTTGGAACGTTGACGGGCAGTCTTGATTCCACTGCGGTCCGATGCCTTGGCACGCCAGAGACGAACATTACCATCGTCCGATCCTGATAAGACATACTTGTTGTCAGGAGTAAACGTTGCCGAGAAAACACGTTGCATCCGCTTTGTGTGGTAGATGTCACGCGAGTGACCAGTTGATCTGTTCCATAGGCGGATTGTCCGATCGTATGAGGCAGTGACCAGCTCTTCACCTGTGGGGCTGAAATCAACATCCATAACAGCAGCCACATGGTCCTTCAGAACATTGAGAGCACGGTCCATCTTTCTCATATCGAAGATGTAGGCGTTGTGGTCCTCGTTTGCCACGGCAAAGTTGAACGCTTCCATAGGGTTCCAAGAAATAGCGTTAGATGCCAGTCTCAATGTCGTCTTGTGCACCGGCTGGGAAGTACGCAGGTCATACATGATGACTGAGCGGTCCATGGCGGTCGAAGCCAGGATAGAAGTCTCAGTCTGGTTGAAAGCAACAGATGTGATGGTGTCAACGCTAGTCGGCCAGTGCAGAGTCTGCGAAGGTGTGGAGGAGGGCCGGGAAAGGTCATAGATAGAAATGACGCTAGAAGCGGCCGCAAATGAAGGGAGAGTTCGGTGATGTGTGACACTGGTGAAGGCACTATTTCCGAGGTAGGTTGCCATCGGCGGGGCCTCAGATGATGAATTGTAAGGGTCCCACAATTTGATCGTCTTATCACTCGCGCATGACAGAAGTTTTCGCTCCGGAGTCCAGCACAGACCCTTGACCATGTTTTCGTGGCCTTGGGTATTCCAAACCTCGCCTTGTGTTGTAAGGTCCCACACCTTCACTACACCATCACCACTGCCACTTGCAAAGCGTTCAAGAGAGCCGGGATCCTTTGCCATAGAGTAAACACCGTCAACGTGTCCGTTACCCATCTGGGCTAGGAATGGAGCAGCAAACATGCGCTCCATCTTAATCGCATTCAGAGCTCGAGTATATTCACGAGCCCTCTCAAAAGGATGCTGGGTCGGGTCGAGATTCCGCGACTGGCGAACGACAGCGGACCCGGGGGCCTGCTGCGACGCCGTGGAGCGGGAAAGTGCTTTGATTTTCTATAATTTATTAGTATGGCTATATAAGGAACAGAATTTCAAGGAAAAACACTCACCATTGTGCTGTTGTGAAAACGATGTAAAGAGGAAAAGAAAAACGCCAAGATGGAACTTTTTTTCTGTTTGATTTGCCAAGCGGGCGGTGAGAGGATGATGAGCTGCCGCCAGCTTCGAGCTCCCCGTTCGACCTGGTCATCAACCTCTCTTCAAACCACCATCTTCTCTCGTTCTCCTTTCCTTTAATTACCCATCTCGCCTGCTCGTCATTTAACGTCTTTTATCATGTCATCCAAGGTCTCACCACGGATCCAAGAAGTCCGAGATCTGGTGAAGTCGGATCCCTCGAAAGCAGCGACCAGTTACCAGAACATCCTCTCCGAGGGCCCCGGATCTACAGAGGCCTCTTCACGAGACTATGAACAGGCCTTGATTGGGTTGGGCGAGTTGCATCGGGATGCGAAGAAGCCACAGGAGATTGCGGACCTCATCAAGACCAGCCGTGATACCTTCTCGTCATTTGCCAAAGCGAAGACAGCCAAGCTGGGTAAGCTGCGCGCTGGATCACGTTTATAGAAACCTAGAAACCGTCTAACTGTGATTGTTTAGTCCGTCAACTTCTGGACTTGATTAGCGAAATCCCCAACACACTAGAACTCCAAGGCAGCGTCATCCAATCATGCATAGAATGGGCGATTGCCGAGCGACGATCATTCCTTCGCCAGGCCCTCCAAGCTCGACTCGTTGCCATCTATATGCAGAAGCAATCTTATTACGATGCGCTCGGTCTTATCAACTCTCTTCTCCGTGAGCTGAAGCGCCTGGATGATAAGCTTATGCTGGTGGAGGTACAGCTGCTTGAGTCGCGTGTCTACCACGCTCTGGGCAACCAGGCCAAGGCACGCGCTGCTCTGACTGCAGCACGGACATCAGCCGCCTCCGTTTACACACCACCACACCTGCAGGCCGGTCTGGATATGCAGAGCGGTATGCTACACGCGGAAGACAAGGACTTCACCACCTCATACTCCTATTTCATTGAAGCACTTGAGGGGTACAGCTCGCTCGATGAGAGTGATCTGGCTACGGCGACCTTGCAGTACATGCTTCTGTGCAAGATCATGCTCAACCTGGTGGATGATGTCACACAGCTGCAGGGCTCGAAACAAGCGCAAAAGTATGCCAGTCCACGTCTGGAGGCAATGAAGGCTGTGGCACGGGCCCACGCCAACCGGTCTCTAGAGGAGTACGAGAAGGCCCTTTCGGACTATAGATACGAACTTGGTAGTGATGTATTCATCCGAAACCACCTCCGTCGCCTTTACGATGCCATGCTGGAACAGAACTTGATCAAGGTCATTGAGCCCTTCAGCCGGGTTGAGCTAGACCACATTGCAAAGATGGTGGGCTTGGACACACAGCAGGTTGAAAGGAAGTTGTCTCAAATGATCTTGGACAAGGTGATCATCGGTGTATTGGATCAGGGCTCGGGATGTCTGATTGTGTACGACGAGACAGAACGGGACCAGGCTTATGACGCCGCACTGGAAACAATCGAGAAGCTCGGCAATGTGGTGGAAGGTCTGTATACTAACCAGGCGTCTCTCCTGGAATAGACAAGATGGGATATGTTCAATGCCGTTGAGATGACTTGATAGGAAATAATCAAGACAATGCACGATTACACTTAATACCTCTAATTAGTATTAAACAAGTAGAATACCTGATAATTTTGCTTCTATTCATGGAATGTCAGCAAATTTAAGCAGAACAACAATTTGTGTCCAACGGTGTTATTCGCGATCGTCCGAAAAGGGTAAAGCGCGACGGGCAAAAGAATCGCGACCTCAGCATCTCCAACATCTCGCATCTTTCCCGCCCCCCATCCGCCATTCTCCCATCACCGCCTCGGTGCTTAATTTGTTCACAATGCAAGCTCCAATGCTGCAACCTATGATGCAACAGCAACAATATGCTCGGGGCATGCCCCCAAATGCACAGCGATCCCCAGCCGCGCCCCGTCGCCCCCCAGGGCCAGGCATGTCCCCTTTCATCGGTCTTCACCTATTCGTCTCGCCTCTAATCTTATATATTTATAGGTGGCGCAATGCCTGTTACAATGCCACAGCACGCTGTTCCCCAGCAGTACATGGCCGCACGCCCCATGCCTCATCCCAATGATGCTGCCCTTCGGCGCAGCCGCAAGCCGACTGACAGGAACCTCCCAGAAGGCATTGAAGACGTGATCATCGGCGAGGGTGTTCAGCAATATAAGAGCCTTCGCGACTTAGAAAAGAGATTGGATGCTGCAGTTGTGCGGAAAAGACTGGATATCCAAGACTCCATCAACAAGACTGTTAAGAAGTATCGGACTATGCGCATCTGGATCTCTAATACTGTCGAAAACCAGCCATGGCAAGGTCCGGGGAACAACCCAGGCTCCGGTCGCTACAAAGTACGCATTGAAGGACGGCTGCTTGACGATGAAACCGACCCCACTGTTCCCGACGAGGACGAGAAAGACCAGGATGCAATGGACCATGATGGAACTGAGGAGGATAAGGCGAAGAAGGCTGAATCGAAGAGCCAGACCCAACGCTTCTCCCATTTCTTCAAGGCGATCACCATCGACTTTGACAAGCCCGCCTCGGCAATTCCCGAGGAGGTTAAGCCAGTTAACTGGTCTAAACCAACCGCACACTCCAACACACCCGCACCCCCGAGCGCCGAATTTGATAGTCTACAGTTCTCTCGAGCCTCACAGGACAATCTGAATGTCACTATCAGCCTTGTCCGGGATGAAATCCCAGAGCGATACAAGTTGAGCAAGGAGCTGGCCGAGGTTCTGGATGTCGAAGAGGAGACCCGGAGTGGAATTGTTCTCGGAATCTGGGATTATATCCGAGCTATGGAATTGCAAGAAGACGAGGAGAAGCGACAAGTGCGCTGTGATCACCGTCTACGCTCGGTATGTGCTTTGAAGTTTTGGTTGTTCTAAACCCCGCTAACAATTTCTATAGATCTTTGGCCGGGAGCAAATGTTCTTCCCCCAGATCCCTGAGAGCGTCGGTCCCCACACCAGCCCAATGGAGCCAATCAAGCTCCCCTACACCATTCGTGTCGACGAAGAGTTCCATGCCGACCCAACGCCGACCATCTATGACATCCAGGTCGCAGTTGAAGACCCGCTGCGCACCAAGATGATGGCGCTCACTCAGAACCCGGCGTACACAGCTGGCTTACGCCAGATCTCCTCGCTTGATGACCAAGTTTCTTTGATTGTGCAGGCGCTTACACACTCCCGTGCCCGTCACTCGTTCTACACTGCCCTGAGCAAGGACCCAGCCAATTTCGTTCGCCGCTGGATCAGCTCTCAGCGCCGCGACCTAGAGACTATCATGGGCGAAGCTACCCGTGGAGGCGGCGAGGATGGTAGCGGACCTGAGTTCCGTTATGGCGGCGTTGATGGCCCCTGGGACTCGGAGGTTGCCAAGGAAGCTGTTCGGTACATGCTGGCTAAACCCGAAGCTGCGGCTGCTCGGTAGAATTTCCAGCTTGTCTTTTTGTTTAACGCGCATCTCCACACTGCCAATCATTATGCAAAGGAGATGGCTTGATGTATTTTTTTTTTCTATCTGATATCGGGCGCTTGTGTGGTGTTCGGACTGGTGTAGCCGGGGTATGACAGGCAGGATTGAATTGTTTCGAAATCCATATATTAAGAATCTGATATGCAATATGATTCCGGATTTTAATAATTGTGTCCGTACATGTGGTTATATATTGTAGACATGACCGAAAGGCCTATTAAATCTCGACTTTGGCCCAACCATGCCTTATAAACTTGCAAATACTTCAGATTATAGAAGCTACCAGTATTGTATCTCTTCCAGTATAAAAGACGTAGGTCCAAGAGGTAAACAAAACAATATGCACTGAAGCTAACCCACAGAACTCCAAGGGAAAGCAACATGGAGAGGACTCACAACATCCCAATCATAAAGCAATGCATAAAAAAGAGACATAACAGCCCCCGAAGATTATAATAATAATAATAATAATCTCTCCCCCAAAACTTCAAGCACCAGGTAAAGGAACCTTCGCAACAAGGTCTGCCCTCCGTTTCCGCAACTCATCCCCAAGACCCGAGTCCACGCTCGAGGAGACATGTTCCCGCAACGAAGAAAGATCACCCTGCAAGATAGCAGTCTCCTCCTGCTCCAGCTTTGAAGCCGCCTCTAGGACAACATCATGCACAATATCCTCCTTGAGCTGCGCAGCCTTCTCTGCACTAACAGGCTCTTTCTTCCCCTTCTCGCCTTCAGCCGGAGTGCGGAACCGCTTGAGAACAGTCTCGACCATCTTGGAGAACCAGAAAAAGTTCAAGAAATTCAAGATCAAGTTCGATCCCACGTAGGTCGCGACTAGCCACGTCGGTACTCCTCCCGCAGTGTACTCCTTGAACTTGGTGATCTCCGCGTTGGCGCGCGCGCAGGCTTCGTTGACGCACAAGCTGCCGTCGCGGGCTGGGTAGAAGACATTTGCGTTGACGCTCGCAGGCTCGGAGAGAGGAGCTGCGGCTGCTGACCAGGTGTGCTGAAGCGCGTTCCACATGTCCCCGTACACCACGGCGGTTTGCCAGGTGCCCCAGACGAGGCGGCAGGCGAAGAAGCTGAAGAGCAGGGCCATGCCGTTGTACCATTGGGCGCGGCTGCCGGTCATGTTGACTTTGTCGAGGAACCAGTGGATATTGAGGAACGGGCTGGAGAGCTCATAGAGGATGAAGGTTGGGGCGAAGTAGTTTAGGAATGGTCTCTGTGGAAGATATGTTAGATGTGTCTTTGAACTTAGGTATAGATGCTAATGATCTTCTTGATACCGAATGTATCTATGTCACGCAGATTGGAGAGACAACTTACAAATCCTAGACTAAACACCCACAAGGCACTGACAGCATGGAAAAGCATGCCAATGCCAAACATGCGCACGTGCACAATGCTGACAATCAAGTCATATACAAAGTATCCCACAGCCAGGGCCTGAATGAGACCACAGGCACCTGTATATGCGAACACCCGCTCACCGGAGGTCATGGAGCTGCGCTCCTCGTCGGCGTACATGACCCACAAGGCAGCAGCATTAATGACTATGCTCTGAATAAAAGATACAACATGAATATCCCAGTTCAGCTTCGTCCGGGGAGTGAGCTTGTTGTAAGACTTGAAGAGGATTGGTGAGAGGCAAGGCGAGAGAACAGCATGGATCAACAGGTAGAAGGCGAACGCTGCGATAACCTCGTGGATATGATCGGTAAGCGTCGGACTGTTAAACCGGATGGCATAGGGCTCTGTAAAGCTTCGCAGCCACTCCGGAGGTGGTGGGAAGGGGTCCAACATCGTGGGAGTTTCCCTCAACTAGCTGTAATCACCCGATGTGGGGGAAAGCTGTTTGAGGTTCGGAGATTCGGGGAATGTAGATCTATATGCAGTCGAGAGAGCACCCTATCCTATCTATCATAAAGAAAGGAAAAAGGAAAGAGAAACAAAGAAACCCCAACGAACTAGGAAGATGAGAGAAATACGTACTCCATGGGAAAATGGAGTAGCCAGAGAGGGTGACCAGGTGAGAAGCGCCTCGGCATGGCCTCAGGCAGCTATGATTTGTTGGGGATCACCTGATCACCTGCCTTGTTCGTCAGGTCTGGTTGTAGACTTCCTAACAGCTAAGGGAAAAAGAACATGGGGTCTACAAAAAAGACTTCAAGTTAAAAATATGAACTTGTGATTCAAAAAGCTACCTATGAACAATCCGGTGACCTTGATCACATGGATCTATACAATCTAACTACATCACATGAGTCATGGGAGAGTAAAAAGAGAATCATCCATTAAGCAATACACATTTATGGTCACAAACGAAAGTCATTCAAGTCATCCAAGCGCAAAAACAAAACAAGAGGTGGTATATGAAAAAAAGAAAAGTGTCAATGGTGCAAGCACCCCAACTCCGTACAAAACAAACCCCAAACCAACTCAAACTGCAATATCAGTGCCAAGTCCGCTGTCGCTAGACGGAGCCAACAGCTTGAGAACTTCAGCTTCTGCAGCTGCATTGGCCTCCCTAATCTGACGGGACATTTCGTGATCCTCATTCTGTTGCTCATGGCTAGAATGCTCTGCATCCTCCCGTGCTGTCTGCGCATCGTCTTCTGACTCGGACCCATCGATAGAAATATCATCGTGGTGGACCTGGTCCTGCTCAGCGATTGAGCTTTCCGCCACACTGTATGAGTTTGTAGAGCTCACCCCGCTAACACGACGCTGATCCGTGACATCTGTCACTACACTATCGACAATACTGCCAGCGTAGCTCGCCTTGCGCTCTGTGCCTGCATTGCTTGTGGCATAGCTTGTTCGCCGGTCAGTGTCAGCGTTGCTCGGGGCATAGCTGCGTTCGGTTTCGGTGCCAAGATTGGATTCTGCGTAGCTTGTCTTACGGTCGGTAGGTGCGTTGCTTTCCGCATAACTAGTCTTCCGCCGTGGACCAACATCTTCTGCTTCGCTAGCAAGTTCGTCCTCTTCGTGGAATGGCTCGTTCTCTTTGTCGGCAACGGAAATTGGACCAGCCCAAGAAGTCTTGCGAAGAGAGTTCGATTTGACAGAGTGGCTGCGCTTCAAGTTCGTGATGCCAGATTTAACACTCACCTGTCGGTCCACACCACGGTTGCCTGTGACGTGGCTTAGGCTAAGAATCCGACGTTCCTTTCCAATGTTGGGCTGCACAGCGGCTGTGCCAGCTTGAAGCGACATCGGCAGTCTTTTCAAAGCCATCCCGACCCCATTGCCGACCAGACTGCGGCTGTCCCTGGGCTCTTTGGCAGTGCTGGCAGTACTCGCAACGCTAGGACTGCGGGCGCCTGTGCGCGAGGAACGGGTACTCCGAGTGCTGCGGTTCCTCTTCAGGTTCATGGCCTGCGAGCTACTAGATCGCCCAAGGAGAACGGCACGAGCATGGTCAAGGACGCCCTCCAGAATGCGTTTCTCGAGGCCATCCGCACGTTCCTCCATGTGCCGCATCTCTTCGTGGCGTATTTCTAGGGCCGTCTCAAGACCAGACAGGTCCTTGCTGAGCTTGTTGTTTTGTTTGATCAGGTCTTCCTTTTCTGCTCTTAAACGATGGAGCATGTTCAACATGGAATCCTTTTCTTCATGCAGGCCAACAAGCTCCGCTTCCACTTGCTCACGCTGCGAGACTCTTCGTTCGAGGGCGACCGCAGCCTCCTCGGCTTCACGGCGCTTTCGCTCGGTATCTTCAGCGACCAGCGCCGACTGAGCAGCGAACATCTCATTCATTCTGCGGGAGTTTTCCATGATATCCCTGTGCATCTCATCCAGCTTCGCCATCTGAGTATCAGCATGATTGGATTCCGGCGGGTTTGGAGGACGGCTGAGCAATGCGTCCAATTTCTCATGAACAGGACCACTCCCATTAGTGGCGTGATCTAGCAACTCGTTGAGCTTCTCATATATTTGATCATTCGAACCAGACCCTTGATCTAGAGCGCGATCAAGCTTTTCGTGGAGTTGGTCATTCTTCGAGTGATCTAGGAGAGTGTTCAAAACCTCGTGGACCTGGTTGTTCCTGGCGTGTTCCAAAAGATCGTCGATTTTGCTGTGTAGCGGAGTATCCTCTATGGCGAGTGTGCGCTCTGGTTCTGGTGGAGGCAGCGCAGGTAGCATTGCTGGGATATTCGAAGGCAGTGATGATAATTCAGACTTCAAGTCCTCTGCTGACTTCTGGGAGTGATCGTAGTGCTCGCTGACAATTGTCAATATCTCCTGCACAGATTCCAGAATACGGGGGTGGAACTCGAGGAGCTTGCTCTCCACTCGATCAGTTGCAGCCGTCGCCCTTTCGTTTTCCGCGTGAGACTGCTCCTGGTGCGATTTCACATCGCTGTGCATTTCCTCCATTTTCTGGCGGGACTGATCAACTTGTTCCATGAGAGTCTTCGTCTCAACACTTAGCCGCTCACAGGTCTCATTAACAGTATCACCCATGGCGCCGATAACAAGCTTGATCTCCTCAGCAAGGCTTTTGGTGCTTGTCAGGGTTTCAGTTTGCGCCAGGTCTCTCTCTTCGGATTCCGAGAATTTCGAGTGGAGGGAGGTGTGCGCATCATCATACTTGGCCAGGACCTCGGAAATCTTCTCGTCAATCTTTGTTCCAAGTTCCACGATGATGGCGGCCCGCGTCTCGTCGTGTTTGACCATTGTAGCAGCATCCCGCTCCTCGTTTTCGACCTTGACTGCATCTTCCTCGCCCCGAGAACGTTCGAACTCTCGGTTGATAAGGTCAGTGAGCTCCTTGATGCTGTCGATGGTGGTGAAGCTCTCGGCAGTGATTGCCAGTCCTTCGAGGAGCTGTTTAAGCTCGGCCAGACCTTCCGTGCTGCCGTCAAGCTTGCTCTTGAGCTCGTCCCCAAGCTCGCCAACGACAAACTTGGCTTCGTCGATTTTTTCAGCAAGACCACCGTGCTCAACCTTGCGGGCATCGAAGCCTTGGGCTGTCAATTCGTTACTGGCCTCCATCGTCTCTCGGAAATCGCACACAAGTGTCGATAGCTCTTGGATCTCCGCCTTGGTGGGGAGAGTATCCACATCTGGAAGCTTAAGCTCGTCGACTTGAGTCTTGACCTCAAATATCATGGCCTCCACTGTTTGAAGATCAGACTTGAGTAGTTTGTCTGAATTTTCTCCTTCTTCTTCGTCGTCCTTGCTTTTGCTCTTCATCTCATCTAGGACAACCCAAACCTCTTTGATCAGACCCTCCAAAGTGCCGATTTCAGACTTTGTGGGAGCCTCAGCTTCGACGCGACTAGAAAACTCGGCAATCGAATCCTTGGCCTCTCGGATCATGGTCTCCAGTGCTTCAATATGCTCAGGGGTGGCGACCTGATCGGGCGAAGGGAAGACAAGCTCATCAATTTGAGTCTTGGTACTCAAGAGCAACTGCTCGAGAACCTCAGTGTCTTGCTCTCGGGCACTGTCGTCTTTCTCTGTACTTTGTTGAGTACTCATCTCACCCATGGCGAGCTGAAGTTCGTGAAGCGCAACAAGGACTTCATCAAGGTGTGAACGCTTGAGGGCATCTTCGGCAGGCTCTGCGGCACGAGGGGTAGTTTCAATGGCCTCAACCTTATCTTGAAGCTGAGTGATGAGCACTTTCAGACCATCAATGTCAGGCCCAATGCTAGGCTCATTTGCCAGCATGAGTTCCCCACCACGGGTGGTGCTGGCATCATCCAGTTCTTTGTTAGATTCGCGCAGAGAATCCATTTCAAGCTTCAGGTCCGCAAGACCATCTTTGATGGTATGGATAATCTCGGAACTGTCGAACTCAGTTGGCTTCTCCAGCAGTTTCTTCAGGTCGTCACGGATCGAGTCGACACCATCTGTGAATGCATCAAGGAGCTCGCTTGTCGCGGACAAGGTGCTTTCGTTGCCATCTCTACGCGAGGTCTCTTCACGCAGGATGTCGAAATGCTCACGGAGTGCCGAAATGATTTCATCCCTGTCGGCACCGGGCTCCGTATGAACCACACTCATTTCCATGCGCTCACGAAGACTCTCAAATTCCTGCTTGATGATGTTGACCATATCGTTTTCCTTGCCATCTTTGAGCGATGTCTCTTCACGTAGGCTGTCGAAATTTTCACGGAGTGCCGATATGATCTCGTCTTTATCTGTACCAGGCTCCGCACGAACAACACTCATCTCCATGCGCTCTCGGAGACTTTCGAGTTCCTGCTTGATGATATTGACAACATCATCGTTAGACTCATTCTTGTGGCGATCAGCAGCATCTCGAATAGCATCCAAGATCTCATCTTTATCTTCGGTGGCATTGTTCCGTAGAAGAAGAGTGGTGATTGTTCCTCGCAGGTGCTCGAACTCTTTTTCCATGGCATCCAGAAGCTCAGGTGTATCCGGATTACCTCGCGGGGCGGTCAAAAGAGATGTGTCCGTAATAGTCTTCTCCATGTCGGCTTGGAGCAATCGGAACCCTTCTTTGACTGTGTGGATTACTTCGTCCTTGCCGGAAAGATCGGCAGCGGTAACCACGTAAGTTTCAATCTCCCTGCGGACGATATCGAGGCCATCCTTGATTGCGTCAAGGACTTGCTCGGTGTCTCTTCCACCGGCGGCCGAGTATTGCTTAAATTCCTCCTTCATGCCTTCGAATAAAGACTGAAGGCGGTCCGTCATCTCCCCACCAACATTGGTGTTTGCATTGCTGATCGCCACGTTGAGGCTGGAGGTTATTGCTTCCATGAGGTCGTCCTGGTTCAACTCAATCTCCCGGGTGATCGAGTTGCCATTTTGTATACCTTCTGCAATGGCACTCAAAATCTCCTCCCGTGAGATGGACGGCTCTTGGACATTGGTGCTGAGCGCTGACTGTTGACTGCTTGTCGATGCCTCAATGCCCTCAGCGATAGCATTCATGATATCCTCCTTAGAAACACTAGGATGGCCATTTATGCCGAGCGAAGCATGAGAGTGCTCAATACCTTCCACGATTGCGGCAAAAATTTCCTCGCGAGAGGGAGTGGAGTGATGATCCTCGCCCTCATGCTCAGTCGATGTGAGAGCACGCGAAGAAGAGTTATGCGAGTTCTCAATCCCGTCCGCAATGGCGCTCAAGATCTCCTCTCTAGAGATATGCGATTCTTGGCGGTTTGATGAGTGCTCCATGCCCTCCAAAATGGTACTGAGGATTTCATCTCGAGAAATACTAGGCTCTCCATTATTGCCAGAAGGCCGCGAGTGCTCGATGGCATCCACGATGGCGCTGAAGATCTCTTCACGAGAGACGGGCTGCTGAACATTGGTACTGAGCGCTGATTGCTGGGCATTCATTGAATTTTCAATGCCCTCGGCAATGGCATTCAAGATTTCATCACGGGAGATGTTCGTATGAGCGAGAGTGAGAGCTGATTGTTGAGCATTAAAGGCTTCATTTACAGCATTCATAACGTCATTGCGAGAAATTCGTGGCTCGTCCATCTCTTTAGCTGCAGTGAAATGGGCCTCGAGCCCATCGGAGACAGCACTGACAATCTCATCACGGCCAAGGCCAGAGTCGAATGAATCCTTGCTCAGCGTGCTCTGTGTCATGGAACCGGCCAATGCGCCAAGGATCTCGTCTCGAATAGAATTTAATTGACCGACGTTGTCGTCATCCAAGGACCTGGAGGCGTTGTGGTTTGCCATTGTTCCAGTTACAGCTTCAATGATCTCATCGCGAATAGAGTAGAGGTGATTGACATGATCTTCGTCCAACTCCTTTGATCCTGCGTTATGCATAGCCATTGCTCCAGCAGCCGCTTGAAGGATTTCGTCGCGCAGAGAAGTTAGATGATTGGCTTGCTCTTCATCCACGGATTTGGAACCTGCAGCATGGCTTGTCACTACTCCAGTGACGGCTTCAATGATCTCATCACGAATGGAGTGGAGGTGATTGACGTGATCCTCATCCAAAGACTTGGGCCGTATATTGTTGGCAGTGACCGCATCGAGAATTTCATCGCGGACCGAGTAGAGGTGATTGACATGTTCCTCGTCCAGAGCCCTTGAACCTTCGTTATGACTCGCCATGGCTTTTGAAACAGCATCGAGAATCTCGTCACGCATCGAGTGAAGATGACCGACGTGTTCCTCGTCAAGGGACCTGGAAGTAGGCTCGGGCTGCTTCTCCAAGCATTCACGGATGGTCAAGATTATCTCGTCCCGAGATATACTCGGCGGGTGCTCGATTTGTGGCGGGATGAACTTCTGCATACCGTCCTCAACGGCGGCGAGAACCTGGTCATAGGTGACGGCCTGTTCATGCTGGGGCTGGTAAGACTTGAGCCCTTCTTCAAGACATGTGAGGATTTCGTCTCGTTCTAAGCCGAAGTTGTTGAACTCGATTTCCGGCTTGTAGGTCTCCCAAGCTTCACGAACAGTCTCCAGAATATCCTCTCTGTCCATTTCAGCACCTCGCGACTCAGCTTGAGGTTGAGGAAGTTCAAGCTCATCGAGGGCTTTTTTCACAACAGAGTAGATCGCGGCACTGTTCATGGTTGATCGGAACTCGGACAAGTCAGACGATTGCTGCCGACTCTCATTGATAGTAGCAGCCAGCTGCTCTTTGAGGTCATCCAAACTGCGGTTGACGATGGCCGAAATTTCTTCTGGGCCGGCAGCTCTAGGCTGCTCCTCGGGCTCATCATTGGCATGGGAGGACTCGATCTCGTCTAGTCGCCGACCGAGTTCTCGACCCATGCCTAGAACTTCACCTCGCAGTTCACGTACCAAGGACTTCACGCCGTTGGTCATTCCACCTGCCTCGACAACGCTATTCTTGACGCTTCTAAGAATTGCCAAAACTTCATCGGAATTCGGTGAAGAACCATCTCCCTTATCAGATTTGGAAAGGTCAAGTGCACGTACAATTTCAGGATCCAGAGATCCCATCGGCCCAGATCGTGTCGGCTCGGGGGAGGCATCCTCGGGCTGGATATTACCTAGATTGGCCATGCCGTAAGATCGGACGAGGGCTTTGCTCGCGGGATCCTCTTTGACGAGGTTGAGGATCTCTTCGAGCATGACAGTGACTTTGTCATCGGCATCTTTGTCCGAAGCGGTAGCTGCGGGTCGAGATCTGATTTCTTCAACGAGCTCCAAGAGCCTTTCCTCACCTTCCTTAGTTGCCATCTCGCGCAATACCTTTTCGAGCAAAGCGAGAGCGGCGGAGCCGTCGGAAATCGGTGCCGGTGAGACGCAAGAGTCGCGATCAAACGCGAATGGGTTAGGGCTCGGCATGCGAGGCACGGAGTAGCTTCTCTTCGAAACGGGACTATCCGGATCCTTGGGGTTAGGCCCATCACCACCCTTGAAAAGATTACTGAAATCAAACCTTGTAGCGTCAGCATCCAGATACTTGGTCGTAAGATGAGAAGACAGGTCCTTCAGGCTCTTGCGAATGTCTTCATCGCGTGCGTTGGTTGCTGCCTTCAAGCTGACTAGGTCGGTAGCATTGTCTTTGCTGCGTCGGCTCAAATTCATCATCTCACGCTGCAATCCGCTTGCAATGTCCGTGAGACTGTGGATTTGGTTCGAGAGGGTCTCCATGCTCGTATGCTTGGTGGGACTGGGTTGCGACTCGAACGGTGCAGCGATCAGTTTTGGTGGCTTGGAAGGTGATGGAGGGTCGGTTTCTAAAGGTATCTGCATGTTTTGCAGGGCTAACATTGTAGCTGATGGCGGAGTACTTTCTCCCAATATTGGCTTTGATAAGTACCGACTCGATAGAGAGTAGCTCATGTCCCGGTCCGCATCTTGACGGAGCGCTGGCGAACTGATAGACTTAGTAGGATCGCGTGGCTTGGCCGCCTCAATGATCGTCGCACGAAGAGGGCGCTCTGGGGATCTATTCTCAAGGTAATTCATAAAGTCGCTGCGCGCATCTTGTCGGGTATCTTCAGGCTGTAGTGACTGCATGCCCTTATGGTGCTGGCCTTTGACCAACGACCTCTCTGGGGAGGATGACTTGAGTGGCATGGGATTTGTTGTGTAAGAGCTCGGCGCATGCTCGCTGGGTCTCTCTGTAAATTTTGCGGCCACTGCCTGAATGCCGGGAGAAACATTGGACCTCGTCGCAGGGCTCATTGGGCTCATCGAACGAGGATTCATTGGGAGCGGCGGAGGTGCACGCTCAGGATCCGAACTGTCCCACCTGCGTAGACCGCGTTTCAGCATTTGTTTCAAATCACCCATGGGTTCCATCAAAACAAGGATTAGGTGGTGTGAGTTGCACAACTTACATTGGAACTTTAGACTCGGAGTATGTCATTGAATGCCGGACCAATTCCCGGTCACGGGGGGTGTCCTTGTCTGGGGACGGCATGATGTCTTCGTGAATGGATTGTCAAGATGTCTCAGAGGATGGAATGTATGTAGGGTATGTGTAGAATGTGTAGAATGTGTTCAAAGTAAAAACAGAAGCAAGGTCATCAAGGCATATCAACACAAGGGAGGAAACGCTGGAAGAACAAAGCAAAAGCTAACAATCTCAGAACTCGGTGGATGAGAGAAAATCACCGGGAGATCAGCTTGATAAGAGGAAAGCAAGTGGAGATGAGAATTGTCTAGAGAGAGAGGAGCTACGCAGCCTTGTACACATCACCCATGGCCATAGCAACCGGGGCAACTACGATCGTCATGTAAACAAAACCTGAGTCAGCGGAAACCAGGCGGTGAGCAACGCTGGGCACCAACTTGCCAAGACTGGAAGGGGCTGGGCCGACACGTCGATTATGTCATCACTTGATCCGGGCCCAATGGGGGAACTATCCGAAAGAGGACTAGTCGCCATCTGTCGGTAAGTCGACCAATCAATCCACAGCACACAAATCGCTACTGTGCCCTGAAACCCTCTACCTCACATCCGCAAAAACGAACACTTCGATCTTGACCGTTCCGTATCTCGACAACCACCCATCCTCGCCGCCCCCGGGACCTTCAAAATGAAGTGTACGTCTTCACCATTCGACTCCCCTTGCGATCTGTATGCTGACGGATATATTATAGTCATGAAAGTGGGCCGTGTGGCCATCATCACCCGTGGCCGCTACGCCGGTAAGAAGGTACGACAAGATCCTTACCCTCTCCCGAATTGAGCACAAGAAGAATGGAAAGAGGCGAACGAATGGAAGCGAAAGACTCGAGATTTGAAAGAGCATAGCGCAATATGGAGGACTGCGCAACAATTAAAAAAATTCGGAGTGCTAATCAGGCATTTTTGTTCGACTTTACAGGTCGTCATTGTCCAGCCCGTTGATGCTGGCTCCAAGTCGCACCCCTTCTCCTACGCCATTGTCGCCGGTATCGAGCGTTACCCCCTCAAGGTTACCCGTGGTATGGGCAAGAAGCTCGTCGACCGCCGCAGCCGCATCAAGCCTTTCATCAAGGTCGTCAACTACAACCACTTGATGCCCACCCGTTACACTCTCGAGCTTGAGGGTCTTAAGGGTACCGTCACCAACGACACCTTCAAGGAGGTCTCTCAGCGCGAGGACGCCAAGAAGACCATCAAGAAGGCCCTTGAGGACCGTTACACCAGCGGAAAGAACCGTTGGTTCTTCACTGCCCTGCGTACGTTTGGCCCAGGATATACATATATATACAATTTGAAACTCGACACTAATACTCCAGAACAGGTTTCTAAACGGTTTACTTGGGCGTTTTGTCGTTTTGAGCGCACGGGTCTAGGTGAAGGCGAGGTCGAAAAACCATCGAGCACATTCGATCCCTGCGAGCATGGGATGGGAAAACATACACCATGGCTGGAAACAGATTCGTGAATGTATCGATGAACTCCAGTTTTAACGGGGGCGCCACTTCCATACCTGGTGTCCGTCTGAATGAAATGGAAAATGAACAATTATTTCAAAATCAATGTTGTCTATTACCCGAAAAACGGTCGACATCTTCCTCTTTCCCATAGGCCGGGAACAAGATTGATCTGTCACAACACGGATCATTCCCACGTCGGTGGATGGCCTTGTAGCTATGTGGTTTGTCCCAGGTCATTCAATTCCATGGTGTCATTGCTACGACTGGTGTATCCATGCCCATCTGTAATGCGCAATCGTAGTTCTCAAAAGCAGTTGCTTCTATCCTGGCTTGCAGCGCTAGGCGTCCTCTTTTCCTAACTACTCTATTCCCAAGCACACTACCCGAACGAAGACTGCATTCTCGAACTTCGAGGTTGATATGTCGAGGAAGCCCCTGAAGGTCTAGGTCCTCTCCATACTCAAAGATGCAATTATAGATTCTCTTCCTCCACAGTCCATGTAACATGTGAACCCCACCCCCGCCAAGATATATGTAACGTATATTATCCCTCAGCCATATGGATATCAGCGCTTACAAAGTACTTACCATCAACATGGCTAGATCTTTGGTTTATTTCTAGCATACGCAGCATCGTTGCTTGTGCTGCCATCCCGCTAACACTATAGTTTTGACGGTTTTAGACCCCGAGACTTCACAATGCAATGCAAACAAAGAGTTGCTTTGATTCAGTGGACAACACGCCTTGGTTCTACCCTCGCTAGTAAACAAGGGAACATTGGTCTTTGAATGATATTCTCAATATAACCTTCGAGATAAGACTAACGCATTCTTTATCTTCATTGTCTTCTTTCTATTATGGTCTCATTGGCTCGGATTATGACTTTTCATTCATAGTTGATGCAGCCCATACGCAGTACGTATATATAAACCACCATCGTGTCCTCCGTCGGCTTCAGTCCATATCATCTGGTTATCACTGGACTATTCTTTCAATTGACTATACAATCATCTAACACGGGATTTAGCAAACTACGTGTCATCACCAGTCATCCTATTTCCGCAACCATGACTCAGCTAGCTACTATTTACGAGGATCCTAGAGAGGAATGGGCAGATAACGAGGTCCATCGGCACTACAACATGCCTATGGTAGCCGTTCGAGCCAAACCTCGCATCCAGATGCGCTGCAACGTATACCGCGACAATGCCTCGCTTCTAAAGGTAAATCTCAGTATCGACAAATGGGTTAATACCGAATATTTCATCTGGGAGATGTCCGCAGGGTTAGCTAATAGCGGCGTAAGCCCACAGTGGAAGGAGTTATTCGAAGAAAAATATAAGGAAAAGTGGGTGCAGATCCAGAACGAGTTCGAGGGTATAGCCGATCTGCCCGAGAGATTCCTTCACAAGGTTCCGGCCCCGCCCTTTCAGGTAGCAGAGGTGAGAATCAAGACTAAGAAAGATCCATGTTATTGGAGGCTCCGTGCTAATACCGGCCGTCACATGGTTGACACGAGCTTCTGGTATCTTTGGAAGTTGATTCTCCAGCAGAACTCGCCCGTCGTCGGTACCTTTGACGTTATTCTCAGAGCACCCTCGCACACTCCTGCCGGGGAGGTTCCTATCGCTCCTTGGGATGTGCCCCTATCAGATGGATCACACTGGTGTTATCAGGAAGATGTTTCCTATCCTGGCTGCGAACGCGCACGCAAGAATCTCGCTCCATTGGATTTCACGTGCCTCCGGCAAGGAGTACAGCGAGATGATATCCCTCTAGCTAGGCGCGGCCGATCACGCTCTACCTCAGCTACTGTGGACCTATCGCAACGCAGGCGAGCTCGTACTTTCTATGATTGAAAGTGGGGCATGTCTCCAAATGCGAGAATGAGTAGTATGACAAGTCCACTGGAGGTGGATAATAGCTCCCGTAGAATGGAGATATTATCTATGAGCACTTGATAGAATTTGTTCTGCTCTCTTATTCTTCTGGCCTAGTGTATGTTTACCCCAAGCATATAGTCCCGTTAATACAATCTATTTGTTGCGCTAATCATTCTCAAGTGTGATACATACGAAGTATCGAGTAGAATTTGGCCAAAAATTAAGCCCTCAAAGTAGTACCGATATCTGAAGTACCACATGTGTTGAATAGATCCGCATAAGATGTCAAGATGCAGACTACAAAAGTGCATGCCGAGAACAATCAATCTTGCCATACTATCATGTCCGGGATGGATATAGCTGTACAATGGCTGATTTACTTCAAGGTGAATCATCATATGATAGGATCGACCTTGGAAGAATATCTGAAACTCGGAGTGGTGTGATCTAGACAACTGCGACAATAAAATATGCCCACTCATGCGTGGCATCATCTCCGACAGCTAGTTCTCTTAGTACACCGCTTGATGTGACTCTCCAGTGCCGATGTGCTTAACAATTGTCGAGTCACAGGCAAAGCGCTTCGAGGGCACTAGTTTCCTGCATAGTTGATCACAGTTGAGCACCTATCATTGGATCAAACCCTGCACATGGTAATGTATTGCCAAACAGAAACCCCATTTCATTTGGACATCACATGTCTCTAAGGCAACACAATTGAACCCTTGATATAGCGTTAACGTTAGGTGACACCTCAGTTTCGCATGTGAAATACCGTAAACTAACGGGTCACGGGCCTCCACCACACTAGATGTTCGTAAGGCTAACCGAGACGCCACTTTCCCTATTCTTGTAGAGAGGTATTGTAAGTCCGCCACCCGGAGTATTTGGAGATGTGATATTCTCCCAACTATTCTAGACTCGATTGTATGTCAGAAATAAAAAGGGAGTGGCGTGCTTGCCACAGCCTGAATCGAAAATGGATTTTCGCACTACAAACTTTATAATAGATAATCCCTACAGCTCTAAGAGCAGTGATAGGTTGAATGCTAACAGTATAGTTTCTGGGCAAGGGTTCGTTCACAGGAATAGAGGAAACAGAGTTTGTACTTTGTAGATGTTGAGACAAACGTGCTGGTCAAGACCCACGGTATACAGGGATCTACATAGTAGCTTAATCGGGTGGATCGCCGCGATCCGGTTCGCCTCAGTAAAGGAGAAAAAGAAACGGAAGGGCAAAAAAGGTCATCGCCCCTCTTCGGCTTCAAAGCTCAATGCTCATGAGATATTCAGCTTCAGCCGCCATCTTCGGTTTTTTCGGCCGACAAGTATGGGAAATCTGGCCACCCGGCTTACCCTGATAGCACTACCGAATATCATTTCCGCATTCCCTTCGCCCGGGTATGAACCTTGAATGGGAATACAAGGTCTGGATATGTAAGTGCCAAGGTACATACCTTCTAGCCTTCACATAAACAGACCAGGCTAGCACATTCAATACGACCATAGTATAGTCCTATCGAACGCGACCGTTTCATAGCCACATCAAGCGCCGAGATTCGGATGAATCTACAAATCACTTGGCCCGTCGCACGCCCGATTCTGGGGGAGTATTCAAACCGGCTAGGACCTTGCGCAATGTTCTTTCCCCTCATACGGAGTACATTTGCACCGGAAGCCGTTACGTATTCCCGAGCGTACAAGGGGCCGACGCTCAGGCCAATGGGTGGGTACATCACTAGCATCACTAATGTACTCCGTAAGCGCAGACGGCCTAGACTCGCAAGCTAGAAGCCGAAGCGTCAGTATTCTGGCAGGCCCCGATCGGCCAGCTGCGGCCGCTGTCTGTGTTATTATAGGGTGCAGATAAGCAGGTTTGTCCAACGAGAAACAGTGAAATGGGTGAAAACAAGGTTTATCTTTCGTGAAGTCACCCGTGGACCCCTCATTTGGAATACAGGAATATCGAACCCTTGGAAGAAGCTTGGAATGTAGTAAATGGTGAGCTCTATAAGATACAGAATATATGATAGAGAAGATCATACAAGTGGAACCACACGGCGTTTTTGCCTTAGACCCGCAATCACATGCGAAAGGAGCTTTATCACAATTGCATGTGGTATTTTTTTTTTCAAAAAATTTGCAATTCGTAGTATACGTATTTGGTATGGAATATATTCAATACCAAGCTATAATTAGCCATAGAATTCAATTCAATGTTGCTCTTACTGTTTGCAGTGCACGCCCAAAGTCAATGGCGCATTGGCGTGGGGGTATCACTTGGGACCTCAAGCTGTCGAACCCTTTCCTTTATAGAAAATATAAGGGGAAAATATAGAAGAAAAAGAAGAAAAATCCAAAACGAAGAACTAAAACATCCAATCAAAATAACCAGCCGAGAATACCATGTATTGCAATGATGCGATTGCGGTAGGACCCATTGCATAATGACAGCGCAATCACATGTGAAAATCCTAATTTTCTATACAACCCAACTTATTCCTCTCCCTCTCTATCTTTTCTTCTAAATTCTTACTATAATTCATCATACTCATATCACTATCTTCATGCCTCACACAGAAAACAAAATGGGTGAACCGGTTGTCAACGGCGAGAAGCACTACTCCCAGTTCCTCGATGTATGTACACCCCCACTACATCACCAAAAGGCAGATAGCAAGAATCAGCCCATACTAACTTAACACTCCCTAATTTAGCATCTCACTTCCTACCCTATCATCTCCGACTCCATCTCCTACTACAAGGGCAACCCTTACGGAGCCAAGTCCCTTGAATTCGCCGACCAGGGCTACACCCGTCTCGCCAAACCTGTTCTACCCTACTTCTCCACTCCCTACAGCTATGTTGCTCCCTACCTAGCTCGCGCCGACTCCCTCGGTGACAAGGGCCTGACCCAGATCGACACCCGCTTCCCTATCATCAAGGAGGATACCCAGAAGCTGCGCGGCACCATCTACAACAGTGCTTCCCTACCCGTCCGCGTCGCCGGTGATGTCAAGCACCATGTCTTCGGTGTTTATGGTTCTGAGTACAAAAAATGCGGCGGTGATGGTGTTCTTGCTTCGGGCAAGGCTGTTGTCACTACCAGCTTGGTTCTGTCGCAGGAATCGCTGGCTTGGGCTAGCGCTTTCCTCCAGACTAAGAAGGAGGAAGCGAAGGAGGTTGTCAATGAAAAGAACAGCAACTGATTTTAGATCTCTTTGAACTTTTGGAGCGTTCTTTTTTTTCGTTTTTCTATTTTTTAGAGAAAATAATACCTTATCGCTGCTCTGTGTGTTGCTTTGCCCTCGTTGTATTTAGTTGGTTTTTCCTAGATCTATGGATGTATGTTGTACTCCAAACCTCAACGCTAATTTACTGGATTTAATATGCACATAACCTTCTATGTATGTAGATATTGCAAAATATATTCTTTAATAAATAATCAAAGATAGTCCTCGAAAGAACCCCTAAAACAAAAAAAAAAAAAAAAAAAAAACGACCCTGGGAAACACTTGCCGCAACAAAGAATCATTGATAACGGCCACGCACAGACCAGCCCCAATGGGGTAAAATCGTTCTATCGCGTCGCGTCCACCTATCTACAACTCTCCACCACATAATCAAAATGCCAGCACGCAAAAGACCAGTACGCAGCCTCATATCCACTTATATTATCCACCAACTAACCTCCACCCCCAGAACGCAGCCTCGGAGACCGAGTCAACCCCAAACGCGCGTCGGCGCATCAGACAAAGCGAAGAACCCGAATCATCAGCATCAAACAGCGACGATGACGAACCAAGCGCACCAACCAGCACAGACGCAATGGTCAAGAGAATGGTCCGACTCGCCATAGCAAGCGAGTACTCGCGGCTCCCGATCCGACGCAACGACATCAGCACCAAGGTGCTAGGCGAGCAGGGCTCGCGACAGTTCAAGCTAGTGTTCGACCAGGCGCAGCGGGAATTGAGGCAGCGCTTTGGTATGGAGATGACCGAGTTACCGGCGCGAGATAAAGTCACCATTAGTCAACGACGAGGTGAGCATCTTTTCTTTGTTCGCAGACCCAAGTAATCACTATTGACGTTCGACAGCCGCGCAGAAAACTGAAAAACCTTCCTCGGCTAATAAGTCCTGGATCGTTACTACCACCTTGCCGCTCCCATACCGTTCTTCTGATATCCTCATTCCAACTAAGGCGCCCTCCCTCTACACTGAAAGCACATATACGGGCCTGTACAGCTTTATCATAGCGTTGATTGTGCTGAATGGTGGTTCGCTGGCTGAGCAGAAACTTGATCGGTACTTAACGCGCACTAATGCTGAGATTGCTACGCCGGTTGACCGCACGGATAAATTGCTGCAGCGGCTATGCAAGGAAGGGTACATTATCAAGACGCGGGAGATGGATGGTGGTGAGGAGCTCATTGAGTATGTTCTTGGACCGCGGGGTAAAATTGAGGTTGGCACTGGTGGTGTGGCGGGGCTTGTGCGAACTGTTTATGGGAAGAACCATAGTGACCACGAGGGCTTGACTCAGCTCCAGAGGGAAGACCTTGAGGATTTCGAGACGAAGCTTGGGAGGAGTCTTGGGATTGAGCCGGCAACGGTACGAGCCAATACGATGGACGGTACTAGCGATGTGGATGGAGATTCTCGAGTTAACGGAAACGAGGAGACGCCGCGGAGCTCGGGCCCTAGGCGGTCTTCGAGGCGTGGTCCTAGTCCGGAAGAAGAGGAAGATTCACATTCTGAGGAGTATGATGAGGAAGAGTGATTGATTTATGTTTGATTGGCATGCTGTGATAACACAGGGATACATACTACATGTAGGTATCTGCAACTTGATACCCAGGATATGATAGGTCATGGAAGTACATTTGACCAATATTGGCCTTCTTAATATTTGATCTATAGTTCGAATTGTAGACTAGAACGCAATGTAGATTCTTGAACGTGCCCAAGTCCGTGAAGGCTAAGTTGGGTCCTTGGTAAGGGTCTATTCGTGTGGAAGTGCTCTGCTTAGCTTGGGATTTGGTCCTTATGGAGAAAGGTGGTGTACTTGTCGCATTATTCTAGTTTAGCCTAGTCTTACAATAAAGCTATATTAGGAACGAACTATGTAGTAAATGGTCTCTCCTTTCGATTACGAATCCCATAGCTATTAGTGTTCTGGAAGAAGATTACAATGCTATTTAGCCCTTGAGACAAATAGATGTAGAATTTTAAAAGTCAGCTACAATTGTAACTGAGGATCCAAGCTTGCTATTGACTTTTATAGATCTTCGTACCATGCATGATCAGCGACTTCACGTGAAAGCTAATTTGAACTTCACGGACAATCAATTTCTTTGTCTATAACAGTGACCAGTATAGAATATCCGAGGGACAATGTAGTGCTCAATTCTGAGCAGTCAGCAGCGGTCATGCTTAATATCAAATTCGTCCTTACTTCGACCACATCTTCATCGCCAGACATAACACTAGAAGGCACCATATACCCATACCTTGGAAAGAAGAAGAACCTCTCTATAAAAAAGTCCGTCTTCTAGGTATCTACGTATGTAGGTTAGCAGTCTTGAATCTTGATCACAGGTGGAAATGGACCTCAGAAGCCCTGGAGGACGTACAGGGCTGAAAAAGTTGGAAAGTTATTGTCCCTCCTACTGTGCATCAATCCAATAGAGACTACTATCAGTCCTCATCCACCTTATTCTAATTTTCATTCGAGATATCTCTACAGCAACATCAGTATCAAACTCGCCGTTGTTAATTCCACGATTGAATATTATGCGGACGCAACATCTCCCAATCTGCTCGTGTCAAGTCATATATCCGGGTAGTGAGCCAGATATTCTTTGGTCATATCAAGTGCAAGTTTATATATTTGAACTAGGTTCGATTTGGGGATGAACTTGAAGTTAACGTTGAAATGGAATCTAAGACTAGCTTGAATATATATGTACCAACTAAGAGCCAAGGATATATGTTTTTAACTGATCAGATGTCTTTTTCTAGCGATTAACTAGGGCCGAGTCCGTAGAGACAAATCTACGATAGTCCTTTATATCGAACTATGATAGAACTGAGACACACACAGATAGCTTCTAGATTGAACATGGTGCTAATCCTTCGTTGATATCGCTTAGTTACAAAGATGGGAATAGGAAACCTTGAAATGAAGTCGAATAATTAATTACATACATGAATAGTAGAAGGTTGAACGAGATAACTTTTGTTCAGTCTTAATAGAGGGTACATTGAGTACACCGGTGCAGTGTACTGTGCATATGCTTGTCCCAGGACTCGGCCGCCAAAACCTCAGCCATGACACACAGAACTGGAAATTGATAGTCACCCATGGGTATACAGCACTACGAAGGGCTAGGGTTCACTAATTATTCTATTCTACAGATGATTGTCTACGTTACAAGTATACGAGGAAAAAGAGAAAAGATAACTTGAGTCATAAAAATGTGGGTAGTCATTTTTGGCAACTACGCAGCAAATCTACCTTCCATCCAGTAATTGTTTTTGAAAAGAAAAAAAAATCATCACGGCATAATGAGCATTATCCGAGAATCATTTATTTCTTACCAGCCTTGGCAGCGGCCTTGGTGACCTTGCCAGCGCCACCAGCGTTCTTGGCAACGGACTTGATGACACCGACGGCAACGGTCTGACGCATGTCACGGACGGCGAAACGACCGAGAGGGGGGTAGTCGGTGAAGGCCTCAACACACATGGGCTTGGAGGGAACCATCTTGACGATAGCGGCATCACCGGACTTGATGAACTTGGGGGAGGTCTCGGTGGCCTTACCGGTACGGCGATCGATCTTCTCGAGGAGCTCAGCGAACTTGCAGGCAATGTGGGCAGTGTGGCAATCGAGGACGGGAGCGTATCCAGCGCCGACCTGACCGGGGTGGTTCAGGACAATGACCTGAGCGTTGAAGGAGTCACAGCCAGCGGCGGGGTCGTTCTTGGAGTCGGAAGCGACGTTTCCACGGCGAACCTCCTTGACGGAGACGTTCTTGACGTTGAAACCGACGTTGTCACCGGGGTTACCGGCCTTGAGCTGCTGGTGGTGCATCTCAACGGACTTGACTTCAGTGGTGACGTTGGCGGGGGCGAAGGTGACGATCATGCCGGGGGTAATGATACCAGTCTCGACACGACCGACGGGAACTGTGCCAATACCGGAGATCTTGTACACATCCTGGAGGGGAAGACGGAGGGGCTTGTTGGAGGGACGGACGGGGGTCTCAATGGCGTCAATGGCCTCGAGAAGGGTCTTTCCGGTGGACTTGCCAGCCTTGGTCTCCTTCTCCCAACCCTTGTACCAGGGGCAGTTGGTGGAGGGCTCAAGCATGTTGTCGCCGTTGAAGCCGGAGATGGGGACGAAGGGAACGGACTTGGGGTTGTATCCGACCTTCTTGATGAAGTTGGAGGTCTCCTTGACAATCTCGTTGTAACGGTCCTCGGACCACTTGCAGGTATCCATCTTGTTGAGGGCAACGATAAGCTGCTTGACACCGAGGGTGAAGGCAAGCAGAGCGTGCTCACGGGTCTGGCCATCCTTGGAGATACCAGCCTCGAACTCACCAGTGCCGGAGGCGATGATGAGAATAGCGCAATCGGCCTGGGAGGTACCAGTGATCATGTTCTTGATGAAATCACGGTGACCGGGGGCATCTGTAATGAGATAGATTAATATTTGTTCCAAGTCCGAATGAATGTGAAAGTCTCTTACCGATGACGGTGACCTCGTACTTAGCGGTCTGGAACTTCCAGAGGGCAATATCGATGGTGATACCACGCTCACGCTCAGCCTTGAGTTTGTCAAGAACCCAGGCGTACTTGAAGGAACCCTTTCCGAGCTCAGCAGCCTCCTTCTCGAACTTCTCGATGGTACGCTGGTCAATACCACCACACTTGTAGATCATGTGACCAGTGGTGGTGGACTTGCCGGAATCGACATGGCCGATAACGACGATGTTGATGTGGCTACGCTCTTCTTTACTGTTTTGAAGTCAGTCTCAGTTCTGAAAAGAAGTGACTCGATTGTCACATACCCCATGATGACGGTTAAAACTTTTTGTAGTTCTTTGTAAGATACTAGAAAAAATCTGTGGAAAAATTGCTCAGAGACTACGGCAGAACGCGTAGAGGTACTGAGCAAAAGTAATCAGTAAAGAGTCGGAAGAGAGAGAGCTTTTAAAAGCAGTAGGGGGCGAGGGAATACTCACTGTAGCAGACGAGAGGAAGAAAGAAAAGTCTGTGGGAGGGGGGAGGAGGGGAAATCCTTATATGGAGGGGCAAGCGAGCGAGGCGAGTCAGCAGGTGGGGCCAAGCCCTCTTTGGTTAGGGTTTCTGATTGGTTCTAACCCTTACCCGTGCACGCAGATTTTGCAAAGTGGGTTGGTGGGATGAAGTACATGTACTTACCACAACGTGTTTACCACCATACCTTACGAAGTACTATCTACCTCTATGCTTGAAACAGCCCTCCGTTTCCCTGGTTTTGTCCTGCCATGGCACTCCACTCGGTGCGAATTTTTTTTTTTCATCGGCTCCGTCCCAGCCCACTTTGTGGCTCTAAACGCTTGAACTGGGCAGCAACGCAGAGTGGTTGGGTGAAAACTTTTAGTTTGCATTGTTTACTTTGCGCATTTTCTAGTTTTTTTTTCGGCCTTGTACTGTGGTGATTGGGGATCTCAATTCATTTTTTCACTTTTTTTTTCACCTTTCTTCTCTTTTGCCTCTGAGAGCCCCGCGGGAGGGGCAACATTCTCACCGCCAAATCATCCCACCAACAATGTCATGCATATAGAATATTTTTTCTTTTCTTTTTTCGCCTACGATGATTCATATGTTCTAGGCAGAACCCAACGTCGGGCTCTACATCTGTATTAGGCCAATTGTATTTATAGGAAAGTACAGCAAATGTCAAAGCCACAAATATCATATAAAGTACAAATGCATAAAAAAAATAGATCCATGTCCCACTCGAAAAAAGTTTCCGCCGATCGCATAAAGTAATCTGTGCGCTACATATAGAGACTGTGACGTCGATCAATTTGGGTATCGTTGTATCAACTTTATATGTTCGAGCTATGTCCAACGCCCCCCCTAAATACTCTGTAAATGCGCCATTTGCACCTCGCTGTAATAAACCTCAATGAAAGCAAAAAGAAATGCAAGTGACTTTTTCCAGCCTTGTAGCCCAACTCTAATTTTCTCTCCACCGAGCACCACATGAGGTACACTAGAGCTGTCAGAAACGGGTACCTCACGTTGGAACGTAAGGAGGGAGACATACCTTTAAGAATGTAGTCATCGGTTCGTCTGCACTGCGAATCTGCAGCTGGAAGAAGTACGCACGTTCCCCGTTGCAGCTTTCGGCGGGGCATTGAGCTACAAGGGTAAGAGAACGAAGCTGTCAGCCTTGTATTTCTCGACGGACATGTCACCCCTCAGAGAAGATAAAAGAAGGAACTTACTGGCAACACTGTCGGCATTGGCAAACTCCTCCTTGCCACCAAAGACATCGTCCACTTCCTTTTGTTTCATACTCTTCTTCTCGAAATAGTTCTTGTCCAGCGGGGCTTCATAGGGGCAGACGCGGCATTCGAAGCGGTTCACACCCGCAGGGAATCTTGTGCTTGATTCCGCTTTGGAGATGGTGAGAGCATTGCTGCAATTAGGACAGACTGGAGAGAGTAGTCAGTTTCTGTTCTGGACTGTCGCTGGACATCGCTAACTCGGTGATAGCACATACAGACTAGCATCTTGATGATCTGGCTGGAGGATGCAGTGGGTAAGGTGAAGAAAGCGTCAGGCAGCTAGATCGGGACAAAGGTACGTTCTCAGCAGCTGTATAACGTAGTCCCCGTTAGGTGCAGAACATCACCGTCGATGATAAGAGATCTAGGCGCGCGGCTAAATCCCAACGGTAGCCGGAATATTGTATATCCGGGCGGCCCGCGCGTGGGATGTCCCTGGGGAACAACTCCAATAACCTGTTGTATTTACCAGGAACTTGAATGCCTCAAGTTTGATCAGACAGACCGGCTTGTACATACATATTTCACTTTACTTCCTTGTGAAATATTTATCCTGACCACCGAAATACCATACAAACTGCCTGGTTGTTGTTACAACTAGCTCATTGCGTCCTACTACAGCTGAGCACCAATTCCGGTACTACCGACCTCATTCTCGCGTATTTTGGACTTTGTGGACCCATACACAGATATGGCTGACGAGGTGAGGACTACTCATTAGACCATTGCTAATAATTAACGCTAATGCTGCTATGATTTAGGGCGCATCACCCCGCGAGTTGGTCGTGGAAGCCTGCCGCCGGGACCAACCCCACCTAATTGAGCAAGTGATGAATGAAATGGACGAGAAGGACAATGAGCAAGTGGCACAATTCTTCAATGAGGTGACAGACTCTATGGGAAACCACGCATTGCACATCTGTGCCCAGTACGGCAGCTGTACGTGTTTGTTTTGCCACTTCCCTATACTGCTTATCTCTCATAGAAGCTAACTCTCTTTGTTAATGGTTAGATGACACAATGGATGCACTGTTTGACATCCAATTCTTCGAATGTGACCCGTTGACCCGGTTGGACAAGGACACACCGTTGCACATCGCAGTGCGGTACGCCAATGATAAAGACGCAGAGCTGGGTGAGGCCATGATCAAGATGATGTGTGAGGCTGGATGTGATCCCCGAGTGCGGAATAAGCATGGTCAGAAGCCTGCCGACCTGGTCTTTAACAATAACGAGATCAAGAAGACCCTTCAACAATCCGAGTATATCATGGCTGAAGGTATTCAAAATACCGAAGCTGACTCGGATGGCGGAGAGGCTAGCGATAGTGATTAAAGGGGGAGAGACTACCCAGGGTGTTCGCATTGCCGTCCATTGTATTGCAGGCTTTCTCTGTTTCTGGTTAGAAGGCTAGAGATGCTCTAGCTGCGATGTCTGTTTTTATGCATGAGTCTTAGACTTGGCCACATCTTCTACTTCTATTTTACGATTATTACGAATTAAGTGCAGTCTTTCAAGGCTGATATCATAGAATTAACTTCTTTTTTTTCGGCAAACTACTAAACTAGAGGGAAATGCCGTTCGTCTATTTCCAGGGGATATTACAAAGCTAAACCTTCGACGCCTTAACAAGCTTCTGTACTTGATCCAGCCACTTACGGGAGAACTCCTCTGCGGTAAACCGTTGAGCCGAGCGACGAGCCCGCTGCCGCATGGCGAGTTTTTCTGCCTCCGGAAGAGCAAGAGCAGCCTCGAAAGAAGCAGCAAACTGCTCTTCTGTTTCAGCTCGGAATCCAGTTGCACCATCGCCCAAATCAACGACAATGTCTTCACGTGGACCGCCCGAGTCATGTGTCACACAAATGAGACCAGCGGCCTGATACTCCACGACACAAATTCCAAAGTGTTCATTCCACATAGCATTGACGCCAACGGAGGCGGTACTGAGATGTGACAGCATGGCAGGCCAGCTGGCGTCGCACAAGAAGGTGGTATGGTCGCGGATGCGAAGTTCATGCGCCAGGAGGCGCAGATTGTAGATGTGGGTTTCATCAGGACTGGAATGGCGCACAGATCCAATGAGAACAAGGCGTGGAGGGGGTTGACCTTCGTAGGCTGTGTTTTTTGTTCGTTCTTGTAGGAATCGCGCAAAGGAGCGCAAGACTAGTGGGTGATTCTTCTCTGGCCGGAATTGGGCGATGTAAAGGAGAACGGGTTGCCGAGTCTTCTCGCTCTCCGCGTCAACGGCAATATTTGATTGTAGTTCGGTGACTGCAGTTGGGGGAAATACCACCGCCGGCGATGATGCGGTCCCATCGCCGCTGCTGTTGCTGCCTTTCCTGCCGGTGCCCCAGAGCGTACGGATGTGTGCTGCGGTCCAGGACGAATTGCACATTACCACATCGACCTGTCGACCGACCCAGCCATACAATTTGGCAAATAGCTCCCAGTACCGACGCTTTATTTTCCCTTTCCACCCTTTCCCTGCGCCGGAATTGATCCCTTGCACCCCGCTCTTGTCGTCAAGGGAGGCAAGCATGTCAGTTGATATTGTCGGGTAATGAACGTAGGCGCCAACAGGCACTGTCGGGAAAAGCCATTTGCACATAGCAAGCGTGAATGCATAGCCCATGGTGTCAACAAAAACATCCGGTACAAGCAACGTAAAAGCATCATAGGCAACAACTAGTGACCCCAGCGACTGCCCCAGTAGCGTCATATAAGGATATGAGCTACTAACGACATACTTGCGGGTTGTCAAGTATAGGAGGACCACGGTGGGCGCGTGTAGGTGAATATTGAATCGGTTCTCCACTCTCTCCAGCATAGTGGCTTTATTGACTTCATGGTCACCCGTGTAGATAGCGCAGATTGCCTTCGGCCAGCGCTTCTGGGTTGCACGTATCGCTTCCCATAAGACTCGTTCGCCACCTCCACCGGCATTGCTGTAGCATATAGTCAGCGTTGTACGTTTCGATATGTATAAAGAGTGCCATACCAGAATGGGTGAAAGAACCCAATGATCCCATCCCAGTCCTCTGAACTCTGGTTGCTTTCCTGGCTAGTACTGCTACTGGTTTCACTGCCAGTTGACGTCTGTACCCCGCCTGGGGCTGAACTATCCACCTTCTCCCAATCCTCATCCTCGGCACCGTTCCGCGATAGTGAAGTTGTTGAACCCTTCGGCCGTGAGGCGCGTAATTCCTCCTCTTCAGATCGCGCCCGCGCGATCACATATTCCCGGCGAGACCGTGTTCGTCGCCATATCAGCCAGCCCACTCCCCGAAACACTAGACCGAGGAGAACGCCTGTTAGCTTCGGAAGCAGGATAGCCGTGGCGGTGAGGACTAGAATGGCCAGTATGGCGGTTGATAAGAGGGCCATGGTGAAAAGGCAATGATTAAAGAGACCTCATCAGAAATCACACATAGTAAAAGAATTTGAAGTCAAACTGGTTAATAAGTCAGAAATGATCCCCCTCTCTTGTTGTCAACACGTTGATCAATCGGGCCAATGAAGTAACTTAAGCTGTGTCACATGATGATTTCCACATATCTGATTTCCGTTGCGCGACTTCTATAGCTTCACTACTTCTAGCTACCTTTATTTTTTTTATCTTGCCTCACCCGGCGACAGGAGTGATGTACGCCCTCCGCTCGACACATGCTCTGCATTCAACGCGGCGAATCATACAATTGCCTCGCTTGCAGGTTCGACAATTCCACCCAACAAGACCAGCACCATCCGCCATCATCGACCTTGCACTAGACAGCTCCACCGCATTTATTCACGGCGTCCACAATGTTTCGTGTTTACCTTGGGTTGCCTCAATTCCTCTCACGGCCGTACTTGTTCGTACATTTGTCGGGTTGCCCATCATGATATATACTCGACTCCATCGGCACCGCGAGAAAAAGATATCGCTAATTATAAGCGCTTGGGCGAGGAGATATCAAGAGAAAGCTTCGACTCACCAAAAGGCTACGAGTCGGGAGAAGAAGTTAACACCTTTTGAGCGAAAGAAGAAAGTCGCTCTTGATCTCAGAAACCAAAAAGCTGTGCTTCACAAGCGTTGGGGAATATCTGGGAAGCACAAAGCAATTGGCTTACTGCAGATACCTGTCTTTATTGCGCTCATGGAAAGTCTGCGCGGGATGAGTGGCAACAATAGCGGCATCATTGCCTGGCTGTCGTCGTTCATCGAGTCACAAGACCCCGCCTCCGCAGCCCAATCTCTACATCTAACCGTGGAGCCTACTCTTGCGAATGAGGGCGCGCTCTGGTTTCCGGATTTGCTGGCCGGCGACTCTACAGGTGTGCTGCCACTTTTGCTGACTGCGTCGATCTTGGGGAACGTTCTCACCGGATGGAAAGTCATGCCCCTGAGCGAGATCCAGCTCCTTTCAAAGACCGAGATGTATAAGCAGATCTCTCTCAGTGGTTTGCGATCCTTTATCGTGGTTTTCACATGCTATATTGGCTTCGCGAGCTGGACTCAGGAGATGCCAACTGCACTTATGCTCTACTGGATCACCAGTACCAATCTTGCTACACTGCAGACTTGGATACTGGATAATAAGGTGTTTTCACCAGTGATGTTCAGACACCACATCCAGAAATCCATCGCTTTCGTGAAACCGGGTGATGACGACCCTTTCCAGTTGAAAAACTTGCGCTGATTCCATCCGTGGGAAACGTTTCATGGAATAACATGGGATATTTGTTCTTTACCATGCCTTGGATTGATGGTGGCTTGCTCCACCATATTCCATTATAGGGTTGGAACTACGCCCTGACTCTAAATGGATTCCAAGAATTCATCAGGGTGGAGCCCACATTTCACACCGATTTGACAACAAGCTAATGTCAGACCTGATGCAACCCATGGCCTCTGGGTGACTGGTACAGACTTTACGAGCCGGCTCGGATAGGACCAGTCGTCACAGTGTAGCCTTTTGGGTCAACGTTCATAATTTGGTCCAACCCCCCTGCTGAATGACAGTCCAGGATACATCTAGTTCATCGACTGGTTTCGCGATTCATTGTGTAGCATAGCTCTTGCGCACCTGTATTCATGTACAATAATATTCTTTTCTTCTCACAAGAATAGTCGGCCACGGATGCGGTCCCTAGCATGAAAATATCTACTACCTTCTATTTCTTCGATTGAGCTGTTATATTTTCCATATATTCTTCTAACGAAATAAAAGTTGATTGTACATTCGTCAATTAGCCTAGAAGTCCATGCTTTAGACCTCTAATGTCTTTTTTCCAGTTGTCTGCGATGTCGTAGCTGTAAGTACAGCTAGGAATGGGACCTCGTGAATAATAGTGCACGGAGTAAACATGCCCGGGAGGCAGAGACAATCTAGGCTGTCATTCTACCATATACAGTATACTATTCATTCAGGAGTGACAAAGACGGATAAAAAGCATGAAACGTAAAGAGGACTTTCTAACCTGTAACAAGGGACATTGCAAATGCGCATTAGCATCAGACAATAGATTTGTAAGATAAGAGAAATTATTCCCTAGTATCATGCCTTGGTCTTGCCGGAGAAAGTAGATTGCAGAACATGTAAAAAAAAAAGCCCGCCACCCTTCAGAATGCTTTGGAAATGTCAAGAATAAAACAGAGGACAAAACGAACACCTAAAGCTTTGACTTGGGAGGTTGTTCTGAGGCACTTGCTTCTTGGTTGACTTCCACAGTGCGCGAATCAGGGCCCTGGCCAAAGAAGATGACCTCGACAGTAACATCGTCACTGAGAGAATATTAGTCAAACCCTCAAGTAATGTCATAAAAAGAATATTCATACCGGTATCGGCGGGAGTAAGGACTGGGTAGCGTCAACAACGCACACACCATATCCTTGTCCTTTCCGCCCATTGCATTCCGCACAAGATGAGTTGCTGCGTTCTTGTCCTCAACGGTAAATCTAGTAGCAGCGCCAGAGATGTCATATTGCTGCTGGCGAATGGGACGCCGTTGCCCTTCCGTTGATCCGTCAGTTGCAGTTTCCACAGGCAGTTTCTTCTGACCATCGAACCCAAACCAGCTTTGTAGCCAAGCCTTGCTGCCTGCACCGGCAGCAGCGGATTGTTGTTGCTCAACCCATTGACCAACCAGACCGACAACTTCTTCATTGCTCAGCATCTCCCACAGACCATCGGTAGCCATGACGACGAAGTCGCCCTTGGAGGGATCAATCTTGGTGGTAGTAATGATAGGCTCAGCGGTGACATAGGGGGGCGTCTTCAGCATAGGATGAGGGGTGCGCCCAAAGAACTTCGCTTTTATGGTATCTTGGACGTCCCGGCTCCACTTGTAGAAAGCGTCACCGAACGCACGGCTAGGTTCAAGCTGGCCGAGAATTCGGCCATTCTTGGTGACGTATGGTTCGCCGGGATGTTCCTCACGCAAACGTTTCATTTCAGATGGGGTGCCACCAGTCTGGTCCTCGGAGAGGGCAGTAGCAGTCCATTTCCCGCTGGGGCCGCGACGGCCCAGAACTGCGCGAGAATCTCCGGTAACAGCAACCTTGAGATCCTTGGACTGAGAGTCATAGAAGCTGAGAAGAGCACATGATCCTGAAAGAGCGGGAGCAAGGAGCTCGGCGGCAACCCGTCGTGACTTAGATTTCAAGACTTCCTTGAAACTCTCATGTACGATGTCATTGTCAAGGCGGACGAAACCCTTCTTGATGGCGGCATCGATAGCCTCGGATGTTGGTACGAGCAGAGATGGATCAGCAGAAGCAGCTTTGTAAGTTGTGTTCAATTCACGCGCCACGTATGAGATCAAAACATTGCGCAATTTGGCGGATGTAGTCCAACCCCTAATTTATAGTTAGCATTTGCATGATAAGTATTCAGGCTTAATATAACGTACGAGTGACCATCGAAAACTCCCCAGAACATCCAGTCACTGCTCGGCTCGCCATTGCTGACAGCAGCCACGGATGCCGGAATCTCCACTATCTTCTCCGCATGGTCATCCTCAATGGGGGAATTGCTGGCAACCTGAACCACATCATAACGAACGACACCCTTACCCCGGTTGACCAGGTATGATTCCTCGTTCTTGCGAAGCTTCTGTGTCGCTTGCTCGGGGGTCAACATCTCTAGGACTTGACGACCTGATTCGTCTGTATTCTTGGCAATAGGCTGGTCTCCGGAGAGTGTCGCGGTGTAGAATTGATCGCCGCTGACCATCAACGCACGTCGCGTGGTCTCGGTGGGGCTTTCTGCGTAGGCGGAACTGAGGGCACTTGATGCGAAACCTCGGACCTGGGTTGCTGCCGATCTAACGGTGTCACCCTGATAAGCATACCATGCCCCGGAGGCAACAACGGTCGAGATAACGGCGAGGGAGAGTTTGCGGCGATGCATCGATGATTGAGGAGCTACCGGAGTGTTGGATGAACGTTTACCGCCAGAATATGGCCGAATACCTCGCAGCTGGTTGAAGGTCGAAGGGCACGGCCGTTTAGCGGCAATGTTCCATACTGGTGCACGCCGAGCAGCACGGCAGGCCTGAATAGTCGCCCGACGCATTGGTCCAGCAATAAATAAGACAGCTGATAAACTTCTATGCCTTTTGCGAGGCAGATAACAGCTCTAAGATTGTATGTAGATGATGTTTCAAGCTTATCGAGGAGGTCCAGCTCCTCGAGACGAAGTCACGTGTGAATGTTATCCAAACACGCGCTAGTCCAAATTAGTCTCTGTCGTCATTCCCCGCGGTTTTGTTTCGGCGCGATCTTTTTTGTTTCCACCTTCGAGCCAGCTTATATTACATTCGGTCGAAGGCTTTTGCCTCGTTGTATAGGATGTCATCTCGAGCAATCCGAAAACTGCAAAAGCTGCGTGAACAAGAACAGCAGCGAGAATCCGAGCAGCAAGATGAGTCAAGCGAAGACGAAGCCCCGCGCCCCGCGAAACCGAAGTTCAATGCCTTCGATTTGCTGAACGCCGAAAATGAAGATGAGGAGGAAGAGGAAGAGGAAGAGGAGATAGAGGAGGAACCTCGTCCGCAGATACCAGAGCCCGAAGCAACCTCGATAAAGCCCAAAAAGAGCAATAAGAAGAAAAAGAAGAAGAAGGCGCCCAAAACCTCCGACACAGCAAATACGGCGCCTTCAAGATCAAACGAAGCAGACCTGGATGAAATTGATCGGGCGTTGAAAGAGTTATCTACAGATGGACACCCGTCAGTTGGCACAGGTCTATCTACCAGACTCACTCCCGAGGCTTCTTTCTCAAAGACTACAAGCGAATTGCTCGGCATCGAACCCAAATTCCTCAATGCAACGAATGAGATGCGCAGACTGTTCGGAAATGTTGTTCTGGAAAACTTTGATCAACCAGCGGATAGTGGAACGGGCCGCCGTCGGGATCGCAACCGACAAATGGTCGACCTTGCTCAGGCCTTGACGGGAAGATACAGTCCAGCTAGCCGAGGTCAAAGTCTGGCTGGAGTTACATTGCGACGCAACGTTCTTATGCAGGGCAAAGATGAATGGCCTCGTGCTCCAAGTGGAGGGCTAGGCATGGAGACTGCGGAGAAGCTTCCTTCGGGGGAGACTCTTTACCGACTGGTGCACAATACCGCCTACCAAGATGTACAGCGGCAGTTTGACCTCTGTGTTGAATCGATGGACCCACAGAGACTCATCGGACACCTCCAATACAACCCGTACCATATTTCTACGCTTCTCCAAGTGTCTGAGATTGCCAAACATCAAGGCGATCATGCTGTGTCTGCCGATCTGATGGAAAGAGCTCTGTTTAATATTGGACGCTCAGTCCACTCTTCGTTTGCTAATCGCCTCAAGGAAGGCCAGGCCAGACTTGATTTCATACATGCGGAGAACCGAGAGTTCTGGCTTGTTGGGTGGAGGTACATCACCAACCTAGCAATGAAGGGCACATGGAGAACCGCTTATGAATGGGCCAAGCTCTTGCTTAGTCTGGATAGCAGCGATCCTTACTGCATGAGACTGCTCATCGACCACCTCGCTCTCCGAGGTAGAGAATATGCACAATTTGTACAGCTGTGCACCCAGACACGCTTTAGTCGCGACTGGGCCAACCTCCCCAATATTCAATGTTCGCTAGTAATGGCATATCTCCGGATGAACAAGCCTCAGGAATGTCGTCGACAGCTGCACCTCGCCATGTCCCGCTACCCATGGATTTTCAGCAGGCTAGCACAGGAACTTGATGTCCACCACGTTCCCAAGCAAATATGGGGCAAGATGCCTCCTACAGGCGCACATGAACTTCTTACCGAACTCTACATCGCCCGTGCCAAGGATCTTTGGAATACCCCCGAGGCTATCTCTCTCATCATGGAAGTCGCAGACTCTATCTCTGGTGAGGAGGAGCCTATTGAATCGCCAGAGATCACTTTGGACATCGCTCGTCATGTGGTCTTGTCCGATATAGCTAAAGTCACAACCCATCTTCCAAACCACTTCGTGGCTGGTCGGTTATCTTCCTCCGACCCACTTCCCCCCTATGAATCCGAAGCCTACCAACAACAATCTGAACCTACTCCGATCTATGCAGCTCCTGCTGGGGGTGGCGGAAATTGGCTGCAGGACCTCCTCGGTCAGATCAACCACGATGTCCGCGCTCCCAATATCCCGTCGGACGACGAAGAGCCGATTGGTTTTGAGGATGAAGACGAGAATACAGAGCATTTCGATATCCCACACTCACGCCCACCACTCAGAGATCCTGCCGCCCTTGAAGGGTGGCTCACGCGCGAGGGTTTGCAAACTCTCCGTATTTTCCTTTCACAATACGGAGTCGATAAAGGCAACTGGAGCGAGGTGGTTGTGGACTATGCACCTCTGACCAACTATCTGGAAGCGATGGCGGCTATCTCAGATACGGCCCGCCAACGATTGTTGGACGGCACTATCAAGGACTCTCTTGGAGATTTTGCAGTCAGCATGCTCGAGGATGAACTCGCGATTATGCGAGGAGAATGATTCAGTTTCATGAACATGAACTCTGCATTACGAAATCGTCACATGATCACTCTCAAGAGGGGAATTCCCGAGTGCCAAGCAAGGTAGCCCTCCTCTGGTGCCCACCAAACAAAAATTAGGTATCTTTAGTATGAGTTTCCTATACAAAAAGATTCTAGGCAAAATCAAACAGTTTTAAGCTCCGAACTAGATAAAAGAAGAGAAAGTGTATAGATTTAATCGATTTAATTCTCGATATCTAATGTTGAAAGAAGAAGAATAGATTAAAATATATATTATATATGAAGTTATACTGTACATATATGTAGCAACGTACTACGTGCTTTCTTTCTCAAAATTCCTTACCAAAGTTTTATTAACCAAAATAGATTATATTCATACTAAACATACCTTCTTAATATCTTCCCTAGCTACTCCGAAGGTTGGAAAAAAAAAAAAAAAAAAAACTTGCATTTTATATCTGAGGGTTTTAAGTATCCTTTGTATGGAAACTCATTTAAAGATACCTAATTTCTAGATTTTGCATCTAAAGAAGTATTTACGTTTGGCAGGGCTAGCACGATTAACGCAGAATCCATGTTGATGAAACCGTGTCTATGTAGAATATGTACCAGACGTATACTCACTGCCAAAGGAAGTTATGAGTAGACGTAAAGGAGCTTATGTTCCTATCACATCTTAGACCTTAGGAAAATGACGAAGTTTCTACTATGTAGAATAAATAGGTGGAAGAACTCAACGGATCTCTGGTTATTCCTCCTGAACGTTACTAAATATATTTTCGCTGTATGTAAGCTTACATTTAAATTATCCAGGTGATAGAATATTAGTAACTTCAATATAGGGCTATTTGTTGATATACTACCTCTACTCTTACGCCTCATTTTGCTAATTTTAGTGAATTTCCACGTAGATGATAGCTTAGTATAGCACTTACTCTCGCTCGGTCGAATACGTTGCCTTATTTAGTGTGTACATATAGTTTCTACAACTGGGAAACCTTTCGGGGAATTTGGGGAATTTATATCCTATAGGATATTCGAATGCTTTGATAGTACAAAGTACATGTCAGAGTACGGAGAATATATGCGCATATCACAATTTAGACTGCATGACCATAACGAGGTATATCATTGGCTATGCAACTCCAATGCTTGGCTGATGCATGTCAAAAGGAAGGTTCAATCTTGATTTAAACAAAATATCGCTAATGCGGCCTTGCTATGTTCTTTCAGTAGTTCTTTTAATATTCTGTTAGGTAGTCTCTCAAGCAGTCTCTTCGGTAGTCTTTATATGTTTCATCTCTAAATATCTCCTCCCCCTCACTGGTGTAGAACTACAGAAAAAGGGGGAAAAAATGTAAACCGCACAGATTATATGTATAATCTGGGATTATCTGTTTCTAATATGGATATGCTGTTTAGTCCATTAACTCTTTCAGAGATTTTCCTATGGACCCTCGAAAGCTTGGACATAGCGGGAGTACCCCCGAGTAGATTGTGTCATAGCCTTATCTCCCGCGCAATTTTCTTTCACTTCAGCACACATTTGTCAAAATGGAAGGCCCTATACCTTTAACAGCCCGAGAGGCAGCATCAGGTCTCTTAGGCTCAGTTTCTATGACCTGCTGGGTTTTCCTTTTGGTATGTTCTAGCGACTTCACAAATCAAATCTATCTAACAATACCTGCAGGTACCCCAACTAATTGAGAACTACCGCAATGGCAACGCAGAAGCCATATCTCTCCTTTTCGTCACTGTCTGGCTAATCGGCGACATTGCAAACCTCGCCGGAGGCCTACTAGCTGGACTCGTGCCTGTGATCGTCGCGATCGCAGTATACTTCTGTATCGCGGACGGCGTGCTGATCGCGCAATGTGTGTACTACAAAGTGCGCAACTCGCGCCCTGAACCTTTCCACCGTCGACGCTCGTCCACGGAGACCCCTGAACCGACTACCCCGTTGTTGGGGCGGCGGTTCAGCGACTCGCTCGCGTCTTCTCAGCGGCGTCGGTCGTCGGGCTCGATGCGTCGGTATCAAGTTTTTGGTCGACGTGAGAGTGAGGTCGAGGATACACTGGCCAAGATTGTTGAGGAGAATGATTATGGCCGTAAGGCGTGGATCAAGAATTTTACTAGTATCGTTGGGATTTTCCTCATTGGGATGGTGGGTTGGACTATGGCTTGGCAGACGGGGATGTGGGAGCCCGCGCCGTTGGATAATAAGAATGGCTCCGAGGAGGCTATTGGGGGATTGGTGTTGGGGTATTTCAGTGCTCTTTGCTATCTGGGGTAAGTATCTCCTTTCGTTGGGACTGATGGGTTGGTATTGACTTTTGCAGAGCGAGATTGCCACAGATCTACAAAAACTACAGTGAGAAGTCATGTGAAGGTATTTATTTACTGCCGTCCGATTATGCGTGTGAAGCTAATGTTGACATTTATATGTAGGATTGTCGCTCTTGTTCTTCATTCTCTCTCTTCTTGGAAACTTAACCTACGGTGCAGGAGTAAGTGATACTACAAGGTGTACGATGGACGCAAGCTAACGGCGTGGATATAGATCCTTTGCCATTCTACCGAGAAGGAATATTTCCTCACTAATCTTCCATGGTTGATTGGATCGCTGGGAACTATGGTTGAAGATGTGGTCATCTTCATTCAATTCCGGATCTACGCTGTTCAGGACCCTCGTCTCTCGGCAATCTCCTAAATATTGACATCCGCTCTTGTATCTAGAGCGACGACCTCTGTCTATATACTGTCGAATGTGTACTTCAGTTTCAAGCTCGAGGATTTGGATGAGATGATTTTCATGCGTTTGTGATGCTGGACATCAGAAAAAAATTTGGAGTAGCATAGCGTTTTGATAGTGAACTAGCGACTGAATTCAATAATATGGTTGTTAGGGTTGATGTACATAGTAGAAGTGTGTTGCTTGACCCGAAATGGCTAGCAGTGGATATCACTGATATTATCGATGTGACAGCAAGTCCATGTATGCATATTGTAATTCATACCGTCGATAAGGACTATAGCCTGTTGAGGGACAACTACAAAGGCCCTCAATGAAAGATCACCTCGCGATCGAAAGAATCAAAGACATCCAATGCCATCAGCCCTACAGCACTACGTCATATGGCCTACGAACAAGCACCCCCATGTAAGAATCATACGGCATTCGTTGTTGGTTCATGGTCGCATGACGGGCGTGACACGAGGACCGAGCAAACTAAGCTAGCTGATCCATGTGGAGGACGAGAAAACGAATCATACATCTACTCACCAGACCAAAGTAAAACTTTGATCAAGGTCAAATCAAGAAGTGTGCCAAACGTCTTCAATTCCCCTAAAATCCAGGAAGCAACAATAGTTTCGGAATCGCAGCGGCATCCGATCGAGTCTACCTCGGCCACATCATGAGGCGGAGGCACACCGAGCACCCAGTCTCCAATGAATGTCCGTGTCCGTTTGAATTCTTTTGCTAATTTTCTTTTTTTTCTTCCCCGGTTCTAGGTCGTAGTGGGGGTCGTGGAGTATCGAGTACAATAGAGAATCGTCGAGGGAGCCGCCATGCGGCAATGGTAAAAGAGGTTGAGGAATAGAGAAAAAAGGAAACGAGTTTTCAAATTCGATATGGAGATAAGACGCTTAGTCGAAGAGACCGAAGCCCATGTCCTCATCGGACTCCTCCTTGTCTGTAGTGGGAGTTAGTATCGTGACTCACAACCCAAAGATGTATATTAGAACTTACCCTCCTCCTTCTCCTCAGCCTTGGCCTCGGCGGGGGCGTCAGCGGCGGCGCCACCAGCAGCGGGGGCAGCGGCAGCGGGGCCAGCGGAACCGACGTTGGTCAGGAGCTCCTTGATGTCCTTACCCTCGAGGGCCTGTGTTGAAAAATCGAATTAGTTATCGAGTCTTTAAATTGTCGCGCGCGGCCATGTTCGGGTTGTTTCGATATTGGCGCGGGTTGTGGAATGGGATCAGGTATTTACCCGGGCGAAGATGGAGGCCCAGATGGGCTCAACCTCCTGGACCTTGGCGGCAGTGATGAGGGTCTGGATCTTGTCGGCCTATATGAAGATAAAGATTTAAAGGTCAGTCATGGATTTCGCGTAATCGTTGTTTGATCCCAGTGGCTTTGTAGCTGCTTGTTGTGCTTCCTCCAAGGCTCTATTTCACACATAAAATAAAGCTTCAAGTGCGATCTTCAAGCCTCCACTATTCCACCAACATCAAGGAATTTTGGATACGTACGGAGACCTCAATACCGTCATCGGCCAGGATGAGGGCGGCGTAAGAGCAGGCGAGCTCGGCGGTAGACATGTCGACGGGTGGTGTTGACCGGACTGGGTGTCTTGAAGAGAGTTGGGGATGGGAAAGAAGAAGAGAGGAGAACGCCAATGATAGACACCCGAACAGGGCAAACGCGCCGTGTGTGGGAAAAAGCCCTCGCTTAGGGCTCGGACTAATCGGGCTTAGTCTCTTCCCCTCCTCGTGACTTGGCGCTAAGCCATAAACGGAGCTGGTCCCAGATGACATAATGATTAAGATGACCTAATCCCCCAGTAAACTGCGCGGGGCCCGTGCAATCTGGTGGTATCTGCATGATCTCCCTATCAATCGGTCCATTCATTAATTGACATCACATCTCGGTGGGGTTCAATTTTACCATCCGTTATTCTAGTCTTTACCCTCATAGAAACTTATTCCCTGCATTCAAATCATCCTCAACCTTGCTTTTTCCAACAAGCATACCTATCGCATTCTCCAGCCATGGAGTCCCCCGCTATCTCGGTCCCGCTAGATCCGCGGGAGCAGCCCATCCTCGAAAGCCTGCTCCGAACCCGTGACGCGCTGCTCCTAATCAAACAGGATAAGTCCTCATACATAAAGTCTCGCGATGTTCTACCACTTTATGAGGAAGTGATCGCAGAAGTTGAGAAGCTCAATTCTGTTCGTAAAGAGCAAGATCGCCGCTTGGTGCACAATCGCCGTGAGTTCAGTGGATCACACGCTCACCTTGGAGGTGACTAACACTCTATGAAAGTGGATTATGTCTTGGATGATTGTTTCCAGTTGATTTCCCTACTATTCTTGACAGTTGGGAGGAACAATGAAGCTCCCGCCGTGTGAGTGACAATGTCCCTACCCCGCCATCTCATGACTGCAACTGACCTTTTCCAGTTACTCCTTGGCGACTACTATTCAGGTATCCCTCCTATGATTTCTTTTCGTCCTTCTTGTTAGCTTTGCTTTCTGGAAACTGACGATTTTGCAGCGCTTACTCGACCACCTTGGAGAGGCTGGATTTTATAGCTCGAAGGATTTGAACTCGATCACCAAGACACTAGAGTCTACGCGGGAAACTCTTGAGCGTGGCCGAAACACATACTCACCGGCTCTTCTCACTCTCTTGGAAAACCGTCTGGAACAATGTGAACAGTCACTGGCGAAGTTGCAGAAAGGTCTGGCTGCATTGGCACCTCCCTTGGCGCAGACACACGAGACACTGGTTTCGATTTTGCGATCGACATCAGCTGTCAACACTCGGTCAAAAGTATGCTATCAAATATTCAAATACTATCTGATCGGTACTAACTAATGGCTGGGTTGTTAGTTCTCAGCCTCAGAAGTAAACGCCCTCCGAGAACAACTAAAGAAAATCGAAAAGACAACAAAGGACGGCAACTTTGTGGATGCCGAGGGAAATGTTCTTCCAGGACAGGAGGAGCTCAAGTCTTTGTTTCACAGGTGTTGGCGATGGACCGAAATTGTGCTCGAACGGTATGTTCTAAGCTGCCAACGGGATGATCGGACATGGACTGATTCAAATACAGAGAGGGTAAGATTGATGAGCGGTTCCAAGATCAGTACGAACGATTGTTGGAAATCCGCAACCAACTGGATCGTTTGTCTGTAACACAAGCTTGGTCACTGCGCGAGACCGATCTCTTCGGATACCAGCGAAAGCTCGACCGCATTGATGAAGCGCGTATTAATGGAAATTTCGTCGACGCTGAAGGTCAACCAGCGGACCTGCATGCGCAGAGAGTAAGAACTTCTTTTCGGGCATTATTTAATGGATAATTGGCTAATATATGCTCAGACGCTCTTGTACCTCATTCGTCGCAGTTATGCATACATCTATGCGCTTTTGATTTCATCAGAGCCTGTATCTGAAGCTCTACTCCCAGTCTACAACCAACTCCAAACTCTCCGCCGCTGCTTGATCGAAGTCAAGGAGTCCGGAGGCGTTGCAAATTCGCGCGAACTTTACCCATACAGCATGAAGGTATATCACCGTCCAAACTATTCGCATATAAAAGCTGACCGAAATAGCTCAACTCCATTGACAACATGCGAGTTGATGGCAAATTCTACGTGGGTCCAGATATTCCTGAAGGCCAGGGCAGTGTCAATAACCTGCTAGCCGAATGCTACGATTTGGTTTGGGAACTCCGTGCTGCGGTGGTTGATGAGGGAGAAGAGTCTTAAGACGAAACTGGTTTCATAGGCCAATGCCTTTTTTTTTTCTCTACCTATGTGTTTTATTTCCACCAATGTTTGTGAATTTGCGCCGGTGTTGAAGAATTGGCCATGGAATGTCTTTGGCATACAGTGGTCTTTGATTGTATGATCAGAGCCGTGCGTTGTTTTCTATTCTGTTTATGTGACGATAGGCGTTTGAGATGGGATTTGACATTGGCATTTGTATTGGGAACGAGGGCCCTTTGTGTCCTCTGGTGGTTTTACTCTTGAGTTTAATGAAATTTCCCCGTTTATGAAAGAATTTCTTCTCCTTGTCTCTTGCTTTGAATGGGTTTCAACTGAACATAATAGACCTAATATTAGGCAGCTGTGCTATTCTAGCTACTCGAATATTTGCTCAGCGAAGACAAAGCAATGCATACTCAGCAAGCACCACATACCCATATCAAATACCGAGTCGATGGATTGTTTGAAAAGCTTCAAGTTATAAAGTTGACCAAGCAATATTTTCAACATAAGCAAACCTTCTAGTTTAACATTCATGCCATCCCGTTCAAGTAGAAGACATACCCCTTCAATAGTCGCTGAGTGTGAGGATCAAAATCTGCGAAGTGAATTTCATTCACGTCTTTCATCTCCAGATCTTCACCGTCAATCCCGTGAGCCTTGAGACAGCAACCGCACGCTGTAGTACAGTGACCTCGATCATGGACGCCATCCGTATTGACATACATTCGCGGTCTCTCGCAACATCCACATCCGCGTCCACAACAGCCTCCTCGTTTCGCACAGTCTTCACGAAGCAAATCCGAGAGATACCAATCCTGGTGTTTCCTCTGTCTTCTCAACGCTCGTTTTGCGGACCTGCTCTGAATCATGTCTGTCTTAACCCACTTTTCCCTATGGACATCCCAATATTTCGAATTGAGGGATTTGATTTGCTTTTGAGAAGCAACGGTAGGTTATCCTTTGAGCAAGCTCGTCGTAGTTTGCATTCTCAAGTTGAGTCTCGAAACTCACGGTTTTTGTTTCACTCCCAAAGACAGCATCTGGAGCATCCTCTATGAGCTTTCGTTTCTCGTCCATACTCAACTCGCCTGACAAGAGTGGCTCTAGCAGGTCCCCGGGGGCTTGGGTTGTTCCACTTGTTGTGTGCGTATCTCCATTGCACTCTGTGTACTCTCTTCGTATGTTGGTAGTGTCTGTTGGGCTTGCATATTGCTTGATAGAAAATTGGGAGTATAGACTCTGTCATCATCGGACTCATTGAGAAGCTTGATATTGGTGTTGATGTTGCCCATAGGAGAGAATTGAAGTTTCAAAAGTGAAGGTAGAATTTGAATGTCACATCATTGCATAAATGAAGATTGTTTTGGTTTCACTAGGGCTCTTATCCTGAACATGGGAAGATTTATATTGTTCTAACCTTGGAAGCTAATGAATTCGTCATTCATGTTCTTATTCTCCAAATACCAAAGTCCTAGCACTGACATAACAGTAATAAACAGCAACAACCAACATTGAATATAATATAGACAGCTTTGAATGCACGGAGTCTCTCCAGCAGAATAGCAATGTCATCCAACGGTTTGTAATTTTGAGGTAAACATAATCCGCCTTTGATCACTTCATTTCGAGCCAAAAGCAAAAACATAGCCCTTCAGCAGCTCAAAGCTATGCGGATCCATCAAACCGGGAGATTTGTACTCAAAATAAAGCTCTTGCAGGTCTATTATCTCCCCATTATCCCCATCCAATTCTTCAATTCCACGGGCCTTCAGGCAGCAACTGCAGGCTGTAGTACAGTGACCACGGGTATTGGTACCATCTTCGAGCCCATCAACCGTCCGTGGTCTTTCACAGCAGCCGCAGCCTTTCCCACAACAGCCACCTCGTCCTGCGCAATCAGCAACCAGCGGATCGGAGAGATACCAGTCTGGATTTTTTCTTTGTATATGATATGCTCGTCCGAAGGACCAGGAGTCTATGGACCCTTCTTTGGTCCACTTCTTCCTGGAAAGCGCCCATTGTCTCTTATTGAGGTCTGTGAGTTGATCTTTGTAAATCTTGAGTTGTGACGCATGCTTGGCTTCATCTTCAGAAGATAGAAGTAGTTCTGATGAAATTTGCAAATTTTGAACTTTTTCTTGAATGCAGACCTTTCGTTGAGCAATCCAACGCCGCTCGATATCAATTTCAATCAGTTCCTTAATCCAGCTTTCTGGTCCCTCCGGCTGCGGCCTATCCCAGAACACACACCAGTATAGGGATAGGGCAAGTCTGGCATAGCCTGCCTCTGTAAGCTGAGCTTCAATCTCCTCGAAGTCTTCTTGGTTGTTCTCACGTCTTGTATATAGATGTCTCGGGGCATAATGAAGGAGATCTTCTTTGTCTTCATTAGTCAGTTCGGGTGAAAACAGGTGGACAAGAAGGTCTTTAGGCTTCTGAGCTTTTTTTATTTCATTCATCGATTTGTCCATCAATTGGCCCTTGGAAGAGTTGGCCTTGCAAGTCGGAAGTTTGTCGGATGCTGTCTCGCTTGCTTGAGTCTCGATAACTGGGCCCTTGACCATCGTGCTCTCGAATTTGCTCTCGACTATATTCTCAACTGTACCTAGCTTGATATAGTTGGAGCGCTTGAAAGTTTTGAACATAAGGAAACCGAACAATAGAAAGGACGAGGTTTTGGAGGCTTTGTCCAAATGAGCTTTCAGCCCAAATAGGCGTCGGACAAAATATATTTGGCCGTTTCCTTTTGAGGCAATACTGACATATTGTTGACATGTTGTTGACATAGAGTAGAACTGTAGAACATTGAATGAATCAAATGTACGTAGTTGTATACTCCGTTTCCCCACATAAATGGATTCCGAAATCGGCACAATCACCAACCAATCAGATCGAATGCAAATAACGTATAACCCGGAGGAAAAAAAAGGACTCCCCTTTCTTCCCCAAACTTAACAGTAAAGATGGTGAGCCAACTTGTCTGGCAGCGGGTTTCTGCCTCTCGTGGGGTAAGTAAACATTGAACAATTGGGCAATCTAATGGATAATCTAACACCTTATATAGATGGCCACACGGCTCTCCCCACAACGGCTCTTCGCCCGTGGCCTAGCCACGGAGGCCTCCTCCTCCCGCATGCCCCCATATCCCAAGCTCGTCAGCAACCTCGAGCAGGTCCGCCGAGTTCTTGGCTCTGATCGCGCCCTCACACTCGCCGAGAAGATCCTCTACGCGCATCTGGACAACGCCGAGGAGTCATTGCTCACCGGGACCAACAACGGCCGCGATGTTCGAGGCAAGGCCAACCTGAAGCTGAAGCCTGACCGCGTTGCCATGCAGGATGCTTCGGCCCAGATGGCTCTACTTCAATTCATGTCCTGTGGTCTTCCCTCCACCGCTGTCCCGGCCAGTATCCATTGCGACCACATGATCGTCGGTGAGCGCGGTGCCGATACCGATTTGCCGGCTTCCATTAAGGGTAATAGCGAGGTGTTCGACTTCCTGGAGAGTGCTGCTAAGCGCTACGGTATTGAATTCTGGCCTCCTGGTGCTGGTATCATCCACCAGAGCGTGCTGGAGAACTACGCCGCCCCTGGATTGATGATGCTCGGAACGGACAGCCACACTCCTAACGGAGGTGGTCTTGGTGCTATTGCCATCGGTGTCGGTGGTGCCGACGCGGTTGATGCGCTCGTCGACGCTCCCTGGGAGCTGAAGGCCCCTAAGATTCTCGGTGTTCGCCTCGAGGGTAAGCTCAGCGGATGGGCTTCGCCTAAGGATATCATCCTGTCCCTGGCTGGCAAGCTGACTGTCCGCGGTGGCACTGGCTCTATCATTGAGTATCACGGCCCTGGTGTCGAGACTCTCAGCTGTACCGGTATGGCTACCTGCTGTAACATGGGTGCTGAGGTTGGTGCTACCACTTCTATCTTCCCCTTCTCGCCTAGCATGGTTCCATACCTTCAGTCCACCCACCGCGGTCACGTCGCAGAGGCCGCTGCTCAGGTTGCCGCCGCCGGCCCCTCGAGCCTACTCCGCGCCGACACTAAGGCCGAGTATGACCAGCTGATCACCATCAACCTGTCCGAGCTCGAGCCGCATATCAACGGACCCTTCACCCCCGACTTCTCGGTGCCTCTGTCTAAGTTCGCCGACACCGTCCGCGAGAAGAAGTGGCCCGAGACCTTCGGCGCCGGCCTCATCGGTAGCTGCACCAACTCCTCGTACGAAGATATGACCCGCGCCGAGGATCTCGTCAAGCAGGCCACCGCAGCAGGCCTCAAGCCCAAAGCCGATTTCTTCATCACCCCCGGCAGTGAACAGATCCGCGCCACTCTCGACCGTGATCAGACACTAAACACCTTCTCCGAAGCCGGCGGCATCGTCCTCGCCAACGCCTGCGGCCCCTGCATCGGCCAATGGAAGCGCACCGACGGCGTCCCCAAGGGCGAAGACAACGCCATCTTCACCTCCTACAACCGCAACTTCCCCGGCCGCAACGACGGCAACCGTCAAACAATGAACTTCCTTGCCTCCCCGGAACTCGTCACCGCGCTCGCCTACTCCGGCAGCACCACCTTCAACCCCATGACCGACTCCCTAACCGCACCCGACGGCTCAGAATTCAAATTCCAGCCTCCAAGCGGCTTCGACCTCCCCAGCGCCGGTTTCGAAGAAGGAAATCCCAACTTCCTCCCCACAGCCGCCGTCCCAGACGCAAGCAGTGAAGTCATCGTCTCACCCACGTCCGACCGTCTCGCCCTCCTCGAGCCCTTCGCCCCCTTCCCCAAGGGCGATCTCTCAGGCCTCCAGGTCCTCTACAAAGTCAAGGGCCAGTGCACAACAGACACAATCTCAGCCGCAGGCCCATGGCTGAAGTACAAGGGCCATCTGCCCAATATCTCGGCTAATACCCTGATCGGCGCCGTCAACGCCGCCACCGGCGAGACGAACGTCGCCTACGACGAATCCGGCAAGAAGTACGGAATCCCCGAGCTCGCGGAGACATGGAAGGAGCGCGGAATTTCATGGCTCGTCGTTGCGGAGGATAACTACGGCGAGGGATCTGCGCGTGAACACGCCGCCTTGCAACCTCGCTACCTCGGCGGTCGGGTTATTGTTTCTAAGAGCTTTGCCCGTATCCACGAGACAAACCTTAAGAAGCAGGGTGTTGTCCCGTTTACATTTGCGAACCGGGAGGACTATGATCGTATCGATGCTTGTGATAAGGTTGATACTGTTGGTCTTTATGATGTGTTGCAGTCTGGTGGTCAGGGTGAGATCAAGTTGCGTGTCACCAAGCAGAAGACTGGGGAGGTGTTTGATGTTCCTGTTCAGCACACTTTCAGTAAGGATCAGTGTGCTTTCATCCTTGCTGGTAGTGCTTTGAACTTGTTGGCCAAGAAGGCCCAAGCTTGAGATTTCAAACCGTTACACCAAAAATGGGGGAGTTTGGATTTATATCAGTCGTCTTGTATATTTTGGTTTTAGATTTGTTTTGTCGACTAGATGATATCCAATGTGATCTGTATTCTACTATTCACTGTGTAAATGGTAGAAGTATAGTAAATTGTAGAAATCTGAGGCCAAATCCGTTAAAAATTCATGTCATGGTATATAGTTTTGAGTGACATCAAAACGAGATAGAATAGAAAAAAAAAAGAAAATCAAGACATGAAATGGGAATATCATAAAAAAGCATCATGATGCCTGGTTCTTTCATGGGAACCACCTCGGGCCGAAAGAAGAGAATGAGAATGAGAATGAAAAACGGCATATAAAACACCGTCTAGACCAAAAGAAAAAGAAAAACACCACATATATCCTGATTGCCTTTCGGGAGACATCCCTATATTCTGAACGCCAACAAGCCTTTCTATACAGGCGAAAACCAAAAGCTTTATGCAGATGGGAATGCATCATGCAATATCCTGAAACCTGAAACAGGAGAAAAAAGGGGAGCAAAACATACTATTACCTACCCAGTCCACTTCTGATCAGAATACCCAGGATCCCCAGGATTGACCAAAATCTGACCAGAATTATTGACACCGTACATGTTCTGGTTATAACCACCACTCATGCCCGAATCATCCTCGTCAAAGCCAAACTCCCCACCAGAGCTAGCATCAAAGCTACTCCGACCACCAATTTCACCCGGATCATCACCAACAGCTGGGATCTGGTCCCACTGCAACGTCTGCAGAGCGGGGTATTGCGCCAGCAGAGCAGCGGGAAGAACGAAGTTGCCCGTGGATTGCCCGTCCATACCAGGCATGTTGGGCATAACGAGCGGCTGGGGGACTGGCTGAAGATGGCCGGTTGGCGATTGTTGTTGCTGCTGGTGCTCTAGCAAGACGCGATCACGCTCTTGCGACTCCTCGTCAAGAAGAGGCTTGATGCATACCCGTCCGGCCTCGGAGCGGAAGTGGCGGCCTAGAGCGTCTGCACGGGCGAAACGACGGCCGCAGCCCCATTGTCCGCTGCGCGAGAGCTCGCCGCGACAGACGAACTTCTTTTCGCCGGAATGGAGGCCTTCGTGGCGTTTGCGGTCGTGCTGTCGTGCAAATGCTTTGCCGCACACTGTGCACACGAATGGTCGTTCGTCGGTGTGGGTGCGGAGGTGGGATCGCAGATTGTATGCGCGGGTAAACCGTTTCGGACATAGGGTGCACTGGAAGGTAGCTGGGTGTTTCTGGATTCGTTTTGGCTCCCCGGGTGCTGCCCCGGGTCTTTGGGGATCGGCGAGATCTAGAATGTAGTTCCGGTTCTCGATTGATGAGGTGGAGAGGCGGCGGTTTGATCGTGAGGGCGAGGGATCTCGCGAACCGGGGCTACTGCGCGAGTGAGAGCCAACCGACCCGACAGGCGACAAGGACCGTGCGGATGTAGGCGCGTGGGGCTCCAGAGAGGTTGCTGTTGAAGCTGAAGAAGAGCGTGGGCGTGAAGCAGGGTGATAAGGATCAGATTTGCTACGAACACGGGATCCTAAGTTCTAGTTAGTATTGTATTAACCAGACCGGTGGGAAGGAACACTTACGCATAGCGGGAGGGCTCAATGAATCAAAATCAGCTGTTGATTTTGATGGATCGAAGTTTGGATTCCGCGATGGCGGGGCAAACTCAACTTGGATCGATGGAGGTGCCATTTGTGAAGCCTGACCAATATCGCCCGGGGTATTGTTCAATTGGCCCATGTTCATCATTTCCTCTTGAGGCATTCCGTACATATCTGTTGGCGCCGAGGGGAACTGAGAGAGATACGAATTATTCGGTACCATCTCACCACCCTGCTGTGGCATCAACCGCGGAGAGATATACGGGCTGTGGAGGGGACTGATCCCCTGCTGATGCTGGTCTGACAAGGTGAATGATTCCATGCCTAGACCATTGTCATAAAGACTTGGATCGCTTTGGGGAGCCAAAGAAGGCGATGCATTGTTCTCAATGCCATCAAATTCGTGCTGAGACAAGTAAGGGGAGTGGTTAGCAGATGATACTTCGGATACCTCCGACGGTGCACGTCGATGGCCTTGGAAGGAAACATTATTCATGACTGACTGCCAGTCTGGACCTGTCTGGGCGGTCAAATACGCCGCGGTAGCCGGGTCAAGAGAAGTGTGTCGTGAATGCTGAGGGGTATAGTATGTACCCGGTGTGGATCCTGGAGGGGACATGGGGCCAGGCGAGGAATGCTGCTGATCTTGGGACGACAGATGCGAAGATGCTGAAGGATTGGAGATGGGGCTGGCTAGATCAGCGGGATTGATTGCTGGGTTCATTGACTGGCGCTGGTGCATTTGCGGGTCCAGTAACAATGAAGAATCGTACTCGGGGGTGGAGACACTGTTGGGACTGTGATTCTGGTAGAGAGAAAAGTCCAATTCTGGGTGATTGGAGTTGAGCATATTGGAGAAGTTTTCATCGCCCTGCATCGGTCTGAGTCCCGTCGAAGAGTGCTGGAGCTGATTGACCAGGCTTGTCTCGAACGACTGCGATATCGGAAGGTTGTTGGTATTGAGGGTCGGGGCATAGCTTTGGTCCGCCGGTGGTGATAGTGTCTGTGTCGAGGGTGTTCCAGCAAGGTAGCTTGGGTATCCATATTCACCCCCGATGCTACCGTCGGGATTGTGAAACGAGGGGTTTGTCGAATAAGCAGCCATGGAGGGGTCAACTCCTAATCCACCGGAGTTGCGGTCGTGGTATTGCTGGCCGTGCGGCGAAGGGCTCACGCTCCGATTTTTTACATCCCCCTGGCGATAGGCCGTGCCATGGTTCTGGTCATGCGAGGCCATATTTGCGAATGCGCGCGGGTGAGGGCTCTTGAACGAGCGCCAAGCGGGGGGCTATGATCAGGGAAGAGGGACGATGTAGGGATCGGGTATAGCGCAAAGATTCGGCGACAGCGGCAGATTAGACGAACAAATCTGTTAGGGTCGTGGACGCCTAGTGATGTAGGGAGAATGGTGTCTGACGATGTGGTGGGATGTCATTCGCAAGGGTCTAGGAACGGGTCCGGTACGCAACTGAGTTTCTGAGCGGGTCGTTAGTCGCTAGACTGCCTTATCATTTCTGAGAGCAATTATACCTTGAGTTTGACCAAAGGTCCGCAATGAGAGAGAGGGTAAGGGAGGAGTTGAAGATGAGGCGGTTTCACGTGTGTAAGGCGGTCTAGGTCAAACACGTCTATACCCCGACGTGTTTGAGTAAGGAATATTATTTTAATATATAATATTTCCCCCTAATAATCCTATAATATTCTCATAAATATTCCGCTGTGGGTGCCCTAAGCGCAAAGGAGATTGAGAACGAGTTTCCACTTTGAAATCCAAGTTCATTCCAAAGAACCCCAAATGGGTCTCTCTCCCCACATTGGCAGTATCAGTGTCCACCTTGATAACAGATAGGAGAACATGAACTATTTTTAATATACGAATAAGTTCTCAGATTAAAAAAAAACCGTTGCCTTGTTGTATACACAAGTGCTTGAAGCATTTCTATCTCCCCAAGTGGAGGGGCTCAACGCTAAAGAAGAACTTGGCTTAGCCTTTGCACAGCCACCCAGCTGAGGCCCATGGGAACTAGTCCTATTTAGGTATAGTTGATATAAGTATTGGGCAAGGCACACTTCAACAGTCTGCCTTGTCTATACTTTAATCTCCTTTGCTGCCTAACACTTCACGAGGCTGAACCTTGTACGGAGTACACTTCATCACTTAGATATCTCACAGCCCACCCAACGTATTCAAGCTAGTCCTGGCCTGATTATTCGACCAAGCAAAAAGCAAGTTATCATCACAACTGCTCCCAAGTCCGGCATTCTGAACCCAAGCAGGTTCCCAATAATAAATGCCCAACCCACCAACCTCCTCCACGGCCTTAGCAAGCCTCTGAAGGAAAGTCTGCTGCCCAGCAACCGAAAACGGAATATCCTTCAGATCAGACGGGAACGCATACTCAGGTTTGGGACAAGCAAACGGCCAGTTGGTCTCAACAACCAGCGTCTCCTTCTTATATGTAGAGTGCAGGTTCGCAAGACTTGTCTTCAGTGCACCGAGTGTCGCACCCGCGTCGTAGAAGGGGTAGAAAGAGACGCCGATGTAGTCGAAATCCGTGGAGAGGAGCGGAGATCCAGAAGCCAGGACTTTATTGTAGAAGTATGACTGGTCAGACCAGTTCCAGCCGTTGTCGAGGTGGATCATGATCTTGGGAGTGGTCTTTAGGTTGGAGTCTTTCACGCCCCATGCGGCGGAGTGCAGGATTCGGGCGATGTTGTAGTAGCTGCTTGTTTTGCCGACTGGCCAGAGTAAGCCGTTGCGGATTTCGTTGCCGATGGAGACGATGTCTACATGGAGGTTGTTGACTGCAAATGTGTTGCATACTTTCAGTGTGTAGTCGTATACTTGTCCGGCCAGGACTTCAACATCGGTTGTCGACCAGCCCGAGGGAGTGGTCTGAAGAAGTAGGGTTGGCCATTAGGTCAAACTGCAGTGTGTCGTGGGATTGTGTTATTTTCTCACCTGGCTTTTCGGATCCGCCCAGGTATCACTGTAATGCAAGTCGAGATACGTGCCCATACCCTTCGCCTGTACCCTTTTGGCGAGCTCAACGTTATAGTCCAGATCGTACGATCCATCACTAGGGTTTACCCAGATACGCTGACGAACAGAGTTGACGCCGCTGGCGGAGAGGATGGCTTCTAGCTTGTCCGTTTTGCCAGCGGCGTTCTTGTAAGAGATGCCTGCCTTTTCCTCGACGATGAGGGAAGAAATATCCGCGCCATTATAGGTTAATGCGGCAGATGCTGAGGCGAAGAGCTGTCCGGCAGCTAGAAGAATGTATGGAAGCATAGTGGGCAACCACTTATTAGAGCTGATTGAGGTCAATTCAGATGGCTCTGTAAGAGGGGAGAAATTGTAAAGACTCGATTTTAATGATATCGACTTTCCTATGTACTTGGCATCTTTCTAGTGTTTTGTGTATAGTTTCAAATTTCTCCGAAAATTCCCCTCATTGTGTCTTACAAGACTTGCAGGAGAATTATTCCCCCTATTTACCCGTCTATTCAGGTAAAAGATTGTCCGGAAAAGCGCCTTCTTTGGTTTAATTCCTATGAGACAGTACTGAGACAGGGGAAGACCTAGATTAGTGATTTTCATGCATACTTGCTGGCTTGGGAGTATATCTCTGCAGAGTCGAATGCTGTAATAGCACCTGTAACTCTTCGATATTATTATTGGTGGAATTATACACAAACCATGAAGATCCCAAGATAGTGCTTTGCTGAGATTGCAAAGTGGGAATAAGGGGCATATAAGCCAACGGAACTCCACAAGCATATCTATGACGGATGTGGCACGCGTTTTATATAGTTCTATCTATGTTGTACAATGGAAAACACGTTCATCTAAGGGGGAAGGGATATGTAACATCAAACCCAAAGCCCCAAATATTTCATTTCTTCATGATACGCTAGACTCGCCTTCCAGCATCATATATCAGTCATGTCGCGATTCCTCAGTGCAGAGGACCAAGAGGAATCCAAAATATTGCATCAAAACCCAACCGCCTGGTTTTTGACAAAAGTCAACATTACATACAGTTAAAAAAAAAGCGATCTGGCCCCGTACCCATGCAAAAGACCAAAGAAAAACGAAATGAAAAAGAAAAAGAAAACCCTGAAATGCGTGGGATTCCCTGCCCTCCATATTCATAGTCATAGACACTGAACTCAACAAAATAGAACAGAACAGATATGCAGACGCGGTCGGAGGGCACCGGGAATTTCTTCGCAAGGAGGCATCGATGGACGCTCATGCGAATTCGAGTATATGTACAGACCATGTAGAATGTATGGAACAATTTCTAGGGACACTTTCCAGATACCAGCCTGCCGGGAACCGGAATGGAAAGAGAATCAAAACGGAATTCGGTGATATACAACGACTTCGCCAAGGTTAGGAAGTGTCGAATGGTAGAGGAAATGGGAGATAAATGTGAGTGTTGTAGAGGTGTGGTAGACGGGGTCAAAAATGTAAAGAGGTGGACTGGACTGGACTGATCGGGACCGGCCACATTTCAGTTCGAGGGTTAAGACGGAATATCCGATGCGGCCTTTGGGGGCGGCTTGCGCTTTCCGATCACAAGGCCTTCATCTTCCGACTCATCCTCGTCCTCGTCATCGCAGTAGTACCTAGACTCGTCCTCTTCAAACGGACGGGGCGAGTTCTGACGAATGGGTTTGACTGTCTCTCCTGTTCGTAGCATAGAGGGTACTTGGTCTAGGGTATTGCCCTTGGCCGAGTAACCATCACCAGAAAGAGACGATGCGTTTGAGACGACCGACGGAATGCTGGGGTGGGAGGCACTCTGGGACATGCCGCTGGTGAAGTCGTCGGCAGAAGAGGAAGAGATAGTGACGGAGGTGGAGGCAGCTAGGCCATTGTTGGTGTTGTCGGCGGCGCATCCTTGGCTAGGAGTTGAAATGATGGGCGGCAGAAGTAGCGATTCAGTAGAGTACATCGCGTAATCAACTCTCAAAGTACCGCCTTCATTAGCTTCGATGTCGCTCCGTCTGCGGCGCAGAAGTGCATCCCTGGTGAGATCCAATGATTCTGCCGGTGATGCATCCTCGAGTTGCGAAGATCGTTTCCGCCGGTGTACACGACTAGGGGCCAATTGCTCGGCAGTGGGGTGTTCCTCTTCGTGCCACAGGCCGGGGGTGCGCACTTGCCCATGGGCAGATGCATTGCTGACAGCGAGGCTAGGCTCAGCAGAGGGGCGTTCTCCATCCCCACGGAGAGATCCTGACTCGCCAGAGGGCGAAGTGCATCGACTGCGACTGCCTCGTGATCCCCGTCGAGTAGCTCCACTGAAAAGACTGCCGAAGTTGGTCTGTCCTAGAGCTTCAATTATGGAAGATGGCCGAACAGTCAATGGGATATCAAACCCGGATGGCTTGACCGTCTTCGAGGACTCCGCTGTAGACATTGAGGATTTCGCTCGACGAGGAGGACCAGGTCGGAGTGGTGTCACCGTAGGAGGTGGAGCGGCAAGCTTGGTCGCGGCAGCAACTGTACTTGGTTGCACGGCATCGAAATAAGATGCCCAATCGCCTTCGTCCACTGGACTTGCAGTAACACTTTGCGCAAGCGGGTGTCCTTGACCGCCAAATTTGAGCGGCCGTAGGAATTCTTCGTCTCCTCGCAGACTGGACCGACGACTGTCGCGGGAGGCCTTCCCGAATGTGCTGTTGCTTAATGCAGAGGACAAAGTCTCGGTAGACGTTGTTGTGCTCGATGTACGCTTGCGGGGTTCCTTCTCCTTGGATCGACCACTGCTGAACCATTTTGCGACATTAGACCGAACCCGTTGAATAAAAGGGACTTTGCTGACAGCGCTTGTAACCTCTTCATTCGAGACCTCAATCCGTTTGCCCTTGCTTTGGTAACCAGGGTCAGTCTCCTCAATCCAGATTCTAGGGTTGGGAAGACCATGGAGTGTCCAAGGATGGTGTTTAATCTCTTTCAAGGTGATTCTCTTGACTGGATCTTTAGTCAACAGACGCCTGAGCAGATCGTATAGCTCGTCGTCGATATCCTCATAGACGAGCTCATCATCATTTCTTAGGTTCCACTGATTAGAGTCGGACGCCTCATCCATCACGGGTACAAGGCGCTTCCGTGGAATGAAGACTTCCTTCTTAACAATAGTGTGGAACATGCTGTACTCATCATCCGAAACAAATGGTAGACGACCAAAAACCATTCCGTACAATGTGACACCGAGCGACCAAACGTCAACCGCACCAGTGATCTTGGGGATCGACCCAATGGTTTCCACAAAGTCATCGCCGGTATAGCATAATTCGGGGGCATAGAAAGCTGGTGTACCAACAGTCTTGGATAATTCACGGGCATCGTCCAACTCTGTCGCATCGGTTTCACCCACCTGCTCTTCTTCCTCGTCTCGCATTGGGCGTCCTAGGTAGGAAACACCGAAGTCGGAGATCTTCACCCGATGATTACTAGTGACGAGTAGATTGGCTGGTTTGATATCCCGATGGATGATACCCTGGTAGTGGAGGTATTCTAAGCCAAGTACCGAATCCCGGAATGCGCTGCGGGTTTCATTGATAGTCAAACAAGGGACGTATGCCATGTCATCGCCCTCTGCAGACCACTCAGGTTCAGAGGGGGCGTAACCAAAGCTACTAGAGGCTGTGCTGGAACGTCTTTCGAACGGGTAATCTGCATATGCGCCGTACATGCTGCCCTCGACAGCACTTAAAGACGGGTCCTGGGCGGAGGACGGGCTTGAGTCATCTGTTACTGCAACAGAACGGCTAGATGATCTCCTGATAGGAAGACCAGACTCGTCATCCTCCTCATCTGAAGATTCCGCGCCGTGCTCCAAACTCCAAGCGGGGATTGGCCCTTTCTGCGCATCGGCAGCCTGTGCTTCAATCCGCTCGCGAGCTCTTTCCCGTTGCTCTCGCAGATGCTGAGCAGTTCGAATGAATTGGTGGCTCTCTTCCAGGAACGCGGGAGTATCTGGGATTCCATTTTTCTCCCGCTCTAGACGTAGCTTGTCGACGTGGACAATTTCTCGTAGACCCTTCTTACGCCAGACAATTTCGCCATTTTCAACATATTCCAACACAATGTATACCTTTTGTCGATTTGGATCGTCGATGACTTCGAGCAGACTGACCACGTTTGGATGCCGTGCCTTCTTGAGAATAGCTACCTCTTTCTTCACTTTATCTTCTGGATTGCCTAGCTTGCCTAACCGACGGCGAGTGGAGTACCGCTGGACAATCTTGATGGCAACTTTCTGCTTAGTCGCAACATGCTGGCCGAGTTTTACCTTGCCATGTTCGCCACGTCCAAGCTCTTCGAGGATCTCATACTGATTGATAGTTTTGTTTCCTGTGACCATGTCGCGATCAACTTCGGCGGTGTGTGTCTCTTTGGGTGGTTGAAGATGTGAGGGATGGAGAAGCGAGCTTCGCATCGAGATATCATCGTCAGACACGGATGGTGTTCCCTTACGAGGGTGTCTCATGGAGAAGAGCCCCGGGCTTGACAGCGGAGTGTTTCCCGCGGTACGAATACCACGGGCATAGGAGTGTCTCGGTAGAGCATCTGGTTCTGTGAGGTGAGGTGGTTGCCAGGTGGGGTGCACCTGAGACTGGAGGGAGGCATAGGATTGGTCGGGATAAACTGGTAGTTGATGATCCGAGTGTCGCGAGGCTCGTCTAGTGCTTCTTCCAATGCTTCCACTTTCCGATCGGACATCGACCACGATACCTTCGTTGAGGGCTTGTAGGGAACTCGACGACGAGCGGTTCGAGGGGGTACGGGCACCGTAAAGGCCGGGGAAGGCCTGGCGAAAGGTTGCGGTGGCTTCTGACACATCGGTAATGATGGATGGTTGTTCCGCAGATGATTTGGATGGGGGACGAGACTCGGGCTGATCGTTCGACGCAGATTGCGATGACACCTCAGACCGACTTTGTTCCCGCTTGTGATTTTTTGAGACATTGCCATCCCGAGACAGCTGATCCGGATCCTCCAGACCAGCTTGCGAGGATAATATTTCCGTCATATTCCCTTCTGCCTTAATTTTGTGATATTATTTCAAAGGGAGGCCGAGGCAGCGGTGCCGAACGTGTAGGGCATCCTAGTTGAACATCCTCCAATTTGACAGGTTTTATTCTTTGGGGAGTTTCGCTCGTAATAATTGATTCAAGGTGAGCTGACAAAAAGCTCTGTTGACACGCAGGAACAGGTCGGCATTACTTTCGTCAACTCAATAGGGATGGCGACAACTATGCAAAGGAAACCGTGTACCGGACAGCGGGTTGTCGCCTTAGGGGGGGAGGACACGAGGTAGACCTGCTACTGCACGAGGACTTGTACGATCCCACATCCACACGTGGGGAGTTTTTGAGTCAAAAAAAAAAGGAGTGCCGTTGTAACAGATGCTATAAATAATTCGGAGTCTGGTGCATTCGGATGGCCAATTCTCGGGATAGAGGGGGGAGGGCGAGACCGAAATATGAAATCCGAAAGTGAGAAAAAGGAAAGTCAAAACAGACAAGGAGCTGTGATAATTAAAAAGAAGAAAAAAAAAAGAGATGTGTAAAGCGAGACAAGAGGGGAGTTTGGAAGAAGTCGAAGGGGGGAGGTTGGGTGGGTAATAGGGCAGAGCGATAATCGGGACGCCAAGAACCAAAATAATTTACCAAAGATCGTCGAGTTCAAGTTTAAAAATAAATGGACTATGTATGTTAATTTACTTCAAATGTTTGATATTTTGAAATTTGATATATTCTCATAGTAAATTGAAGATAAAATATACATCTTATAGATTCGCCACTGGGTCTTTACGTCGATGACTTGAGCCTATAAGGAATTGACCATTCCCACAGATCCCATATAGACCGAAAGCCCAGAACTTGGTGCCAAGTAAGAAATGGTCCATGGTTGCCCAACTTGCTATGATTCTTATTTTTTCCCTTATTTGTCTGGACTTGATTTCCTCGGCCCCGAAGTATGATCCGTAGATTGTTACTGTTGGGGTTTGTGTATATATTTTGGCTCTTCAATGTTGTTTGAAATATAGCTTCTGCCCAAACTGCTGGGCTCCCATACCGAAAACCGTATCTTAGGCGATAGGCGACGGATTATTTTATGTACATTTTATGTACATTTTACCTTTTTTTTTTACATTTTTCTTCTTTTTCCCTGAGGCAAAAGAGGCAAAAACTTGTCCATGGATGGACCTTCCACCACTTCTTTTTAGCTTTGTTTTAGCTTTTGATACTATACTCCGGTAACTTATAGGTTTGTACTATATATCTTTTTGTACATACATACACTACTATATTTATATGTATATGTATAGATATAAGATATAATACTATATACTAAAACTAAACCCCTCGGGAGGCGTCCTGCATGAAGCTCTTTAGAGAACGTGAGAAAAATCCGTGCGTAAAAGTCCATGCGCTATAATCGACGTCATAGTCTGGCCCCTAATTAGCCTCCTTTCCCTTTATGGGTTTCAAGATATATACACCGTCTTGGCACTTATCTCCCTATTACAACTTTCATTGGCATTTATTCTGGGAATTATGATCGTAACTTACTGTTATCTGTATTACTTATGATATAACTTGAATTAGCTTGCAAACTAGGTATAGAAATATATCATTCTCCCAATTTTCACAGTGCGGGGGATCACTTGGAAAAGGGGCTAAACAGCCTAGACAAGGATCGGGGTAATTTCATTAGCATACTCCGTACTTGGTCCATCTACTGCAGGCACTAGGACTAGTATACTAGTCTGTTCGTAGGTACACCGATGTAATTCTCATCTCATGTACGGAGTAGCTAGGATTGGAAACACCCTGTCGCATGTGGAGTGGCTGATGAATGGCTATATACCGCATTCAAAGCAATAATAGTCATCTTATATAGTACAGGACAGGGTAGAGAATACCAATTACTTCAACCATAGTTGTACAGTTTGCACCCCCGCAGTGGAAGTTCGGTCTGAACATCCGAGACAGCACGCTCTGCAGCCATTTCCGGCGCCGATGCACGCGATTTCAAAGCAAGCTATTCCTATAAAAGATTTAGAGGCATGGACAATTTTCCGCGTTACTCTTTGACCGTTTCAATAACTCTCTGCATGTCCTCTGTTTTATCCTCCACCAGGCTCAGGTATTTTAATTTCTCCATGTACCTACAGTCACCGAGCGCCTCCTGCATCAGAAAAGCGATCAAAGCACAAGACGAGCATGGGCTTTGCTCACCCAGGTGAAATCCTATCCCCAATTTCAACCCCCACATCCTACTCGGGATCTGCATTGATACTTATTGAGGGAAATTGCTCGTGTTGATCCTGCTGTATGACAAAAGAGGTAAGAGGCCTTTTCGTTCTCCCGTCTGATTGAGTCCCGGTCAACCGGGTATGTGGAATGCCCTGGCCCCTTATTACTCTGTGTTAACGTCGAGCTGGATTTACAATTTGACTGTCTCAACACCGGACATTATTAAACGCCGGTGGACAAGGCGCTATTTGTGCATGGTGTTTGTGCGCAGGCACGGTGCGATGTGATTGATTTAAATTATCGCTCTCAGTTTATACTGGTTTTGTTGGAACCATCAAAGGTGGTATTAAATAATAATCAACTAAAGCACTATTGATAATTCTGAATCCCTGGTTTCCACATGTGATGGGATATAAGCCCAGTGGCGACTCTTGGACCATTATAGTCCATATGAGGGCAAGGTATCCCGTATAAGATCACCAAGTATTGGATATTTAATCGAATATCTACTGGCTGAAGTCAACTAACTTTTCTTATGTTTGCTTTTCTCTTCCCCTCGCCTCTCATTTCTCGTACTCTTACGAACATAAGGCTCGGCACCCCCGAAAGCCGGCAACTGACGATGGTAACCGCTGGGTCTGTTCTATGCACAGGTCTCATTCAAGTTGCCTCCAATAAGCGGGATGACTATCTGCTTACACTGCTGCATCGAGTCTGCCGAACGTAGTCTATGCTTAGAGCGGACCCATAGTCAGACATGTATCTACACCATGTTCATACTCGGCCTATAGAATTCTAGTTCGTCCAATAAAACTAGAACAAACAGCCCATTTTCATATATGCGAACTGGCTACACAAAGCCAAAAGTGAGCCGGTTGTCCTGCCAACATTATGGCTAAGCCAGGTGGTGCCATGGTTCGGTGTTAGAGCCTTTGCTCTTTGACATGAACACTACATGTGATGTAGAGAAAGAGAACATTTAGAGAGTCAATTTATATCTACAACATATCAGTCTATGTTATGTCTTGTCAGTTTATGTCCAAGCTGAGACACATCTGATACCCGCTTCAAGCCCCACATAACTAGAGGATCTTAACGTTAGGGAAAGGATTCCATTTAAGTCTAGACAAGTTAATCTAAGAAATCAAGGAAATCAGGTTTAATGCTACTACTTTATGGATATGGCTTGATAGGTACTATCCGTTGCATAGGGAATAACATTTAGTGTACCCTAAAAAAACATGAAAACACGCAATCGACCGCCGTTGCCCGGCAACGAGGTTGATCCAACGTTGATCTGGCTTTAGGCAGGTATATTAAGTTCCCTCTTTCTTTGTTTAGCGCGAGCAAATAAGGTCGGCTTAATGTAGGTAATAATTAGTGATTGGTCTGGTAACTAATATAGAGAGGAGGCGAGACCCAGGTTCAAATCGTCACTTGTTTCACTTGTTTACTGAAGCTCTACAATGTTACCCTTCAATATCTCTTTACCTTTCCTTTTTCATTGCTGTTGACGTTGACACCTGTCACATTTAATATCTACACTGCATTATCCGAAAATAGACACCCCTTCTTCGCGTGGCACGCTATGATCGCCGATCCTGGAATGTATCCCTGCTTCTGATGTCTCAGAGTCGACATGAAGCAACGAAAGGCGAAGACGCTATTACTTGCGCTTCTTGCGCTCGTGGATCCCTCTAGTGCAATTCCATACACCCCATCATCCATCTTCCTTTCCCCACAACACAATGACTCCCTCGCATACATCATCCGACCCAGTTCCACCGGCGAGACCGAGTTTGTCTCCCTCAACCTGTCCAGCAGTCTTGATGCCGAGAATCTATCATATCAAACGCTGCTAAAGAGCACGCCATTCCACAGTGCTGATCAGAACTCAAGTTTTGTCCCCGCCATCAACGACCAAGGGGTCATCACAGTTTACTCGGGCAACTGCCACAGTGCATTCGATAACCCGGCACTATGGAAGTTCCACCCAAACAGCAAAAGTCTAGTTGGAAATGGGACTTGGGATAGACTGTCAATTATCACCAGCGACGCAAAAACCGCACCGAACTACCTGGCGGCGGGGTTCACGTATTCGCCATCCCACCACGAAGATGAGAGCTCCATGTACACTTTTGGTGGGATGTGTCCATTCGCGAACAGCACGGATGAAACATGGATCTCCGCAGCCAACTACTCCCGGTCGACGGTCGTGTTAGGGCCAAGTCCATACTACAACACCAAGTACAACGCTGCCACTACTGGCAAGCGTGCGCCGCCCATCGCTGAAGCTGGAATGGCCGTCGTGCCGCTTCAACCTACATATTCTACCGGTTCTACGGGGAAACAACAGGACTTTTTGTTTATTGGTGGTCATACCAGGGAGGCGTTCCTTAACATGTCGCAACTCGCCATTTTCTCGCTGCCGCAGCAGAGCTGGAGTTTTGTTTCTGTAATCTCGGATTCCACACCAAAGACTGAGCTCACTGTCCGAGACACGGTTTCTGTTGAGCCCCGCTCCGGTCACACTGCGGTTCTCTCGGAAGATGGAAATAAAGTATTTGTATTTGGTGGTTGGGTGGGTAATATGACTGTTCCCGCTGAGCCGCAGTTTGCAGTTCTGGATCTTGCAGAAGGGTTTGGCGGAGCCACCGAATGGATATGGACAGCACCCTCTTTCGAAGGATTAGGAATCGCCGAGGGTGCTGGCATCTTCGGACATGGAGCGGCAATGCTCCCTGGCGGCGTGATGATGATTTCTGGGGGCTACAATATCCCCAAACCATCCTCGAAACGGGCCTTAGCGACTGCACAGTCCAACTCGAGGGTCTATCTCTACAATGTGACCTCAAACAGCTGGGTCACTTCTTACCGCAATCCTGCAGCCAGTTCCTCGACGCCTTCCCCCAAGAGTTCCAGTAAGCTTTCATCATCCCAAAAGGCCGGCTTAGGGGTTGGACTGGGCATTGGATGTCCCGCTGCTATAGCTCTCATTTTGTGGGGATGGAACTATCACCGAAAGCGCCGTGTAAAGAGCAAGCGAGACTCGCAGCTACGGGAACTTGCTTTAGGGGCAGAACGAGCTCACTTTTGGGATCGAGATTGTCCAACCCAGGCAAGCAGCATTCGGAGTTCTGGAATGAGCGAAAAAAGAGATGTTCTCGTGTATCCTTGGTCGGCAAGTCGCAGCAAGACGGCACAACCCAACTGGAAAGACCAGGGCGGAGGCACGGCAGAGAGGACTGGGTTGCTGATGGACCCTACTGCTCAGCCTCCATCCAAGAATAAACGATCCCCCGTGGTACCCCCAGTGAACAATCGGCCGTTCTCATATCGAAACAGTGAATACCGGCGCAGTGATGCTGCTAGTGATATCCATCCCATTGATGAACGCGAGGAAGATGAAGCGATATTCCGAGAACGTCTCATGGCAAAAATCCCACCTGGAACAAGACCCACGGTCAATTCGACGGAGGCCGATGACCCCTTCTCAGATACCCCCTACGCAACTCCTCGAAGCACCATCTTCGGAGTTGGACTAGGTCCTTTCTACAGCCGACGAAAGGATATCGGATCTATGGATGCTGAGTCCCCGACAAGAAGCGAAAAAACCGCCACAAACGTGTCAGACAACACTGCCTTCTCCTTTGCATCCACCCAGCCCATAGGTAGGGTCAACCAGGCACGAGGCGTCCTCGTCGATCGACCTATGAGCTGGGGAAGTGGACACCCGTCACTGGAATACTCTGCCGTCGGCTCAACCCACAGCGACCCAGACAACGCAGCTCCTTCAGAGAAATCTATCTCAGCGGACTCCTACTCTACAGCCCAGACAAACCTATCACAACGCCAGTCAGAGAATGAATCCCTCCTCTTCGACGCCCTCTCCACCACAGCCCCCTCATCCCCATCAAAACTACCCCGAGAATCCAAACCCAAAGCCTCAGACTGGGTAATGAACACCATGCGTCGAGCCTTAACAATGACCCGTCGCCCCGACAGCCACCTGTACTCCAGTGCTAGTACCAGCACAGCACACCGTGCTTCCGGCATTGACCGTCGCAGCACGCTACTCAGTTCCAGCCAATCCACATCCTCGGGCCCCAGCACGCCGCGTCGAGCAGTCAGTGCTTCAGCAGAGCTATTCCGCCGTAAGCAGGGTGCCAAAGACTGGAACGCACGCAAGCGAGTTTCAGACGATGTGTTCAATACCGCCCGGTCTACGCGCGATGATCTTTTCGTTGGGGCACCGGGATACCTGGGTGACGAAGCTGGCTTCGGTGATGATGAGGAAGATGTCTATGATTGGGATCTCGAGGGTGCTGCTGAGGGTCGACGTGTTCAGACGACTTTTACTGTTCCCCGAGAGAAACTCCGTGTTGTTAATGCTACCGATCGCGATATCGATAGTATGTCTGAGCGCTCGGCTAGTTGGGGTACTGGGAACCGGAGGGTTAGTACCTAGATCTGGGATTTTTTTTCTCTTCTGATTGTCTTCTTTTTTAACCTTGTACTTTTGCATGTGCCCTTTGTTAGCTGAGGATGGTGTCTGCATCTATGAGACACCTAGAGGTGTGTGTGTTGCATTGCATTGCGTTGTTTGTACACAACTTCGGCGTGTTTCCATTTTCGGTTTTGGAGTCTTTCTTTCCGTCACTGTTTTGGGTGGCCGCTGTTTTCTGTCGTTTTGATATCCACAGCGATGATTTGATGCCCGACATGAAATGATTGTCGATGTCCCCCTTTGTGATTAGTCGCCACAGAGTGGCGTTTGTTAGATTAGCAAGTCCAAAATTGATGTCTTTGGGATTTATTGAGCCTTTGAAAGTAACTGCAATTTCTAGATCATTTCGTATACTAGACATTTCGTAGAAAACGGGTCTCCCGAAATTGGTAAATGCATGAATAGGTATGGCATCTATAAAACTTTTGTAGCTCCATGATACCTGACATATAAACACAGACATGACTCTTGATGACGCTTGCATATAACATTTTTAATATAACTTGTCAGATTCCCGTCTACGACGAAGGAGCAACGTTCGCCGTGGTAGGCTTAGTAGGCATAGTCTGAGGCAGCGGGGGAAGCAAGTTCTTCGCACCCTCACGGGCATACTGAGCCATGAGAGCGTCCATGATAACCAGCGACGACATAGCCTCAACGATAGGGACAGCACGGGGGGTAACACAAGGATCATGACGACCCTTAGCCTCCAGAACACCCTCCTCACCGTCGTAAGTAGTAGTAGTCTGCGCCTGGCCGATAGTAGCAGCGGGCTTGAACGCGACGCGGAAGTAGATGGAAGCGCCGTTGGAGATACCACCCTGGATACCGCCAGAGTTGTTAGTCTTGGTAGTGAGACGGGGGCCACCGGCCTCGCTCTGGTTGACGATGAAGGGGTCGTTGTGGATTGAGCCGGGGACCTCGCAGCCGCCGAAACCGGAGCCGATTTCGAAGCCCTTTGTTGCGGGGATGCTGAGCATTGCGTGGCCGAGCTTGGCTTCAAGCTTGTCGAAGCAGGGCTCGCCAAGGCCCACTGGAACATTGCGGATCACACATGTTACGCTTCCGCCGATGCTGTCGTGGTTGTCGCGGTACTTCTCGATGACTTTCGTCATGCGCTCAGCTGCGCCGGTTTCCGGGCATCGGATGGGTGCGAAGGAGTCGACGGTTTCGCGAGTGATCGACTCGATCAGGTTGAGGAACTCCGGGTTTGTGGAGGCGGAGGGGTGTTCGGGGGTTGGGGGGAAGAGGTGCTCGTTGCCGACGGAAGAGACGAAGGCGACGATTTCGATGTTATGCGCCAGGCGGAGGTACTTCTCGGCGATAGCGCCGGCAGCGACACGGCCTATTGGAATTGGGTTAGCGGGAGTTCGTTTCGGATGTTGATGGTTACACATAACGTACCAATGGTTTCACGAGCGCTGCTGCGACCACCGCCGCTGCTGGCCTTAACGCCGTACTTCTCAAGGTAGGTGAAGTCGGCATGGCTAGGGCGGGGGTACAGGTCCATTGTGCTGTTGCCATAGTCCTTGGGACGCTGGTCCTCATTGCGGACGATCATGCCAATTGGTGTGCCCAGAGTGACGCCGAACTCGGTGCCTGACTGGATCTCGACTCGGTCCTTCTCGTCCCGCGGGGTAGTGAGGGCGCTCTGACCGGGACGGCGACGGGTCATTTGGGGCTGGATATCGGCCTCAGTGAGTTGCATGCCCGGAGGACATCCATCAACGATGCAGCCGACAGAGCGGCAGTGGGACTCGCCATAGCTAAATCGTGTGTTAGCAACGATGTGTGTGGTAGAGAGTGGGCAACTTACGTGGTGACACGGAAATATTGACCCCACGTCGACATGATGGGCGTTGGAAGATAATCAAAAGGTATTGAAGGAAAGTTATAAGTTCAAAGACCCCGAGATCAATAAAAACAGTAAAATAGGAAAAGAGAACAAAGTTGTTGCATGATCGCCAGTAGAAAAAAAGCAAATAGAAATTCGACTCATCGCTGGTTACCTATCTGGGACTAGCGCAACCGACTATCGGCCTGATAAGTTTCGAGATGCGATCAATAACTTCGCCTACCTTTGCTCCAATGCTCGCCCTTCGAGGATGTTCCTCGTCTCCGGCATGGACTAACCCATTAAAGTATGGCTGGATTCGTCATAACTCATACTATCCCGCCCACCAATTCGCCGAGCTCGCCAGCCGTCCCTCCTCTTTACACCAGATCTACCAATCGCTATCAACAGATCCCTATGTGAACCTTTCGATCGAGCACTTCCTACTAGAAAATTCTCCCGCAGAGTCCAGCATTTTGTTTCTTTATGCCAATCGACCATGTGTAGTCATTGGTCGCAACCAGAACCCATGGCTTGAGACAGATCTCCGCGCACTTCATAATGACCGCAGGAACGGCACGACTGGAGAAGGCGAAGCTGCAGTGTTCGTACGTCGTCGATCAGGTGGTGGAGCTGTCTTCCACGATGAAGGCAACCTAAATTACAGCGTTATTTGCCCGCGTACTTCATTTACGCGCGACAAGCATGCTGAAATGGTGGTACGCGCACTTCATCAGGTCGGAGCTACCAACACTAGTGTCAATGAGCGGCACGATATTGTCATGGCGCGAGCAGAGGAAATGCAAAATGATCCTAAGGAGCCTCTGACACGCAAGGTCTCTGGTTCTGCGTTTAAGCTCACTCGACACCGAGCCCTCCACCACGGCACTTGCTTGCTTGATTCCCCGAATATTCATGATCTTGGCCGGTACCTGCGATCATCCGCCCGCCCGTATATCCAAGCGAAAGGAGTTGAAAGCGTTCGTTCCCCAGTTGGGAATGTCTCGGCTGCGTTAGCCGATTCGTTCTTTTCCATGCAGAGCGTGGTTCAGAGTGTGATCGAGCAGTTTGCTCGGCTCTACGAGGTACATCCCGATGCTGTTCTCAGAGCCCAGCGTGCTCATGCAAATGAGCCTGAAGTTTTTGCTGGGGATTCTTGGGTGGCTGGTACAGTGGGAGAAGTGCAGGGCGAGCAGGTTCCCGCCATTGGGAAAGGAATTGCCGAGTTGCGCTCGTTGGAGTGGAAGTACACCCAAACACCGCGGTTCACTTTCTCAACATACCCCATTGAGGAAGACCCTCGTGAACGGCCGCCATTGCCATCCTCGCTCCCCTCCAGTACTCGTGCATTCCTTCGTCTACAGCATGGCGCTATCGTCGAAAGTCACATCTCTCTCTCATCTGATGAGTCCACCGCATCCGATCAAGCCAGTCGCGTCCATTCGGTATTGAACGGACAGAAGCTGCACGAGATTACCTTGGCCCGGTGGACCGAGATCCTAAAGCAGGGTCTTGGTGAGACCGAAGGAGTCGATGATGCTCTTGTGAAAGAGCTGGCCCGATTCTTAGGTGGCCACCTAGGAGGTTGATCGTCCAATTGCATTGATGCCATGCAATTCGTGGCGTGTATAGATATTGAATACTCTTTGACCCTATGTATAATAATACCATGATATCCTATATGACAATACCTGTGTCCATCATTGGTGGAATATAATTTCCCCACTTATCAGATGCTCACAGCCTATTTTGGGCTGACTAGGCTCCCGTCACTACTGATCTCCCCACGTTACCTCGACCGGCTAAATCCGAACCCCACGCCATCCCCAGGATTCCCCAACTATGCACGGCACAAACTGGCTGAATCGGCATTCTCACCGAGTCCCGACACCAAAATGGCCTTAGATGTTATTATATGTCAGCATAGCCATGTGAACTCCGACATCAATTGCCTATTAAGCAACTAATACTCGACAACCCGATTCAAATCTTTATAAAGCCCACCACCCTACCAACCCAAAGTTACCATAACAGCGCAACCCCCTCATAGCGTCCAGGATTACAGACTTACAATGTCTATCCACGCTAACGGTCGAACCCCCTCACAGGCCTTTAGCAAATCCCCATTCCGAACTAAATCCGACCTACAAGAAGCATGTCGCGCCATTCTCGGCCCGCTAGTGCCCCTCTTTACAGCAGGCGGCACGCGCGTCAAAGTAGGCACGTCGACGACACGATTTGATGAAGGTGGCGCCCAGATCGAGGGATATGCCCGCCCGCTATGGGGTCTGGCCTCGCTGCTAGGCGGCGGATATGAATACGCCGAGGCGGAGCGCTGGCGCCAGGGAATAATCAACGGGACTGATCCAGAACACCCGGAGTTCTGGGGTCATATCGAGGACATGGATCAACGCATGGTGGAGATGTGTCCGATTGGATTTGCGCTTGCTGTTGCGCCTCATGTCTTTTGGGATCCATTGACGGAGAAGCAGAGGAGGGATGTTGGTAATTGGTTGGCGAGTATCAATGCGCGTGAGATGCCAAATACGAATTGGTATGTGATGACATCGTCTTCCCATGATGGTCTTTTGGAGCGTGTTGAATGGACCGGCTAATTATGGTGGGATGATTGTAGGCTATGGTTCCGCGTGTTTGCAAACTTGGGCCTCAGAAAGAATGGTGCCGAGTACTCTTTGTCTCGTATCGAGGCTGATATGGACCATTTGGATACTTTCCATGTTGGAGGTGGATGGAGCAATGATGGACCTAAGAGTCATCACCAGATGGATTACTACTCGGGCTCGTTCGCCATTCAGTTCTTGCAGCTTCTTTATTCGAAGCTGGCGGGTGACTTTGATCCTGAGCGTGCTGAACGCTATCGTCAGCGGGCGCGGGAGTATGCTATGGATTTTGTGCATTACTTCGATCCTAACGGTATGTCTCAGGGTCTTTCCGATATGATTCGCTCTCTTTAGCTGCGATTTGGTCCTGACTAGGCTACTACCAAATAGGCAGCGCCATTCCATTCGGACGCTCTATGACCTATCGATTTGCCATGGTCGGATTCTGGGGTGCACTAGGCTTTGCGGATGTTGAACTACCAGAACCACTGACATGGGGCGTGGTGAGAGGAATTGTCCTTCGTCATTTCCGGTGGTGGTCTACGCAGGATGACATGTTCAACAATGATGGTACCTTGACTCTCGGCTATTCGTACGCTAATATGTACCTAACGGAGAATTATAATTCTCCCGGTTCACCGTACTGGTGCTGTCTCTCGTTCACACCACTCGCACAACCAGAGACACATCCCTTCTGGTCCGCGCAAGAGGAGCCCTACCCAAGTTCTTCTTTGCCTGAAGTGGTGGCCCTAAAATACCCCAAACATATTGCCATACGTCGTGGGGGACATTCGTTCCTGCTGTCGTCTGGCCAAGCATGCCACTACCCGCTCAAAGCGACACAGGCCAAGTATGGCAAGTTCGCATACAGTTCTGCCTTTGGATACTCTGTGCCGACGGGTGGCTACCAGCTGGAGCAGCACGCCCCAGACAGCATGCTTGCGTTGTCAGACGACGGCGGTGATATCTGGCAGACCAGACGGGTCGCTCTCGATGCGCATTTCGAGGAACCCGAGACCAATGGCCAACCTATTCTTGTGTCTGGTTGGAAACCATGGCCAGATGTTGATATAGAGACTATTCTCATTCCGCCGACGGAGGAAAATGAGAACTGGCATCTACGCGCTCACCATGTGCGCACTGGTCGCAATTTGCAGACCTCCGAAGGTGCCTTTGCTATTTATGGATGTCGCAGTGATAATGGTCGTACCTTAGGACCTATGACTGGGGATTACTCTGAGGGCACGATGCATGACAGCCGGAGTGGACTTGTGGTTTCATCGGCAGGGGCTGTTGGCATTGTCGAACTCCATTCGACTGGGCGAGCTGGTCGGATTGTTCTGGCTGACCCGAATTCTAATATTATTCGTGGACGTACGCTTTTGCCGTCGCTTTCGGTGGACTTGGCAGCTGGGCAGGATTGCTGGTTCGTTTCGGCAGTTTGTGCTGTGCCAGACCATCAACGGGACTGGAAGGCAGCATGGGAGAAGAAGCCAGTTATTCCAGAGTGGCTACATAAGAGAATGGAGAGTACAGATCGGAGTTGATAGTACTCCATACATATGTCGACATTCAATACAAACTTGAAACTTTTGATATGACAGGTTTTCCACATTAGGATTAGCTCCAAGTTTGAGTTTCCCCGCAGTCCGGGGTAAGATCAACAGCCAAAACAGCCAAAACATCCCTTACAAGGTTCTCCTCTCGTCGGCTAAAATGTTTTCTCGTATATCTTGCCTCTACTCGGGAAATCAGCCCATATTACCGTCTCATTTTACCCCACGCCTCCCGTGTATGAGAGCTGTACTCGGTATATGAATCAGCCGTGCTGCTTGGACCCTTGCACCAACCCCTAAATATCCTAAACCATGTGAGCAGCTTCCTGCCCGTGTCTCCCTTGCTTCGGATTCGTGGATCTTTTTCTCCATATTTCCTCGCCTTGTTTGGTGTCTCTACATTTTTCCCATAGGTTGCTTGTTAGCCAGCCAAGACAACTGGGCTTGAGATGACACCTCTCATAGGCTTGAGTCGTAGTATTTTTTCCTTCGTCTATACCTATACCAATAGCCGACGGCATGTCTAGTTTAGCTTCGTTGTGAGCTGGTCTCAGAGAATTACTTTTAAGCTGGCCACTCCCCTCCTGGACTGGTTATCATCTTGCTCAACCCCTTTTACTACTACCTAAGATGTCGTGGCTATTAAAGAAGATCGTTCACAATGAGGCGATGAGAGAGGATCCGAAGGAGATCTATGGATGGAGGGTCTTTATGCTTGCCTGTTCGGTAAGTCTCTCTTTAACGATGCCATTGACAGCCCTAGATCACAGAGCTAATGCTTCCCAGGCCTGTTTCGGCGGAATGCTTTTTGGCATGGACACCGGTATTATTAGCGGAGTCCTAACCATGCCAGGATTCAAGAAGTACGTTCTTCCCTCTCTGCTGTCTACCATCTATTCTAACTATCATCAACACAGGACATACCAGCTGGAGAACATCGACAAAGTCGCGGCAGCGAATTTATCAGCCAATATCGTCTCCACACTCCAAGCAGGATGCTTCTTTGGAGCTATGGGTGCTTCCCCAGTAGCCGAGAGATACGGTAGACGAATGGCCCTACTCGGCTCAGCGGTAGTAGCCGTGCTAGGAATTTTGATGCAAACCACAGCCAGCGGCCACATCGAAGTCATGTATATCGGACGGTACATATATCCCCATCTCCAATCCATTCCACACTAACACCAACAGACTCATCACCGGCTTCGGAGTCGGCGCCGCATCCATGATCAACCCCCTCTACGTTTCCGAGAACGCGCCGCGCGCAATCCGCGGCGGTCTAACAGGTCTATACCAGCTCTTCATTACCGCGGGAATCATGCTCGCATTCTGGATCAACTACGGTTCGCTACTACACATCAAGGGCCCCGCAATGTACCTCGTCCCACTGGCACTACAAGGTCTCCCCGCAGTCCTCCTATTCTTCGGCATGTTGATGTGCAACGAGTCACCCCGTTGGTTGGCCAAACAAGACCGGTGGGAAGAAGCCCGCGCAACTCTCTCGAAAGTGCGCAATCTGCCCTCCGACCACCCATACGTGGAAGAAGAATTCCAGGCCATTGCCACGCAATTGGAACAGGAGCGCGCACTTGTCGCTGGTTCCGGCTTCTGGGACTTGATGAAAGAGATGTGGTTTATTCCGGGTAATCGCAAGCGCGCGATTATCTCTGTCGTCTTGATGATTTGCCAACAGATGACTGGAACTAATGCGATTAATTACTACGCGCCCCAGATCTGTATGTTACACTGCTCCCAATTGAGAAACCCAGCTAACAAGTCACAGTCCAAAACGTGAGCTCGCACTTCTAGATCTAAGCCCAATTGATACTAACGCTTCTCCAGCTCGGCGTAACCGGAAACGCAACTAACCTCTTCGCAACTGGTGTCTACGGAATCGTGAAGATGGTCAGCTGTGGCGTGTTCCTGATCTTCGTTGCGGACTCGCTGGGTCGTCGTCGCTCCCTCCTATGGACTTCCGTCGCGCAGGCATTGGCAATGATGTACATCGGATTGTACGTTCGCATTGCGCCGCCCGTTAAGGGCGAACCCGTCATCCCTGCTGGGTATTTTGCGCTAGTTTGTATCTTCCTGTTCGCGGCATTCTTCCAATTCGGATGGGGACCCGTCTGCTGGATTTACGTCTCTGAGATCCCGACTGCCAGACTGCGCTCACTGAATGTTTCATTTGGAGCTGCTACACAGTGGTTGTTCAACTTTGTTGTTGCCAGAGCTGTGCCGAATATGTTGGCTACTGTTGGTGCTAACGGTTATGGGTGAGTTTGGCTGGTGTCTTGGATTGTTGAGTTTGCTGACTTTGGGCTGTGTAGAACATACATTATATTCTCGTGCTTCTGTTTCTCGATGGGTATCTTTGTGTGGTTCTTTATCCCGGAGACAAAGGGTGAGTCGGGTCTTCTGGTAATATGGGGTCTTGTTGCTAACGTGAATATAGGTTTGTCTCTCGAGAAGATGGATGAGCTCTTTGGTGTTACGCAGATGCTTGAGAATAAGAATGCTGATGCGGAGCGAGGCTCTGTTGGTGATCGGGGGGAGAAGTCGTCCCCGGTGCATGTTGAGAAGGTGAATGAGTAGGGTTCTATTTAGTATAGGTCTATGTTGTCAACTGTTTTGAGCGATCAAATTGAAAGAAATATTTATTTTCAGATTATTCACATCATAATTTCATGGATATCATCAAACCCGGGTAGTCCAACCCTCTCGATATGTACCGTCCCAACACGGACCGCTGAACCTGTCAATATGGAACAAATATTCGCCTGCGCTATGAACCCACGACATTCGCTTGAATCAAACTGGGAGAAAGCAAAAACAAAGAAAAAGAGAGAGAAACCGACTGGCTCAATCTACGCCGTGGCGCATCCAGTATGAAAAGTCACGATAGGGCCCAATTCATCGATGAACTGAGAGCCATCTAACCAGCAACAGAAAGGGGAGATAGAATGAACAGTGGTATGCAGAGCAGTCAAAATGAGAGATTGTAAAAAGAACGGAAACATGAAGGCGAAAGCAGACAAAAGATAAGATCATCGGACGTAGTTGGTCTGACGCCGACCAAGCAGTCCACCACGCTGGGTCTGGCTGCGAGTCATGCGGCGAGGAGTAGGATCATCATCTAAGCTCAAACCACCGATGCCTGATCCAAGACCAGTCCGCCGGGGTGAGTAAAAGGGGTTGGAACCCAGACCGCTACTATTCCCATACCGAATGTTGCGGTTAGTGAAATTCGTGGCGGCCGTTGTAGTTGTGGCGATAGTCTCGCTGTCTGAGTCTCGCTCATAATCAGACACGGGGTCGATTTGCTTTAGAGATTCCATAGTGAAACTATGTGGGTTTCTGTTTTGGTTGAAAACGTTCTGATTGGCAGCAGAGAACGAGTTCGCAGTTCGAGTCGAGGTGAACCCATACTGCGGTACGGAAGGTAATGCTGAAGAGAAACTAGAGCCCGCATCGGTATCGCCAAATGAAAGTGGAGGAGCGGATGATTGTGACTCAAATGATCGGTGCACAGGCGGAGTGCTAACTCGGGGTTCAGGTGTGGACATGGTTGAAGATTGACTTCCGCGCCAGTCAAGGGCACCCGATTGACTCTGGTGCGGGGATTGTGGTTGCGGCTGTGGTGATACAGATTCCGAGTACTGCTGGCTTTCTAACCTGGCCTTATTGTAGAAGGAGAATACATTCATAGTCTCCTGTGCCGCCATGAAAACCAGGAGTAGTTTGCCGTAACGATCGAAGTAGTCCCGATTAAGCGAAACTGTGGGCAAATGTGCCCCCATGTGAACAGCGACGCCAAGTTCGGTGATAGAAATCAGGATCTCCATACCATTCCATTGCCCGAGAGGCCTTTTTACCATGGTGATTAAAGCGAAACCCGCAACAAGGCTTGCCGCACCTAGGGCTGCGATCTCCACGTAATTTCCTGGAATCAAAACCTGGTGATTTTGAGAGATTGTCCATGCCGTGATGAAGCTGACTAGCAGACCTAGTCGGAGACACCCGTAGAAGAGATGACTCTGTGTTTCATCGGAATGCGTGGAGCCCTGGTTCTGTGACTGCTGAGACCAGGTAGGTCCTTGGCCAGCATCGGGCTGCAAATTAAAAGCACGGTCAAACAGTGTTTCCAGCCCAGTAGATGTATCGTGGTCACCAGGGGGAAAGAATTTTGGGTCCTTGAACACTGGTTCAGCATCGGCACGCTTTTGCTGCCATTGCCCTTGCTGTTGTGCAGGACTGCGGTGGAACGGATTAGGCTGGATCACTTGCTCAATGGGCTTTGTCGAAGTCTGAGTGCGAAGCTTCCATGCAGGAGGCATCGGGGCTGCTGGGATCTGCCCCTGAAATGGATGAGGACCGTCGAGCACAGACGGCTGATCTCGCCGCGTCACAGTCGGTCGAAGGTTATGAGTAATAGAAGGGGACCAGTCCATGCCATCATTATCTGTAAGATTTGAGGTGAACGTGTGCGACTGCTCAACGGGTGACCGTGGTTGAGGTTGAGCCAATTTGTCAATCGGAAAGCGCTGCTGCAATCCACCCATGCTCGCCTTCGGTGTTCCGCCAGATCTTGTGATTCGTGTCGACACAGGTGACTCAGGAAGCGCAGAAGAAGACGTGTTAGAACATTCGAATTGGGTTTCCCAGCTGTTATCAGACCAATTGACGAGTGGACGGCTAGAGTAGCTGACAATATGTCGGGAGAACAAAACCGACTACCATAGTTAGCGCATGAAAAGTTTAAAGGGGGGAAGCATATTTACGATAATAGTGAAAAGCATCATCACACCATGGAAGGCTGGGACGCGTTTTGGTTCTAACCCACTGGCAGATGGATCCTTGACCACCGCCCAGAAAACACACCGTACCACCATGACGATAAGTTGGGCTTCGTAGTACTCTGCAAGACCACTGAATTTACCAGGCATTCCGTCTATCTTCATGCGCAGCTTTGGATTCCACCAGAGCGAAAGTGCACCTGCGATCAATGCGAGACCGGCAGTTGGTGCTAGATCAGGCGAACATTCGCTGGGAATGCGCTTGTAATGGATAGAATGGTTGACGCACGAGATCACAGAGTTGGGTGTCATTGGAGGTCGTCCGGAGTCGGGTAGATAATCGAAATTTTCCGAGTCCTGGTAGAGGGTGGCTACACTGATCAAGTCCCACGCTAGCTGACCAGCAATACTACCCCAATATGCAAGTGCACCCACAAAAAGAAGCAAGCTTCTCCAGCTCCGATTTCTCGCCTGTCGTGATTCTCGATTTGCTCGACTTTGATCCATCATGCGCCTGAGATGATCTGATTTCGCTTCGTAGCCAGCTTTTCTGATGCGAGATTTCACGATGGGTTCACAAGACTCGCAAACCTGAGGGTATCGGTCCTCCAGACTTTTGCGGAACTGCTCATATCCGCGTTCGTATTCGCTATCGGAAGGATCGTCTGAGGGGGGAAAGTACGAAGCCAGTGAGCTTGTAAATAAATGTTGATTCCGAGTACATTTGGTGCAAAATAACTGGGATCCACTGAAATCAGTTGATTCAAAGGGTGTGTCTGATGCGCCAGGCGCGTAGGTTTCGGCGTTGGTGACCACAGCTGGTGGGTCTGTGATTTCTCCTTTCTTTTCAGAAACAGTTAATATAGTTTGAGTTTCCAGGGAAGAATGAAGCTACCTCGTCAAAGAAGTTATCAGCCTCACAATGTTCACAGTGGAAATTGCGAACAGGCCCACGATGAGAGTGAGCGGACCGCTTCCCACAATAAAAGCAGGTCAAACGCTTAGAAAATAGAGAAGCCATGACATAGTAACATATGGAAAAAAAAAAACACAAGTGGAAGCGTTAGTGTAAACAAGGGAGATGATTCCGGATGCCAAAGGGAAAATAAAACGGAGTCGAGCTTGCACGTGCGGGGGGAGGTCTCCAATTTTATCGATCTGCACCTTAGGGCAACTTTACTTTATTGCCCATTGTTATTGACATTCTAATTCTATTTCCATTCACTCTATTCATTGCATTTATTGCATTCATTCTCTATTATTCTTCACTCTTTATGATAATGACACACTAAAATCCTCTTACCAAACTCTTGACACCGTACAACAACGGTTCAAGATGTCGTTCTCTCCTACTTCTTTATCCTTCTGGAAACTGCTCATCTGGTGTTTCGCCCCGGCGATTATTACACTTGGGGCCTGCATCCTTCTCGTGAGTGCCCTTTACCCATACCATTGAATCAATCTAACCTGTTTTTCTCTCCTAGGTTCTACTTATCTCCCTCGCGATCTCCCAGAATGCAATTCCCTCCAAATGCCGCCCAAGGGGATCTCCTACCCATCTACTAGTAGTCCTTGGAAGCGGTGGCCATACAGCTGAGATGCTCTACATGCTTGATCGCATGAAATTCGACCCTCAAATCTGCACGTATCGGACATACCTGGTGAGCTCGGGAGATAACTTTAGCGCAGAGAAAGCCAAGAAGTTTGAGGCTCAACGTGTACGGAATTCTCAGAGCCATACCCATAGCAACAACTATACCATTGTCACAGTGCCACGTGCCCGACGAGTCCATCAGTCCTACCTCACCGCGCCATTCTCTACGCTTCAATGCTTCTGGGCTTGTCTCAATGTTCTTCGTGGGGATCACCCGGACCAAAAGCTGCCAAAAGAATACACCACGCCTTACCCTGATTTGATCCTCACAAATGGCCCCGCTACAGCAGTCTGTGTTGTTGTGGGCGCGAAACTCATCCGTTTCTTTCTATATTTGGCCAACATATTTGCCTTATGTCCGATTCTGCGACCAGTCTTCGAGATTGCATCGACCCCAACGCTGCGCACTATTTACGTTGAATCATGGGCCCGGGTGAGCTCGCTCAGTACCTCTGGTGTCCTGCTGTTGCCCCTAGTCGACCGCTTTCTCGTGCAATGGCCTGCCCAGGCAGGGCGGCGGGCTTGGTGGGGGATGAAGAAAACAGAATATGCTGGATGGCTTGTGATTTAACCGTGCTTTACACCGGCTTGGTCTGTGTTAACCGGATTGATCTGTGTTGACAGTATTGCTGATGATTTGGTAGTTACAGATATCACGGGAATACATTGTTCTCATCATGTAGGTACCTAGGTAAGCAATGAATCTATTAAGCCAAACGTGAGATCTATTTCTGCACTGATCCCCTTTCCAACTATTAAGGGATTTATATACTGGAAGAAAACCCTGAATTCGACTTCTCTAATAAGTTTCAAGGTCATCCTACTAAGTATTGGCCTTTTTAGAAGTCTTTCTAGAAGCAAATATTCCCTTAGATATCCTTTTTATAGATATTCGTTCCATGTATTACTATAGTTTTAAGGTATAAGCTTAAAAGTACTTTTACACTCTTTGTTATCTACACCGAGCACGCCGACACTACCCCGCATCGGGCAAATCCCTCGGCTCTTTTTCACCTTTTAAGGTCTCTTATTTCTCTTATTTCTCAAGCAATCATTCGCAAAACAGCTCAATTCTACCCATCATGCCCTACTCTTTGTCAGGTCGCAATGTTTTGGTCACCGGTGGCTCTCGGTAGGAACCTTCTTCAATCAGAGAACTACTCTGTTCAAAAAGCTAATCTCACTTAACAGAGGGCTAGGTGCACTTACTGTCGAGAAATTCGCTTCTGAGGGAAGTAATGTTGCTATCAACTATATGTCCAGCAAGGAAGATGCGGATAAGCTTGCCTCGGACATTGCAACCAAATATGGAGTAAAGACTGTGATCGTTCAGGGCGTAAGGCACTCAAATCCCATATATACCTAACTACAGTTCAGCCGCTGACATGATCTTGCATCTGAAAACAGGACGCTGGAGTCAAAGACGACTGTGTCAATGCTGTCAAAACCACAATCGAGAAGCTGGGTGGCTTGGATATCATTGTCTCGAATGCCGTGAGTTATACAATCAATCTCAAGATGGATATAAAATGCTGAAATATGAGAAGGGATGGACAAAAATGACCAATTTTGCCGATCTTGATGCTATGGACGATGATGACTGGGATAAGGTACCGAATGTCCCCTCTAGGGTGGAAGTTTTTGGCTGACTATTGAGCTAGTGTTGGTCGGTTAATGTCAAGAGCAGCCTTCACCTGTTCAAGGCAGCTTTGCCCACATTCAATGCGAATCCCGAAGGTGGTGTTTTCCTCATCACATCCTCGATTGCGGTAAGCTACCAAAACATGCCGAATGAAGGGCATTAAACTGTCCATTACCATGGAACAGTTGAAATACTAATTGCATGATCTTTTTTAGGGCGCCACGCCAAGTGGCAGCAGCTTGCCTTACGCCGTTTCGAAGGCAGCATGTATGCTATCGTTCCTAGAAATCACGCTGGTTAATTACTGACTCTGTATCACACAGCTATCCATCTCATGAAGTGCCTTGCTAAGAGCCAAGGCCCGAAAATCCGCGTCAATGCTATTCTTCCGGGTCTGTTGCTCACTGAATGGGTAAGTAGCACAAGCTCGACGCATTGATGAATACTGAAAATTTCCCAGGGTCAGCGCTTCCCAGCCGACAAGATCGAGGGCTGGACAAATGCGACAGTCCTCAAGCGAGCGGTGAGCAATTCTCGTCTCCCTTAACTTACGAAATGACTTGTATGCTAATGAATCCGGCTATAGCCCGAGGTGGAAGACTGCGCGGACATGTTTATTACATTGGCCAAGAATGCTTCTATAACCGGCCAAGCGGTTCAAATCGGTATTAGTCTCGAGTCCAGCGGAATGAGTTGCAACTGACAATTCTTTTAGATTCTGGCTTCGTCATCTGATATAAATGGGCAAAGGAAATCTTTTGGTCAGAACAGATATTATAGTACATAGAACATTATAGTACATAGACTCCGCCATACTTTATACAAGAGAGTTGCGGAAGGGAGTCAGTTCCAACCCTTCATATTGAAATGCTCGGTCACCAAACATGCGAGCTTTGATAGCTGCTCGCAGACCCTCTGCGTCTTGTTCGCCTTCCACTTTCATTCGGTTGATGCGCAAAACCTTGCCATCCACAGTAAAAACGTATAGCTGCCGCGACTTCTTCGGCTCAACAGGGTGAGGGGCATTTGTAAACGGCAGACCTGGGAGGATTGAGAATGAATCACATCCCTTAGGCGGGTCAACCTCCTCGATATCTGTAAAAATGACTCGTTTTTGGTGGAATGACAGAGGTCCATCTACGGGGTTGCTTGCACAAAGGGCCTTGCTCCAGAGAGGTCCAATCACTCGGTTGCGTCTGTTGATATCTGCCAAGGTCCAGTCTGCCCAGTGGATGTGCCGGTCCTCTGGTTTGATTTTAGGGGCGTGTTTCAACTTTCCTGTATGTTCAGTACCAACGGGTTCAATAGGAGGGACAAATAGTCCCTTGTCAATACTTTCCACGAGCATTTGCGCTCCTTTAGGTGCGACGAAATCCACCAACTCGGGGACAGTGCAGGATTCCGGATTGGGGATGTCGAAACCGGGAGGCGGTGTTTGTGATATTATCGCCCCGTGATCAAAGTGTTTTGAATGCAAGGTCTGAACTGTCACGCCAGTAGTGGTCTGACCCGCGAGAAGAGTATGATGAAGCGGTGCAGGACCACGGAAGCTAATCAGTCAGGTCAATTGTCTTGCTCCTTAATCCTAAATTGATAACAATCACATACTTTGGTAGTAATGAGGGGTGCACATTCAAGCCTCCATACTTGGCGCCATTCAATATGCGCGGCGGAACAAAAAGTCCGAATGACACAGCAATCACCAAGTTTATGTTACCGTTCGGGGAGGTTGGGGGCTAACACAGTTAGCTAAGATATCAATTGGGTTGAGTTTTGGCATTACCGTCCATCCAGTGAAAGTATCAATCTCATGGATTGGAAGGGAGAGAGCAGATGCGGCAGCCTTCAGCGGAACTATGAGAAATTGAATTAGAAAACACAGCCATTCAAGGAAGCGCAAAGTGAAGCTAACCTTCCCGAATTTGCCTCAGCCCTCTTCCAACTCTCTTTCCTGGTCTACAGACGACATCAATGGAGGAAATACGCTCTGGTTGCTTCAAATGATAAGCATGGAGAGCTTTCAAGTGTGCGATACTGAATTCATCAGAGCCGCAAAAGAGAATGCGCAGCGGATCGTGGGTCTTGGTAGCATATGACCTAAAGACAAGCCCTCGGAGGATCAACGGCCTTTTGCAGAGACGTAGGCTCCCTGGGCCTGGAATAATCCACATGATTCTGGTGGATAATTACTAGAAGTTGGAAAGGACAAAGTTGAAGCTCCCATAGTAGCTTATCGATAAACCACGTGATGTCAACATCCACCCCGGATCCCACTCGGATGCATTTGTCTTTCAACCATTACTCTGCTGTCGTGTGTCCGGTGCGACCTGCGGACGCCATCCAACGATGCAATGTCTGAAAGCGATCATGATTCGGTGATTCCAGCCCAACTTTCGTACCTTGCCATCTACAACCCGACCCTCGGACCTACCGACGAGACGATAGCGGATCAGATCGTATTCTACACTTCGAGAACGAGCTATGCACGGCGCGTCAATGGCTCCACAGCTGAAGGCGAAGCAAACAAATGCCTTGACGATGAAGGGAATGACAGGTTGCGCCAGATAGGTCTGGCGCAGGGCATTGTCAACTTTGCTAGGTCGGCATCCCCGCAGACCCCGCAAATGCAGATAGTCTAATCATGTTTGGTTTACAGTAACTTCTCGGCTGGAAAGACCCTGGAATATGTTGAAACAGAAAAATCGCGGGTTGTTCTGCTTGAGTTGGAGAAGGACTGGTGGATTGTTGCCGTAAGTGGTTGAGATAACGGCACAGAGCAAACAGCTTATGTTAAGCCAGTCTATCGACCTGACTCGACTGCCTGTCGATCCTGCCCAGAGATCCTCTGGAACATCCGACTCTTCGGCATTTCATTATTCGTCGCGAGAGATGGCACCGCCGCCTCTACTGATCCAGCAATTACGGCGTGCCCATTCGGAATTCCTCCTGCACCATGACTTCAACTTGGACAATATCCTTCATCAAGTCGGTCGATCCACATTTTGTCTATTCCTTGAGCGTTTTTGGGAGAATTTTGCGTGGAATTGGGAACTTCTGTTGACCGGAAACCCAATTGTCGATATCTATAATGGCATCAAACTCTCTGCGGGAGGAGAGCTGGGGATCGGCGTTGGGGAGGAAGAGTGGGGCAGTGGGGAAAGAGAAGTGCTTGAAGATTTCGTGACAAGAACAGATGGGTTGGTAGACTTGGTTGTCTCCAGGTTTGGTGATCCGCCCCCACAGTTCGGGGGGTCCCCAGCTTTGGCGGAGTCAAATGACCAAAGCCGATGGCTTGGGGCAGATGATGATCCTCGACCATCCGATGGCGTGATATTTACTGGTGTTGGTGCTCTTGCTCGGCACTCATTGTCACAAGTGTCACATTGGATGGAATGCATTTATCGGTTTGGGGATGCTGCGTATGGAGTTGGGCGGGACCCGACCTCGCTGCGTCGCCGCAAACCACGAAAACAGCGTGGAAGGCAAATTTCGGAAGATGCCCAGCCCTCCACGCCGGATCACAATTTTAAGCCAGGTATACCTCGTCCGCTTATAACGGCAGCACTACCGTCAGCCCCAGAAATGGTTGAGGAGAATCGAGCAGGAACAACAAATGAGGCATCCCCACCTCGCACCGAGCACAAGAGCGAGATTCCAGGATTTCCAACAGAAGCGGTCATAAAGTACCTCACTCTTGGCTACGGGTCCTCTTGGAGTTTCTCTCCAAAGTCGACATCTACGCTGTCCGAAAGTTCTACTCCAATGCGAGATGAATCCAATTTAAACATCACAACCCCGAGGAATCAGCCCATTAGTGAATTACAATCGCCACAGGCCGGCGAAAAACACCGAAACAGCAGGAGGAACAGTCCTTCGGGTCATTTCGTTCTTGGACCTCGTGATGATCTTGAAAAATTGGATGATTTAGAAGAGGGAAGCCCAGAACCCGAATTCGAGAACGGCAAACCCAAGACTCGGATAGTGCATAGAACTCTACATGTCCACCTGGCAGATGGGTCAGATACTACTCCGACAAAGCTCCGGGTCGTGATATATGTGGTATGTGCGTTCCCTATTCCATGCAAGTCAGCTCACTAACATACCATCCCAGCATCAACCATTCATGTTTACATTCCTATTTGATCCTCAAGCACCAACATTATCATCCCCATCACTATACTCAAGCATGCACCACCAACTCGGTCCTCTTCAAAAACCCCTTCTATCATCAACATCCCCAACAATGGCAGCCTCTCGAATCGCCATGTCCGACACCTCCCCGGACCCCAGTAAACGGTTCTCCACCCGAACACAGCCAGTTTACGATCTGGTCTACGATCCATCTAACTTAACCATCCGCTCCTCCATCCCCAACATCCCCAGCATGAGCACCACATCCTCATCTACCCAACCCACCAACTTTACAGCCCACTCCCCATCCCCCTCTCCCTTCCCCTCCCCATCATCAACCCCCCCACCACCCTGGTCCCGCGTCGAAAGTCTAGCAATTCACCACCGCCTCTTATCAACACACACAGACACGCGCTCCCGCCCACAAGAGCTTGAACGCACAAGCAAAACCCAGCGCGGGTGGTGGGTCGTCTGGGTCCGCATCCCACACACAACCCAAACTCCAACAGCGCTGTCTACCACTTCTTCATCCGTCGCCCTCTCATCTATAACTAACAGCAATGACTTCCCCGTAAATCAGTCCCAAGCACACCCTCCTCCACCGCCTCAGGAGGCCTTCCTCGTTCGCAAAGCGAGTGACTATATCTCCCCAGCAAGTCATGGCCGGGTCAGCAATAGCGCCCGCTTCTTCCGTGATCTAGGCGGTGCTTCTTCCGGATTGACGGGGCCTTCCCGTGCTGCGGATATGGCGCCGTCAAAGCTGGTCGAAGGGCTTGGGATGGACGCCAGGCGGTATATTGAGGGACTGCTGAGTTTGAATAAGTAGTTGAGATGAGGCTTGGAGTGAAGTGGAGTGTGGAGTGGGGTTTCTTCCACGCGTCTATGTATATAAATTTGCCACTATAAAGCACAATGATTGAACATTATAATACTCTGATTGGAATATTTACATTACGGACACTTACGCAGACAGGATTACGCATGGGGTCCACATATTAGATGGAAATAGACAGTACCATGCATAAGCTGTAACATAAAAACAAATGTAGTAAAGGAGGGAGAGAAAACAATAAAAGCCGAATCAAGCTCTTCGCGTATGGGGAGATAACCGCAGGGGACAAGAATCTATGACACAGGGGGAACTCGACCAGGGAAGGCGAGTCACGACGTTGACCAAATTGCACAACCGGTGCTACACTGAATGGCTTCCCCTCTTCATCTCCTTCCAATTCTGAGTTCCTTTTTTCGGTGTTTTTCGGTTTATAATTGCGACCTCAACGCGGTTTGGCATTTGAAGATTCACGGCGTCGGAACGAGAGGAAAAGAAAAAGAAAAGCCCACAGGGTTATGATGAAGACAACGCCTCCCTAGACAAATTCTGCAAATAAAGGCAAAAAGAAAAACACAAGGTCGACCAGCTGAATTGTGGGGGAAACCCTCCACGATTCGGGTGCCCGGATTCGATATTATCCACAATTTCGCATGCAGGCCATGAAGCCCTCCTCCTTTCCGAGAATTAACGTCACCAATTGTTTTTGTGGAGGCTCTCATACATATGATCTCTGCTCGAGCCACACCACCTCAACAATTGATTAGTTTAGAGAATCATGCAAGAACCCTTCTTGCGGCCTCCCTTGCCCTTGACGGCCTTCAGGAGAGCAGCGCGAGTGGCAGCCTCGAAGACTTCACGCACACCCTCGTTGGTGCGGGCCGAGCACTCGAGGTACTTGTAGGCACCGATCTTCTTGCGGACTTCCTCGCCCTATAGTTATACATTAGTTTATGATGGATTCACCATGAAGTCAAAAATCGTACCTGTTCTTGCGAAACGGGGCGCTGGGAGGTCTTGGCAAGTTCATCGATAGTCTTGCGGTCGTCGCGAAGATCCTTCTTACAGCCGACAAGGATAATAGGGAGACCCTGGCAGAAGTGCAGAACCTCGGAGATCCACTATCGTAGAGCGTCAGCATATTTGGTCCAGTTCGCATCCAAACGTTTCTTCGCTTCGGGATGTGCGATCGATTAGAGATGAGACACTCACCTTCTCCTGGACGTTGTCAAGCGAATCGGGCGAGTCCACGGCGAAACAGATGAGAATCACATGTGAGTCGGGGTATGAAAGAGGACGGAGACGGTCGTAATCTTCCTGGCCAGCAGTATCCCAAAGAGCGAGCTCGACGTGCTTGTTATCAACCTCGACATCGGCGACGTAGTTCTCGAAGACTGTGGGGACGTAGACCTGACGGAAACAAAGTCAGATTATCCTTCATTATTCTTGTCCGGCGTAGATTTCTGGGGAAAGCAAGGTGGTTTCGGGTCGTAGTTTTCGAGGATGGATGGCATCTTACCTCGGGGAAGGTACCCTTGGAGAAAACACTGTGGACTTCAGTCAGGCCGCCGAACCAAAAGTAAATTCAGAGGTTGTGGGGAGGAAGCGCCCTCAATAAGGAAGTCACTTTCGGTACTCACATGAGCAGGCAGGTCTTACCGCAGGCACCATCGCCGACGATGACGAGCTTGCGACGGATCTCGGCCATCTTGATAAGGAACACGTCAGTATAGGGGCAAATAAGCAGGGAGGGACAGGGAGCCCCGCAAGTCCCGGAATTTCAAATATAAAGAATTTCTACAGGCATGAGGGGGTGACATAGGCAGACGATCAAGTAGAAAGGGCCAAGTCAGGCGCTCCCGAGGAGGGGGGGAGAAGGAAAAGGGTGATCCCATACAGTGTTCAAAGGCGCAACGGTGTAGATTTAATGCAGTAAATCAGCTAGTGCAAGCAGCAATAGCTCTAGAGAAATGAGGAAGATGGAGTAGGTATTTCCGATGGGAAGCGATGAAAAAAAGACGATGGAATGATGATTTGGAGGTGGAGGAGAGAAAGATAGAAGACCAGGCCAGACAACGGAGGGCGGTGGCAGTATACGGGTATTTGTTGTTGCTTGGTGTATCGGGTATTGTGGCTTTCCCCCTGGAGTGTAAAGGTCTAGAAGAAGTATCAACTTGCGTATGTGACCAGCTTAACGGTACCTCAATTCAAGTACGGGAATACATTTGTACAGCTTTTGGTATTGGTATGCATAAGTACGTTACCTCTTTTACTCTAGCACTCTATATGAGCACAACACACACCCATACCCCCTGAGTTTCAGGCTGCCTTATTTTTTTTACATACTGTGGCTTGTACCTTTCTTCCCCTTTTCCAAGGTTAAGAGACAAAAAGAGAACATTATGGGTACACAGCCCTAGATATGTGTGGCTGAGGCTACGAAAAAACCCCCATCGGCCCACTTTGTAGAGCACAGCCACCCGTGGCTATGGAGTTTATTATATCCAGCAAAGTGTGATGTGAGTCCTCTTCGTGTCCCAGATCTCAATATACTCTAGCTTTTACGAGTGATTTGCTTCTCTTTGGCTTGAAAGTCCATTCAATCACCCAGAACCTTGGGGAAACCCCAAGGTACCTATCTAGCAATATTCACGTGAAAAAATAATGGGCTACTATGACAATTTCTTACCTCCACGTCCTACAATTTCACATACAATGTACCACCCTACTGGGATGTGCGAACTTCTGCGGGCAGTGCTCCTAGGCGGCTACCTCGTGGGTACACTGATAACCTTCACCCAAAATGCTAGGCTCGGCCAGTGAAAATTGCTCCGCTGTTTCCCTGCATTTCAGCTCGTTCTACCGCTACCCGGGAGCTCTCGGCATGTACTGACTACGTTGTATGTGGAGGTTTCCAATCTCATGCTCTGCTGGCAAACCCCATTTCATTTGCTACCGTATTCAAGGGGGCCCTAACTACCCTCATTGGGTGTGTCGTTAATCCGTTCTGGAAATCAAATCGTGGAATATTCGTTTTTTTTATTCAATCAAATCATCAAAACGCGGGTATACCCCCTTTCCAAGGTTGCTTGCTTCCCGCTTACATTATCACCACATTCTTGAAGCTGTTTGAAAGTGGAGCTGATATATTCCCAACTCCAATGATCGCATTTGTGCCGGCTAAAAATAGTAAACAGGGGCCAAATCTTGGAGCATGCGCCCACAAGCCACAAACCGTTAAGTCGTTTCTTAGAAATAAAAATAGGGGAGCGTAAACCTTGAGGTCAGTATGGACGCTTAAACATTTCAACAGCAGATTCTATATACTTGAGATTTTTCAGTGTTCATTTATTTACCGCCAAGTAAATTAACAATTTAGGGCGTGGCAGTGGGCTTGACGATCGATCTAACATACACATGCAAGCCCATCACAGATTCCCTTCCTCGTCTCAACCCCTTAACCAAAGACAGGGTTGAATGAAGCACTCCCACATATTGGGAACAAGCGAACAAAGAGCAAATATGCAGCAAATTCTGCACAAGGACTTTTCAATCTACTGCCACGTCTTGGTCGTTGATCTTAACGTCTTCGGGACAGTCTTATCATATACAATATAGACATTCGATATATGTGAATGCACCTCTCTCGACCACTCATTATGTGCCCGTGGGCCACTACATCCATGGATATGTATGCCTGTGACACAACATACCAGTGTCTATGGAAAATACCGCAATGTCTATATTTCCTTTTTGGCCCAACTTCTCTTGCACCTAACAATAATTGAAACAAACTTTTCCTTTACACTCACTAGCATGCCATTCTCTGGTAGTCATCCTTTGAGCTTTGCGCGATATCACCCCTAAAGCTACGATGCTACACCGGTGACTCTCTTCTATGGTTTCATGGAGCCTCATAATGAAACAGCGTCTAGCAATGATCTCAACATACATAGAATATGCGTGGATTCCCATATCATAATCCATTGATATGGATGGCACCCATTCCACCTCGGTATGGTTTCTTTGTGGATCTGGTCCTGGGACTTCGGGTGTGGGCAGTGAGATGTGACAGAGGGCTGCTCAAACAGAAATATATCCATAAACTTTGAGAAGATCGGCTTTTTGTATTCCTTGGTGTTGCTGAGGCCTTTCGATCGTTCCTGCTTTGGTTGTCACTTTCCATGGGGAGTATCTTCCTTCTACAAATGGAGAGGATTACAAATAACCGAATTCCAAGAAGGATGGTAAAAAGGTCAATTGAATCATCAACTAGCATGTAATTACAATGCAGGATGATAGTTTACGGAGTATACAGGCACCCTGGGCTGCTGCTGCTGACATAATAAATATTGACATTGATCACGTGGTACGTCGGACACCCTCAATTTTCGATCCGCGCATCGGGGATTCTGAGGCAGAAACAAGGTTCGGCCATTGCTGGACACAACACCCAATATGCAGCGAGTTATCCAGCGGACAGCTTCAGCCCGGAGGCAGGCTCTCAAAAGAACGACCAAAGCTCATGAACGACAAGAATTGTTGGACCGTGTCGGGATTCGGCGGGCGCGGAAGGACTTCGGCGCCGTACTGTCTACTCAATTCCAAGAAGCACGAAAGAACCGCTGGGAGGATTGGGAAAAGGGGCCTCTTGCCCCCATGCGAGACTCTGGTCTGAGCCGCACTACATATGGTGGTCAGGATGCTTCCATTTTGCACCCGCCGCGCCTCCCTAAGCACGAACAACGGAGGCATGTCCTCTTCGCCGAAGGTGACCGGGTCTGCGTTATCCGAGGACGGGATGAGGGAAAGATCAATGTGATCCAGCAGGTCAACCGGGACAGTGAAACCGTCCTTATCAAGGATATCAACATGGTACGTCTCCGGCAGATCAATCGTCCAGGTCAATGACCTCTTGGTTACTGGAACAAATCGCTTACTGGTGTTTTTCAATTAGGCCGACGTGATCATTCCTGTATGGGCCAAAGACAGATTGGGACACGCAGGAGATACCCAAGCACAACCCTTCCCCGTGTCCTTCGACGACATCCGACACGTTATCCCGCTGGAAGACACAGAGACTGGGCAGTTGCAGGATGTTATTGTGCAACATGCTTATGCCGCTGGGCCGTACACTGAGCGATCTGAACACAGCAAGCTCCCAAGATTCACTCGCTATGTCTCCGGCTTGGACATCGAAATCCCTTGGCCAATGGAGGAAGAGCCTGTCATCAACGACGGCGACATGGACACAACTCGAATGGCAGTTGAAGTCAGCACATTTACTCCCTCACTGGAGCAACCACCTATGCCCTCAACTGTCATTGATGAGCTGCGCAACAAATACTCCAGATTCCGCACCCGACACGATCCGGAATACCTGAGAGAGAAGATGAGGGAGGACTACCGCAATGAATACAGAAAGACCGTCTCCATGATGACACCGAAGACAGATGCCAAAAACATGTGGATTGCTCAAGTCGCGGAAAGGAAGAAGGCCAACTTTGATGCCGAAGGGAATGGCATATTAAACCCGGCTGCCATCAGTTTCATTAACAAGCACATCAGAAGCCAACGAAAGAAGCAGCCGAAGACCAAGGATTCAAAGTCCAAGCAGGCTGCTTGATTGGGCGAAGGAGATGGCAGTTAGAGAGGGGTTTTTCTTGTAGCATTGTGTACACACACCACTGTATTCTAGTATGGAGCTTTGCATTCACTCATATATCTATTTCTTGATAGAGTTATATCGGATTTGTATTTTTTGAATTCATAGCGTACTCCGTACATCCCAAGTTAGGGTTCCAGTCAATGCGGATACTTCGGGTCCACCCTTACGTTCATCCCCCAATTCTCCGACTAACCTACATCACCCTGCACTGCTGTTCTCTTGAACCAAAGCAGTCGCAACAAAGATGGGATTCGCCGCAATTAATTATTCGAATGCGCCCATCGCCGCCATTGAGGAGGCATTTGCGACAGAACCATTGCTAAAGAAGCGAGTCTACGACGCGATCGGTACGTAGCCAACAGCGCACCCAAGCCCCCATTCGATGACCCCATTGACATCCTACTGACCGTCGCCAATGGGCTTTATCGTTTAGGCACAACACCGCAACACAAACCTCTGTTCGAAGATCTTGCGAAATATACCTCCAGCCTGCTGGCCAGGACTGCGAACACTACCCTCCCTTCTCGGCCGGTGGGCGCTGATGGGCCTACCGCTAAAAAGCGGAAGCTTCAAAATGGAGACTCTGGGGAGACTGCGCAGGCGTCGGTCAACCTGAAAGATGGCAATGCGCCAGTTCAGTTCTATGTTCAAGATGTTTCGTTCTCTACACCGCAGAGGAAGAAGCTTACACTCGAGATCACTGCAGGGCATAAGTATCTTCAGGCACGGAATCAAGCTACGAAAGAGATCGAATTCGGTGTTTCTATGGATAAGATTAGTGAGTTTGAATCGGGAAACAATAATATCATTTTTTCCTTGAAAAAAAAAAGATTTGCTGACATGACCTGTTACTAGGACATGCCCTCTGTCTTCCTGTGCCGGAGAAGACACAAAAACAGTTCAATTTCTGCATCATTCCCGAGTATGCCGATGGCATCACACCCCCGCCCGAGGGAACAGCAGCTTCCGAAGCTATGGTGTTTACGGTAGCCGATGGACCAGCCAAGGCTGCATTCTCAGGCAATGGGGAGCAGCTTGGTCATAGTCCTGGTGAATCGGCTGAGGGATTTATTCGCAAAATTCTGAATGAGAACATGCCTCACACCAATGTTGTGCGCCCTGATGATAAACAATTTGTCAGTGCTATGCCCGAGGCGCACCGAAAGGGCGAGAAAGCATACCATGTCAAGGCATTCCGCGGTAGCAAAGAAGGTATGTTATGTCCCTATCTCCATTCAGCCAGAACCCATTGTGGGTTTAGCTTGAGTCTTGATCATTCTAACATACTGTGGCTTGCGCTAGGCTATCTCTTCCTTCTCTCCACTGGTATCTTGTTTGCATTCAAGAAACCGCTTCTATTCTTTTCATTTGCTACCATTGATTCTGTCTCGTATACATCCGTCCTCCAACGGACATTCAATCTCAATGTCATGGCTCGCCCGGCAAACGGGTCTGAAGAAGACGTCCAAGAATTCGAATTTTCGATGATTGACCAGGATAATTTCTCCGGCATCGATACTTACATCAAGAGACATGGTCTCCAAGATGCTAGTCTCGCAGAGGCACGGCGCGCCAAGGTCTACAATGTCAATAAAACCGGCGGAGAGGACGCGGCACCTACTACGGAGGCAGCTGGTGAAGATGAAAGCGAGCTCCAGAAAGCGCAGCGGGAGCTTGAAGACCAAGAGGATGAAGAGGAGGAAGACTATAACCCCGACAGTGACGATAGTGAAGGCAGCGGGTCGAGCAGTGAAGAAGATGACGATGATGATGATGATGATGCTGGCCAGGACAGTGATGAAGACATGGATCTGGTTGAGAACGAACTTGGAAGCGAAGCTGAAGATGTTCCCAATGACCATTAGGATGCGACACGGACCTTGTCACGATATCCGCTACAATGTAACGATACTTATGGATCCAATGCGATTTATGTAGTCGAGTTATCTGGACATATCATATCTAAGGCTAAACCGTACACATATATCATATACAAAAACCTTGTACAATATACTTCGTACTTTATATAGTCAATTGATCGGAGAGCGGGTTCCTGCCAAGACGGTAATATTACCTTAACCGCATTCCAAACCGATCCCAGACGGGAACTCCCCTGAAAGGAAAAAAAAAAATCAATCGGCTCTTCGGGCTTAGACTCTGATTTTGATTTCTTTCTCTTTCAACAAAAAAAAGACCATCTGCTCCTGCCCGTGAATAAAACAGATAACTGAGATTTTCGGCGGCTGGGTAACGCATGATTGAGCCGCCTCGGAAGCGCCCAGGTCTGAGCTAGGTACAAAGTAGATAGGAGTATTCAAGATGCAATTTGGTGGCTTTTCACAAGTCTCAAAATTTATTGAATAAGGGCAAGCCTTTTAATATAAGAGAGTAAGAGTATTAGAGTATTAGAGTGAACAATGGAGAATGGCCCTCTCATAGGTCTCAAAGAAGATTTCCCCCAACCCCAAAATTACCATACAGTCACTGTACAGTCGTGACCGCCAGTTCCTGCGTCCACCCCCTCAGGACGTCTTTTACCAATACACACCCAATACCCTCCGCTCCCTGTCTCTCCCTGTTACTTCCCTTTCTCTTCTCCATCTCCATCTCTTCCCCCCTTCTTCCTCTGGTCTATCTTTGAACCACTGCTCAGTGCGGCTCGTACTCGCAGTAGGTCGAAGTACCCTATCTGTTTTGTTTTACCCTTTTTTACCCTTTTCATTGGCTTGTCTAGATCCCCGGCTTCAACCCCAACTCCTCCCGACCGTCAAGGACGAACGTCTCAATTATTTCCAGCACTGCCAATTCCGCCTGCATTTGGTTTCGGCTCTATACCTTCCTACCGCCCTTTGTTCTTGTCATTGTGCATTCCGCTCTATCTATCATCGCCACCGGTACATCGGCAATTGGGTAAATAGATCCCATTGAGCCTGTTAGAGCTGCTTCGGTCGGAAAAAATTAGAGGTCATTGTGATGTATGTGACTGGGGATTCTTTGATATCGTTTTTCGTCCTTGCCCGACTTCATGTGTGCTGACTTGCGCCCAGTGATAGTATCAATCACGTGTCTACGTCCCTGAAGCCATTCCCCGTGATCCAAGTTTCCCCGGGCAATCTTTACTCCCGCATCCATGGCCTCCTCGTCGTCAAACGTAGTGGGTGTCCACTATCGCGTGGGCAAGAAGATCGGTGAAGGATCCTTTGGTGTCATTTTTGAGGGCACCAACCTCCTGAACAACCAGCAGGTCGCCATCAAATTTGTATATTCCCCTTCCCCCTCGTCACGCCGAGCCCCCTGTCTGACCCCAAATTAGGAACCCCGGAAAAGCGATGCACCCCAACTCCGCGATGAGTACCGGACATACAAGATTCTGGTTGGATGCCGTAAGTATTCCAGATCTAAGGAGATTTGTTGTGCGCTCTTCTAACTCCATTTCAGCCGGCATTCCCAATGTCTACTATTTCGGACAGGAGGGTCTACACAACATCCTCGTTATCGATCTTCTCGGTCCTTCTCTGGAGGATCTCTTCGATCACTGCAACCGCCGCTTCTCCACGAAGACTGTGGTGATGGTAGCCAAGCAGATGGTATGTTTAATCTGCTTGAAATTACAAGGGAGACCATGGCTAACTGTGACTAGCTTTCGCGCGTTCAAACGATTCACGAGAAGAACCTAATCTACAGAGATATCAAGCCAGACAACTTCCTTATTGGCCGGCCATCAACCAAAGCTGCCAACGTTATCCACGTGGTTGATTTCGGTATGGCAAAGCAATACCGCGATCCCAAGACCAAGCAACACATTCCTTACCGCGAGCGTAAATCCTTGTCTGGTACTGCTCGTTACATGAGTATCAACACACATTTGGGCCGCGAGCAATCTCGACGTGATGACCTGGAAGCTCTCGGTCATGTCTTCATGTACTTCTTGCGGGGCGGCCTTCCCTGGCAGGGCCTGAAAGCTGCTACCAACAAGCAAAAATACGAGAAAATTGGCGAGAAGAAGCAAACGACGGCAATCAAGGACCTCTGCGACAGTTACCCAGGTATGTTATTCCGCTCTTGTCCATGTCCATATTCATCTGCTAATCACTCCGCCAGAAGAGTTCAACAAGTACCTGAGCTACGTCCGCAACCTTGGTTTCGAGGACACTCCTGACTACGATTATCTCCGTGATATCTTGACACAGGCTCTCAAGAACGCTGGCGAGGTGGAGGATGGCGAGTACGACTGGATGAAGCTCAACAACGGACGGGGCTGGGACTACAAGTCCTACTCATCTCAGGCACATCTCCACAATCAGCACCAGAGCTCGTCCGGTCGCGACCTGCACGCAAGGGAGCTCCGCAACAGCCAACGTCCCGGAGTGACAGCGGACCGTTTAAACGCCGCGCAGCCCCCGCCTCCTTCACCAGCAGCCAAGGCAGGAGCTGGGAAGACTCGCGAGCGCCAAAACGTCGGCGGTGTGGCCGCCAAACGCCAGAGCGTGGGGCTGGAAGCATCAACTCCTGCCGCGTCAACTCAGGCACAGTTTCAAAATTCCAATGCCCACCTCCCCGGTCGCAACGGAAGTCCAGGGAACCCAGCCCTGAGTAACCAACAACCCCTTGGTGGCCAAGGTACCCCTGAATCGCCGCCCACTTTCACGCAGAAGTTGATGAAGGCTCTGTGCTGCGGTAGGTGATTCAGCTGTATTGCATCACTTGAGCGCTCAGCTCATCTCAGGATCCAGGTTGAATTTCAGTCAAATGAAGCGATGGCGCATTTAGACCTACCGCGCCATGCTTTTACTCTGCTTCCTACCCTTCATGTCAGAAAACGGCCCAAGGAGGTCTTCATGGGATTTCTTTTTCTTTTTTTCTTTTTCTATTCTTGTTTACTTTCGCCTCTCGCTCCTTTCTTGTCTTGTGTTTAAGTGGCTAACGCCGCTTCGCCGAGCAAGAATCGCGCTTCTCGG